TTATTATTAATAGAACGTTTTAAAGTGGACATTTTTTTTTTTTTTTTTTTTTTTTTACTATTGCTGAACTGAATTTTTTCTTTTTTTAAAAGTATTTAATGATCCTATATTTTGTAATTTATTTTATATATTAGGTTTGATAATGTGATGTGGATAGGTTTGTATATTGTTTTTTTTTAGATTATAACTACTTAAATTTTTATCTTTTGATTTTTAACTGATTTAGGCAATTACTATTTTTATTGTTTTATTTATTTATTCTTTTAGATTCTAACGTTTTAACAGTTAATTGATTTTACATTTTAACTCATTTTAGGAAATTATTTTATAGATTTTAACCTTTTTAGATTTTAACATTTTTAGACTTTGACTTTTTAACTTTTTTAGATTTTAACTTTCACTTATTTTTAACTTGTACTTAAATTTTAACTTTAAACTTTTTACTGATTTTATATTGTAACTTATTTATAAGCAATTTATTTGATAGATGTATATTTTTTTTTTAAGCTTTTATCGATTTTATATTTTAACTATAACACTATTTAACACTTAATTTTATAGTTTTTAACTTTGTATTTATTTATTTATTTAATTATGCACAGATTGTTTCAATCATGCGCGTGGTGGGCATAGTCTAGAACGAAAAAAAAAAATATTGCAATGAACAAAATACCAACGAAGAAGATCGAAGTTGGACAAAAGGTATGGGTTCTGAGAACTGGAGGACCTGTTCAAGAGGCGGTTGTTGCCTCTGTGATGTCTGTGGCTACTGCAGGAGGCGGAGATAATAAATTTGTTAAAGTGGAATGGCCTGACACAGAAGGTGTGGTATTGGGAAAGACGGTGTCGATAGATGATGTCTTTCCCAGATTGCCAAATGATCCGCTGAATGTCGCAGAGGTACTTAGTGAGCGGCAAAATGAAGCTCTACGCCCTGATGATAAAGTTTGTCCGATATGCGGGCTTTCTTTTAAGGGCGAACGAGGTCTCGGAACCCACATTGCAAAAAAACATCCCAGGGAGGCGAATAATAATACATTGAGGGGCATAGTAAAGAACGTGATAGGTCCTAGAAATGGAGAGGGTGAGTCATCAAAAATAAAAGAGGACATTGTTGAATGGTCTACTACGTTCAAGAACCTTTTAAAGCAAGAAATGGTGAATACTGCGGATTTTGATGAGGCCGTAGGCAAGTTCCTAAAGTTCCTCAAAGTCATTAATGCGGAACTGCCAGGTCCCCAGCACCCAGCCGTAAAATTTTATAGGATGAGGAAAAAAAATAAAATGAAAATGGCTGACAAGGGTGCTGGACAAGTCTCAAATCCGCAGAGGGCAAACAAAGTAGACAGGAGTCGTCGGCAAGAGCAGTATCAGTACGAGGTTGCCCAATATAATTATTATAATAAAAGAAAAAAGGTTGTGCAAACTGTAATGAATGCCGACGCTCCTAAACGGTGTCCTCTAAAAATGGCCGATATCGAGAGGCATTATAAAGACCTCTTTGAGAACGAAAATCTCTGCGGGCGTGCGGATTACGAACAGTGTACCCCGATGCCGGATTTGCTGTCCATTGAGATAGAAGCCATCAGGAAAGCCATTAAATCAACATCAATGGACACATCGCCGGGGCCTGATGGAGTTCTGATCCGCACAATAAAATATTTTGAGGTATCAAGCATTATTAAAACGATTGCAGAGATAATGCTGAAGGTGGCCTATGTTCCGGAACCACTTCGACAAGGGCGCACAATATTGATATATAAGGGCAAAGGTGATATAAACAATATCTCTACCTGGAGACCGATCACCATATACTCGATTGTGCGCCGAATCATAGAGAAGGTTCTGGACTACGAGTTAAGAAAGCAGGTCACCTTCCACAAGAGTCAGAGAGGCTTTATAAAAGGCCTCCCGGGAACGCACGTCAACGCGAGGATCATCGACGCGGTATTAAAAGATGCACAAAAAATGAAAAATGACTGTGCGATAGTTTTCCTCGACGTTGTCGGTGCTTTTGACAATGTTGGGCACAAACACATCGTAAGCTCCTTAGAAGCGAGAGGTGTGTCACCGAATCTTACAAATGTCATATCAGCTCTCCTTAGCACGAACACCATAAAGATTGGCAACGGTGTCCATGCAACTAGCCAGATCAAAGTGCTGCGCGGTGTACCCCAAGGTGGCCCCCTGTCGTCTTCACTCTTCAACCTGGCCATCGATCATCTCTACCGCGACCTGTGTGACGAGGACTTTTCCAAGAAATTTGGATACAAATTAAGGAATGAGCAAGATTGTGTGGTCCTCACAGGTTTCGCGGATGACCAGGCAGTGTCGGCGCGTGACAAGGGGGCTGCAGAAAGAGTGATTGACAGCATACAAAGAACATTTAAAGAAATTGGTCTGGCTATAAATCCTCTAAAAAGTATGGGCATCGTTATAAATAAAGGAGAGCTGGAAACTACGGTGCTCTCCCTTGAGAATGGTGAGTACATCCAAACATTGAAGAATGGAGATACGATTAAGTATTTAGGATGTACATTCTCGGGAGAGCTGCAATTCAACGAAGATTCGGTGACTAAATTGAATGATAATCTAAACAAGCTGGTAACCTCTTGCTTACTTAAACCTGAGCAGAAACTCAACATTGTCAATCAATATCTGTTCCCGGGTCTTACTTACCCTCTCCAAACTGCGCCCCTAACAAAGCTACGTCCTGCTATACTGGAGGGCATCGACACTATGATTCGCAGGAGCGTAAAGGCCATTATTGGACTGCCTGCGAATACTTCCACAGCGATGTTGTATGCCCCCAGGAGATACCGAGGATTGGGATTAATCCGCTGCCAATGGGAGGCTCCTCTTCAACATTGGTCCATTGCTCAGCGACTGTCCAATGTACCAGATGCCCTTTTTCAGTCTACCTTCGATTATTCGGCTGAAATTGCTGAATGTGCCGAGAGATTGGGGGTTGATCAGGGTCATCGAAATGTGAAAGCTCTACGGCAGTCGCTACGAGAAAATGCATTTGAGGAATGGGCCAACTGCAGGTGGCAGGGTATTGGTGTTCGCCATTTTAAAGAGACCCCGAAAGCGAATAGATACATCTACGAAAAGCAAGTACTTTCTGGGTCTGAATGGTCGAATGCCCTAAAACTAAACATTAATTATGCACCCCTGCGTGGAGTCCCAGGAGTCAGCGGACAGGTCAGAGAAGTTGGGTCCCTCTGCCGTAAATGCGGCAGAGAGTCTGAAACACCAGCACATGTGCTGGGAAAATGCCCCAACAACTCCCTCCTCATAACACGTCGTCACCACCGGGTCAAGTTCGAATTGATGAGGCTCCTTAGGGAAAAAAAATTCACCTGCTTTGACGAGGTATATTGCATCGATAGTGAGGGCTCTACGAGATACGCTGATATCGTCGCATTTCCCAAGACAGGAAGGACAGCGCTGATCTTGGATCCAACTGTCCGCTTTGAGAGCAATGACCTCGATCAGGCGGGTGAAGTGGAAAGGGAAAAGAAGAACACGTACGATAAATGTATCCCTTTCCTAAAAGAGAAATTCCGTGAGACCTTCGGAGAGAGAGAGTTCACCGTGAGAGGCCTCTGGTTTGGGTCTCGCGGAACTATCCCAAAAAGAACAAGGAGCTTCCTCGAGGAACTAGGTGTCGACATTAAGGACGTAGCGAGGTTGGCTGAAAATATAGTCCTCGACTCCCTGGGAATCATTCACCACCACGTGCATGGCTAGCCCGAGAGTTTTAATTTATGTATTTGTTTATTTATTTTTTTAGTGAATAATTGAAAACAATAGCGATAAAGAGAGAGAAGTGAGAGAAAGGGAAACTTAATGTTAAATAAAAAAAAAAAAAAAAAAAAAAAAAGCATGAACAATGAGAAGAGGGAAAAAGGAAAAAAAAAAAAAAAATTATAAGGATAAATAAAATAATAAAAATGTATATATATATATATTTCTGTTTTACTAATATTAACTAATACTTCTGTATATTTATATATAAGTTCATATATTGTCTTAAGGATAGAAGAGTATGCTGTGTGTATAGCAACCCAATGTAATTGGGCAGCAATCCTTTATATTTTATATTTTATGAAAATAAAGTGTTTCTCCCTCCCTTAATTAGAAAAGTTGCCTAAACAAATAATATTAATTCTTAAAATTCCAATTTTTGTATTTTTTATTTTTATGGTTTAATGTTCCTACTCTGTTTTATCATGTTTATTTATGTTTTTCATATTTAACAATGTTTATTCTCTTCAAATACTATTGTATAATATACACTATTTTTAATAAATAATTTAAGATCTTTTTTAGATCTAAAACTGATTTTCACAATATATTCTTTGGAAAATGAAGATTTTCAAATCAAGACCCTAGTTATAACACAACAGTTTTTCGGTACAAGAGGTTCAATACTCATAATATCAGTCTTAAAGATGAGCATTGTATTTGGAAAAGCATTATATAAGTTTCCTAAAAGTGGCATTAAAATAGTGCTTAGGAATCTTAACGCTAAAAATGGAAAGAAGAATATTTTCAAACTAATCATTGGCAAATTTAGCCTCACAAATAAGAAAAATGAGAAAGAGAGAGGGGTTATTAACAATGCTGACTCCATAGATTTAATACTATACTCCTAACTCCTTACTCCAAGACACAGATATCTGTATAAAACACTAGTCATAATAACAAGACAAAGAAATGTATTCAATCCAATATGGAATTAACTGCAATATATTAGGATAACTGTGCCTAGAAAGCCTAAAAGCCCAGCTCCTAGAACTAAAACACAAGTAAATGTGTAAAAGCTATTCATAAAAGGTATAAAAAAAAAATTGTCAAAAGATAACATGGAACATACAAATATATTAAATGCATAACTTTTTCAATTAATTAACATGCCATTAATATTAATCCAGAATTTAATATAATTAAATAAAACAAATACCAGAAACATTCTACAAACAATTTATTCTTACCTGTAAATGTCTGTTATGATTTTCACAAAGCAATTGAAGAAATCGAAGAATAGGCTGCATCACCAAAACTTTTTCTGATAGATGGTGATCATCTCTATCTCTTGAACGTTCTAATTTCTCTGCAAGCATATCTTCAAGAGCACTTCCAGTTCCAATAATAATAGAAGAACCTTCTTCACCTTGTTTAATGGAAAATGAAACATATGAAAATATAATGTTATATTAAAATTCCTTCAAAAAATTATGAAGGGAATAAGAAAACTAAAAATGCTATGTCAATAAAAACAAAATAAGATCGAGCTTTCAGCAGTTAACAATAATAATTTAATCACAACATGTTTCACATGAATTCAGTAACAAGCATAATTTTTGGATCATTAATTAGTTTTCTTCGCATGGAGGAAGAATGTGATTCCGTTTATGCAGATGTAATGAACAGACAAAATATTGCTGAGACTTAAACAACAGAATTTTAATTAACATATTTATAAGATGATGTAGACAGAAGAAGACAGGAAATGGTTGTGATACTGAAATGAGCTTTTTTATATTCTGACCACATTTTCAATGCAACAATATTCAATAAAAATGATCAGAAATAAGCCAAAAAATAAAATAGAAACAAATATGGTTTAAAATAAAATGGATTATTAAATATTTGTTCTGTCTACACTTTCAAAACATTTCTCGAATTTCTTTCAGTAAACGTTTATGATATATTATATTATATTTTTTTCTAAAGTCTTCCACACAAAACCACAGAATATAAAAATTGAGTAAAAGATGCCCATCATTAGTTAACATAAATAAAACCCTCAATTTTTATTATGTGTTTCCATTTTTTGCTGTATTAAAACCAAAGCTTTATAAAAAAAAAAAAAAAAAAGAGCGAATAATAAATTTACATCAATGATACTAAAACTCATGACTAAAAATAATACTTTGTCGTCTTATTAATACCATGAATACTTATATTTTATATTCGTAATATTACAAGAAGCAATCATTTTGTAGAAGGTTTTGTATGTAATTGAACTATCTGACTGTAATTGAACTGAGGGGCATTGGAACAGTGAAGGGATTTAAAGCCAAAATTCAGCTAGGTGAAGGAGTAACACCAAAACTCTTTAAAGCTCAAAGTGTTCCGTTTGCTTAAAAAAAAGCAGCCGATAGACTGATTTATTCACAAAGGAGTAATAGAAAAAGTGGATCCATTAAAGACAACGGTATAATGGACATCACCAGTAGTTTTTGTGCCAAAAGCAGATGGGGCAGTGATTTTAGAGTTACTATTAATCCTCATATGATTGTAAAACCCCACCCCTTTCCAACATTTGAGGAAATAATTCACAAACTTATCGGATTCCAAGAGTTTTTCCTTATGAACCTCAAAGATGCTTATTTACAGATGGAAATAAGCGAAGAGTAAAAAAAATATCAGATTGCAACATATTTTATGCACAAAAGAATGCCGTTCCGTAAAGTACAGCCCCATCAATATTTCAAGGATATATATGGATAAAATTTTGCAAGGCATGGAAGGGGTAGCATGGTTTTTAGACGACATAGCCACAGGAGGAAAATCTAGAGAAGAATATTTACATCGCGTTAATTTGGTTTTAGAAAATTCGAAATCAGTGGGGTTGAAAACTCAGCCAAAGAAAGTAAAAGTAGTATTCGCTGGTACAGGTACTGCGCACAACAGCGACCGCTAATTCACGCTGCCAACCGTTTCATGCTCATCTATTCATGCTCACTGTTGTGGCCAAATCTTATCAATTTAGTGTCCTAGTTTGATATAATTTTAAATAAAAATGTTAGCCTTAAATTTAATGGTTTTTATTTGTATTGGAAGGATAGCAATAGATTTGATGGCAGAATTTTGATCTTATTTAATTAATACACACCATTTTTTCTAGCAGTTAAAGTTAACTAACAAGCTTAGGTTATTTCTATACTATGAAATGTTAACAATTATCCACATATTAATTGCTACCTTCTATAAAATGATTGTTTATTGTAATATTTCGAATATAAAATATAAGTATTCATGGTATTAATAAGACGATAAAGTATTATTGGAAGAACTGAGGATTTATCTCCGATTTTAAATTTATTACTAATTATTAGTTTGATAATTAACAGTAATTATTACATAATTGATTAGTAATAAATATCATATATTTGTAATGAAATCACAGCAGGCAATATTTTACCGTTTCATCAATAGGTAATCAGTAAATCAGCACTTTAATTAAAGAATACAAATTGATTTTTCTATGTCTGGATTTGAATATTTACTTGAAGTTAAATTTTTTTTTACTATTCAATGTCATTTGAATCTAGATATATTTGACTCTGTAAAATACTTTTGGTGGAATAAATAAATAAATAATCTTGTTACTTCAACCTGCAAAAAATGACTTATTATAGCTTTGTTTAAATTTTAAACAATATTTCATTTAATTTTGCCTGACTTGATGAAGGAAATGAAACGTATCAAGGTGAATGTTATCATCAAAACAATGATCTGATATGATAATATAATCTATAACCTCTGCGCTGGCAACAGCTTCACTGCTTCAGGAGGGGTCAGATATAAGCAGCCTAGATATGACATCATACCTAGACTACTGAGCAGCGCCAACGAAATAGATTCCTTTCTGTTCCACTAAAGCAGTGGTCAACCGCCAGCAGTCACTGTCATGGGCAGTACCAGCGAAATATTACCTTAAGGCTTTTCGAAAAAGAAATTAAATACCTTGGCAACAGCATCAACAGTAACGGGATTCAACCGTCTCATGAAGGGGTTGCGGCTCTAAACGAAATAGCATCTCCAAAGAATGTTAAAGAACTGCGTTCTCTATTAGGCTCCCTAAATTACTATTTAAGATTTATTCCGGATTTGCAAGGGAGATGAGCTCCTCTGCACAAATTATTACAGAAAGGGTCAAAGTGGAATTGGGCATAGAAGAGGGTTTACTAATGTGGAGGAACAGACTGGTAATTCCAAAGTCCTTAAGAAGAGTTGAAAAAACTTCATAAAGATCACCCTGGCATAGAGGCTACCAATTCTTTAGCAAAAATGACTGTTGGGTGGCCTAAAATTAATTTCAAAATAGAAAAGTTAATTAAAAATTGTGAGGTTTGTCAGAAAAATTGTCCAAGTGAGACAGAAACCTTTTTGAACCTTTGAAACATTACAGAAGGACCTTGGGAAAGACTTTATATAGATTTTACAGGACCATTTGAAGGATTATCCTGGTTTATACTAATCGATGCTTATTCTGTTGGCTAGAAATTTTTCTCTTATGACATAGAAAGGAGTGGGAACCTAATGCGATGCCATGCTGATCACTTAAGGAAGCGATCAGAAAGAAGGGAGGAATAATGTAATATGGATTATTATCGAATTATTGATGTAGTTAGAATTAATTTTAAAAACACGTGATGTTGTACATTGTTGAAAATATATATAGCATTTCCAAGTCAATTTCAACCTTTTCCAAATCAAATTCAACCTTTTCCAAGTCAAATTAAACCTTTTCCATTTCAAATTCAACCTTTTCCAAGTCAAATTAAACCTTTTCCATTTCAAATTAAACCTTTTCCAAGTCAAATTCAACCTTTTCCATTTCAAATTCAACTTTCAAATGTTTGTCAATTTTCGATTTTTTTTCGAAATGAAGGCCACTTACTATATTATCGAAGACATAGCTTTTGAAAAATACAAAAAAAAATTTGATAACGCGGTTGCATATCCGTTTATTTCAACATTTTAGATTTTTTCAGTGTAATATATCTATGTCATATTCAATTATTTCTAAGTCAAATTCAACCTTTTCCAAGTCAAATTCAACCTTTTCCAGATCAAATTAAACTTTTTCCAAGTCAAATTCAACCATTTCCATTTCAAATTAAACCTTTTCCAATCAAAATTCAACCGTTTTCATTTCAAATTAATGTTTTAATTTTTTGTAAATTTATATATTTTTTTAAATAATGGCCATCCCCCCCCCTCCAATATGAAAGTCTATTATTATGCTCTCCTAAGTAGAATTTTCACTTACTGATATCGATTTATTGTACCTATTCGGATTTATTAGGGACTAGTATTATGCTGTCCTGTACCTAGTTTTTAAAATAACCTCCATTTTAAGATTACGCCACTGCATTTCGACTTATTTAAGTTTTTTTGATTTATTCGATACAAGGGTGTATTCTTATGTTTCCGGAGACGTAGATTTTGAAAACGACCTCCATTTTAAGATTAGGCCACTGCGTTCCGATTTCTTTGAGTTTTTAGGATTTTTTTCATATGAGGGTGTATTCTTATGTTTCCGAAGCCATAGATTTTGAAAACGACCTCCATGTTAAGATTAGGCCACCACGTTTGGATTTCTTTAAATGTTTCGAATTTTTATTATAATAGAGTGTATTCTTATGTTTCCGGAGTCGTAGATTTTCAAAATGACCTCCATTTTAAGATTACCCCACTGCGTTTCGACTTATTCAAGTTTTTCGAATTTATCTAATTTAAAGGTCTAATTTTATGATCCCAGAGCCTTAGTTTTTAAAACGACTTACATTTTAAAATAAGGCCACTCTGTTTCGGTTTTTTAAGTGTTTTTGATTTTGCCTTCGAATAAAAACAAAATACGAAGGATTAATTTATTTTTCAATAAATAAATAAAAATATCTAATCGAAATAAATAAAATATGTATTGTGTCATTTTTAATTTAATTTTAGTTTTTTTTACTTTTATAATGTTGTGATCTCCTGTAACAATGTTATAAGATTTCGAACAATTAGCTGAAAAATCTAAATACGGTAGGTTAAATTTATTACCAGTTGCTTTTCGGCTTTTTAGTTTGTATTCTGTGGTTAATTTAACTTTAGCTTCATAATATTTATTTATTTATTTATTCATACCCGAAAACATATTGATGAAACTTTGTATTGAAAAAAATCCAAAATGAAGCCTAATTAATCGAGATGCGGTGGCCTAAACTTAAAATGGAGGTCGTTTTCAAAACCTACGGATCCGGAAACATAAAAGTAGACCTTTGTATTGGATGAATTCTAAAAACTTAAATAAGTCAAAACACAGTGGCATAAACATAAAATGGATGTCATTTTCAAAATTTACGAATCAGGAAACATAAAAATACACCCTTATATCAAATAAATAAAAAAAACTTAAATGATTCGAAACGCAGTCACGTAATCTTAAAATGGAGGTTATTTTCAAAAACTATTCATACGATAACAGACCCACAGATAAAAAATTAAAGATAATTAAATAAATAAAAAAAGGTTGAATTTGAAATGGAAAAGGTTGAATTTGATTTGGAAAAAGTTTAATTTGATTTGGAAAAGGTTGAATTTGACTTGGAAAAGGTTGAATTTGACTTGGAAAAGGTTGAATTTGACTTGGAAATGCTATAGATTGGTTTATTTGGAACTTATTAAACCTTTCTTTTTGTCTATACACAACCATTAAAACAGGCCATAGTCACAGAACTTCACATAATTCAATGAAACTGTTATCAGATTAACAGGATACTAAAAATGAAAAACATTCATTTAAATTTTTGTTTTAACACATACGTTTCTTTTAAACCTATTTAATATTTTTATATTTTTTTACTTATGAGATGGGCACCTTATAACATTATTCAATCTAATGATTTAAAGAAGATGCTATGATTCTCTCCTAGATAAACAGTATTAAATTATACCTGGCAACAATGTTCGAGCACCAACATATGCCTGGGCAGTTACTGTTGCAGCTTGATTCAATTCTTCTCTCAATTCATCAGTTATAACCATACCATTACTTTTACCTAAGGACAAATAATGAATACAAATTAATGGTTGATAATTAAATCAATTACATACTTTCAGCCAATATGAATAAAATATTTGATCACAAAACTTAACCAACAATTTTACACACTCATTTGTATGGTTATAAAAATTAGCATAAAATATGAATTAAACATTAAATATTTATCATAAATCACTTCATTTATTTATTTTTTGTTTAAATTTTTTTATATCTAGCCAATTCTAAAATCAGACAATAAAGAATAATTTAAGCTTATTAATTGTATAAGTTTCCCCCAAAGACTAAGCTCACCAGGAGAATAGACAAGAGAAATCAGTTTTCATTAATAATTTATTCTGGTTGACCCAAGATTTCCATTAAAGTCATTTACAACAAATTAAAAATTAGATGATGGTTAATAGGGACTTTTTTTTATATAAATATATACACAGGTAAATAATAGATGTATAATATAAACAAATAGCTACAAAATATAAATAAATAAATAAAAAGGACAATCAATGAAGGTCAAGAATTGGGTTCCAAGTGTCTCAATTTCCTTTGAATTAACTGAAATTTTATTATATCCAACTTCCTTACAATACTGTCACATTGTAAGAAGCTCCACCATTTTCTCAACTAATCTGACATCGTTAACGGGTAAAAGAAGGCAGAAAATTCAACATCCCAGAAGCTTCTCTTCCCTGCTGACTCTTACAGAGAATGGATCACTGTTGTAGGGGTTCACTATCCTCCTAACTGCTTCAGTGGCTCACCAATGTTAAAGGATTGATTAAATGTGTTATACTAATTAATTTCAGTTTCGTCATAAGGAACTATACTCTTTTCACAAACATGTTGACAGTACACTGGTCGTAGCTGCGATCTTAAATATGAAAAAGTTGCAAGAGAAGAAAATCACATTTTTAACTGGCATTTTTGGGTTTCTCCAACAAAGATATGCAACCAATACTAATATAAAATATCCCACTAACCAAAAAAAAAAAAAAAAAAAAAAAAGGATTAGAAAACATTGAAACTTTACACTGTTGAAAAGAGACAAGATGTAATGAGTTAAAAATGAAGAAAATATCCTATTGAGGTTTAACGAAACAAACTTATTAGTCTTTAATATGCTAATTAACCAATAAATTGTTTAAACGATGAACAATGTATATGCTTGGATAAATTAATAACATCAATAAATTATGGAACCTACCTTTTTTTTTATTTAGTTTTTCCAGTTCTTTACTTTGTTCTTTATCTTCATGTGTTTTAGTAGCTAAATCAGATGTGTTAACAGTAACAGTTGATTTTATTTCTTGCTGAGAATCTTTCATTTTATCATAAAAAACCTAAAAATGGTAAGTGAATACCAATTAATTATTCAAGTATTAATAGCACCATATATTTTATTTTCACATAGGTACACTACTGTTCATTCATAATTCAATAATTATGGATCAATGAATTGTAAACATGATCTATCTAAGATGAAATCTCAAGAATTGGTATTTTATTTTATTGAAAAAAAATTAAATATCTAGGAGCTCATCTCAATGAGAGTGGCTACATAGAGGAACAAGTGGCCCAAAGAGTGGCAGTGACAGAGAGGATGTTCAGTATGGTCAGACAGGGTTTCCTGGGAAGAAGAGAGGTGTCAAAGTGGACCAAACTAGCCGTCTATAAATCGACATTGATCCCTATTCAGAATCGTCCTCTTCAGAATCATGGGCCCTCACCACAAAACACAGAAGTCAGATACAAGCCATGGAAATGAGGCTCTTTATGCATAAAATAGAAAGAAAGACACACAGAGATAGGATACAGAACACCACAATACGGGATAATCTCAACATCAAACCGGTGGAGACCATTCTGGAGGAGCACAAACTAAGGTGGTTTGGACATCTTCTTAGGATGGATCCAGACAGAAGCGCCAGGAAAATTTTCGAGACCCGCACTGAAGGAAAACGACCCAGAGGAAGGCCTCGCATCTCCTGGGAGGACAGTGTAAAGGAGGCATACATGAAGCGATGAACAGATTGGAATAGGAGAATAGGAGTTGGTGCAGGAGAGAGACAGCTGGGCCAGACTCTATAAGCAGGACCCTCACACCAAACCGCGGTAGAAGGGGGGGGGGGTGATTATGATGATGATGAAAAAAAATTATATTTCTATAAAAGTCAATTTTGAATATATTGTTAGTTTTTATCGACAGTAAATGTTAAGTATAACACTTAGAAAGGAATCATACATGAAACTGTTTTAGTTAAAAAAAACTTTAAATGAGAATAACAAGAAACAAACTAAGATCCTGAGTTCAGTACATTATAGACCAATGCCAAGAAATTAAAATATTTATTGTGAAAATTATTCTGAAATCCAAGATGGGTAAGACACATAACCCATTAGCTATGTTAATAATAATACTGATAGTTCAGTTCCTAGTTTAAATTTTAAGTAGTTCATATTTTATTGTATAAGAAGAAAAAAATCAGATAAAAAAAAATATATACCAGGCTTGTAAATGTGAAACCGGAATTCATCTAAAGATGGCTCTAGTTGTTGATATAGTTACCGTTAAACAGACACCAGTTTGTCTCTTCAACAGCTGGCAAAGATTTTCAACTCACAACAATACAAACTTCAAATACCAGCATCATTTTAATAGATTTGAATATGTCAATTTTTCTGCCAACAAATTACGATTTGTGAACAACATTAATTTTCTGTGATCATTAAAAAAACCTTTATGCAAAATTGCATTGAATGCTTGTCCAAGCTTATGATAACCATGCTCATGGTAAATATAAGTACTTTGAGTGGTTTAAAAAATCAAAAGTGACGATTTTGATATGAGAAATAAAGAACATGGAATGTGGATGTGATCTATTATTAACTGCTTAAACCAGGCGAAACAATTGATAATGAACACTAGCAACAACAAATGATCGATTTGAGTTGAATATAGTGTGACAAACGACCAAAATATAAAAAAAGACAACAAAAAGTAATTTTGCTTCATGAAAAAGCACCATTACACAAAGAAAACCCAGAGAAGGAAACAATTGAGGCGTTCAGTTGAGAAATATTAGCACATGCGGCTTACCAAACTCAACCCTACCCAACTACAATTTATTAGCTTCAATGGGAAAGATAGTTATTCGGCAGTGTTTCAATTCTAATGAAATCATGAAAAAATGCCTTAATGACTGGTTTGTCACAACAGAGCAACAGTATTTCTGGCATGGTATTCATAAATTGCCTGGGAGATGGGAAAAATGTATAGTTAGCAATGGACAGTATTTCGAATAAAATATTTTTATGGAATAAACGTATATTTTATTCCATGGGTTAAAAAAATACAAAATTTTCAGTTTCAAATTTACAAATCTGGTATATATCTACGAAGTTTTTTGTGCTGTAAATTTTAATTATATATCTATATAAAAACATTGTATGAATAAATAAAACCTATACATATTTATATTTCATAAAAAATATATATTATAATTATTTTTTCAAAAGTTGAATAATTTTTTATATTTTTCAAAATAATGTTTTTCCTTTATTTCCATGCTTAATATCCACAAAATTATAAAACAAATTTTATTTATTTATTAGGAAACCATTATTGGCTAAATTATAACATAATAAAAGTAATAGAGGGCATGAATTATACAGACAGCCCAACAAGCAGAATTGTTCAACTATACCTTGAATTTTAGAGTTAATAATATTATTTCTGATTAAGCATTGATATAAAGTATTTACGTATATACACTGACAGGCGAAAAATTCCACCCACTTGATTTTTTTCATGTTTTCATCTAAAAATATTTCACCCACTTGTAAAAAAAGATGTATTTGTATATAATACATGGTATTTGTAGATAACACTTAGTATTTATGGAATTTTATAATCTTTTTTACCTTTAATAATCAAAATGTGATTGGGTAAGAAAGATTAGAGAAAAAAAAATTAATTATATCATCGTTTAGTAGTGCGTGTTTCCTCCTCTTGCCTTCACTACTTCTTGAAGACGCCTTGGCATACTTTACACCAGTCGGAAAATGTCCCTTTGCTGGAGGATAGCCCATTCCTCCCGAAGAGCCCTTTCAAGGTCCACCAGTGTATCAGGAAGTGTTGCACGCGCTCTTATTCGTCTTCCGAGGTTATCCCGTAAATGCTCAATGGGGTTCAAATCTGGAGAACGTGGTGGCCAGACTAAAACCTCAATATTGTTCTGTTGAAGGAACATCTGCACTATGCGAGCGACATGTGGACGTGTATTATCGTGCATTAGAATAGAACGATCGCCGATGATAGGCAACACATGAGGTTCCAAAATCTCATCTACATAGCGAATGGCCATCAAAGACCCTCCACGAACAACAACCAATTCTGTGCGGCGTTCCATTGGAATCCCAGCCCACACCATTAAGGAACCATGTTGGAAAGGTTGGCTCTGGGAAAAATTACAGGCTGCATACCTTTCGTTTCTTCTTCTCCACACCCTTTCACACCCGTCTAGAGATCGAAGAGAGAATCTTGACTCATCTGTAAAAAGTACAGCACTCCATTTGTCCATAGTCCAATAGCTGTGCTCTCGATCAAAAGTTAGCCATGTTACTCTGTGAGTTCTAGTCAACTCTGGTCCTCTTACTGGACGAAAAGCCATTAATCCATACTCATTTAATCTTCTCCAAGCGGCACGTTTAGAAATTTGCACACCTCGAACTTCTTCGAGCTGATGAATCGCTTGAACAACGGTAAGGTGCCGGTTTCGTAAAATTCTCAAAGTCAAAAACCGGTCATCCCATCGTTCTGTTACCCTAGGCCGTCCAGAACCAGTTTCTGTTCAGGGCCTTCTATTGTAATAACCAGTTTCCCGATAACACCTGACGGCGTCTTGTAAAGTTTCATATGGAACTCCGATTGCATTAGCTGCATATCTAATGGAACGTCCATCATCAATAAGTGACATACCACGCGCAACATCCTCAGCACTAAGAGGCATTTTTAAACTTGATATTGAAAAAATTAAAAGCCAGAGACTAAGAAATGTGCTGCAAGAAACGGCACTAAACTAATGATACTGAATAAACATTTTGATTCCATAGAAAGTAAACATCTTAATCTAGAATCATTTCATTGAATTAAGGATTAAGGGTTATTGTCCTCTATATTAACATTCCTAATTGAAAACAAACAAAAAGATTACCTATTTATTCATTAAAAACAATAGACCAATCCAAAACAGAAATATTTTTAGATGAAAACATGAAAAAATCAAGTGGGTGGAATTTTTTGCCTGTCAGTGTATATATATAACCAAAAAATTTAAATAAAAAGCTTTGGGGAAAGTTTTTAACAAACATTACACAACAAACATGTTAAACTGCTACAGCATAATAAAGACATTAGCATACAAATAATTTCAGATCACTATTACTCAGATTCTCTTTCATCTCCCTTCGGAAGTATGTTTTAAATTATTGTGTTAGTGTCTAAACTATTAGGAACTGAAATCATGAAAGTAAAATATTAGATTACTTAATTTTTGAAAAATAATTTATAACTAAGATGTTTTGTAACTCATTAAGTTAGAACTTTCATTCAAATTATAAAATATTAATGCCAGACCCTTTCACTTACTTTGAAAAATGCTTGACTTAAATCTCCTCCCAACAGCTTACTGTACATACTTTTCTGAATTATAGGATTTCCGCCCTCTAGCAAGGCTATTCCCAATTCCACAGCTTCCACAAATATAGAAGGAGAATGGACTGATTTAATTACTAATTCAACGACTAAATCTGATGCTCCTTCACGATCAAGATGACACTGTACTTCATGTAAAGTTCTACCAGCACGGCTTAAAAGTTTTCCTACAAAATTTTGATAAATAAGAAACAAAATTTGATTCATGAATTTTAACCAAGTAAAGAAATTAACCAAATTTTATATACAAAATGTTTAAGAATTGCACAGAACCAACAGTTAAAACAATCAAGAATAAAATTTAAATTACATCTACATATAAATATATGAAATAAAACATTTTTTAAAACCAAAAATCACTAAATGATTAAGAATAAAAATAAAAAATAGAAAAATTATAATCTATATGAAATTCTAAATGAAGCACACAGCATATTTTCTGTATGCTCTTACTTCTCTTCATCAATAAAGTAAGGTAACAATTGTATTTTAACTTTATTATATATATGTAAAATAGATTTTGTTTTATTAATGTTGATGAAAAATAATTATATTTAACAAGTTTATTATCATAGTTAAACATAAAAATACACCAAAAATAGAGTAATAAAAAATTACCTCCTGGACCATGCATCAAAGCTGATGGCTGAATAGGAATCCTTAGGTCCATAATGACTGTTTCTCTTCTTATAGGAGTCAGTTTGCCGAAATACCGGGTCAAGAGACTACCTCTTAACATATCACCCTAGAATTTAAAAAAAAAATTTATTTTATTAGCCCTTATGCATAATTAATTAGTCCCATAAGTATCCCCAAAAATGATTTAGGGGGGCAGGAGAGATGCTTGATTCTTGAATTACTAGTATACATGGGATATTATGGGTCAGTACTCCAACAACCTGTTCCATACTCCAATTAAAATCAGGTATAATTTTTCTTTTAAGACCAGAAGTATGAAACCATAAAAACACCAATTTTCTACCAGGATTTTAACCCGATTGGTTCAGTATAGGAAGCTCAAGTCACTAGGATAGTTTACTAATAACTCTTAGGAAAATAAAATTATCTCTTTAATAAATATTGCAATCCAAAAAAAAGCATAATTCATTTTTCAGGCCCAAAATTTTTACTTTCTGAGGGGAATTAAATTATGATGAAATATATTATATTATCATCAACAATTGTGTCATCAATGCCTAATTTCCAGTTATGACACTTTGATATGTCAATTTTTTAATGCCCCAGGACTGCCCTAGCCTGCTGTGAAAGTAGTGATAGTAGTCCCACAGTTGTATATGTTGCGATGGTTAGCGTCGCTCTAATGATGAAGAAAGCAAGAGAGCTGGAGTAGACTATGCAGCACTAATAGGAAGAAAACTAAGAGCAAAGTAGGCAGGGGAAGCCAGACATAAAAATAGAGGCTTAATCAGAAATCTTAAAAAATAGATATATAGTTATTCTGTTCCCCCATGAAGTAATACCTGACAGGAATTCCGCAGGGTGTTAGCAAACAAAAGGAAGATGATTTTTTAGTGAGTAGGAATCTCACCTTAGTACCCTTTGTCAAATGAAAAAAAATGTACCCAACCAAAAAAATCAGAAGACTTGGATTGAAAAATTTTCATTGTGACAAAACTTTCCTTTACTATATATTTCATGTATTGGTAAGTGAAAGAAAGTAAATTAAAATCAGATTAATAACAAAAATGATAATCATTAATGAGAAAGGAAAACAGTTTATCAATCTAAACTTTGATTTTTTTATTAATATTTTTTACCTTTTCTCCATATTCTAAATCAATTGCCATCATTTCACGTAAAGTTTTCAGTACTTTCACACACAATTTTTCCTCTTTTTCTTCCAAAAGCTTTTCACAATGTTTAATAAGTCTGAAAGTAATAATAATGTAATGGTTAAAACTTAAATTATACAATGTCTTAATGAACACTAATAATGTAGATAAAATAATATGTGGATAATTTTAAACCTGCGAATAAATCCACCACTTTCACATCTCTTCCTGGCTTCAGTACCCTCAAGAAAAAGCAATTCTGGACTATAAAGAATATCTACGAGTAATGAAAGTTCAGCTTGAACCAGTGGCTTTAACTGATCTTCTAGTAAGAGTACAATATCCTGTAATCCTTCAATAATACTTCTGTCTAAACGCATCAACTAAGACAATAGAAAAAAAAATTTAAAGCATCAACAAAATTAATATTAATTCTGGATAAAAATTAATATCAACAAAATATTTATATAATATTGAATTATAAAATTTGAGTTTATAGAGTTGTCAAAATATTTATTCATACAGCAAGAAGGAAGAGGGACTCCAACTCCTATGTCATGGATTGTTAGTCATTGAAATAATTTTCCAAAAGATAAATTTTAATGACTACAGCAAATTAGCTGTTAGAACACAACAAGATTTATACCACAAACAAATTAAATATGAATCATAAAAATGTTTGTGTTGGTAATTGAAATAAATATAAGTATGGAGAATTAATGCCAGTATCTTTAATTATCGATAAGAAAGGAACGTTTAAAGAAGTTGTAAGTTACAACAAAATAACCAATAAATTTTTCAGTACATAGAATAAACTGAAGATAATACATGCAATATACTAAAGTTCAAATGATATGCCTACCTGTGATTGTGAACGTTCAATTTTAGGTGTTTTAGATGCTTGGAGCCATTTACTTGTTTGTCTTGATAGCAAACTACTTTTTGTAAACATTGATGCAACCTGGTTTTCTAAATCAGATGGAATGGCTATAGATCTATTTTTTGCTGAAAATAATTTTTCGGGTTATATTAGAACCATTGCATAATAATTAATAAAACTGAGAAGTTAATAATAAGACAAATTTCAGTAAATCACTAAGCATTAATAGATAATTTGAATAAAACAATATCGCCGACTATTCTCTCCTAATTAATCCCATCTATTCTAATTTAGGATTTTTAGGTGAAGAAAGACTTATTAATTAAACTTTATAATGATATGTTTACTTCACCACACTATATTTTTCTTTTATTACAGATTTTAGGCTATTTAAGACTATCTACCAGTAATCCCAATTAAAGTTTGGAAACAAAGTCCAAAATAATTAAATAAAAAAAATAATGGTTATACAAAATCTTTAATTATGAGGAAGGATTAAATATGTGATACTGATTCAGTAAATGCATATTTATTATGGATTTAGTTAAATCATATGAGTGTACTGAAAGAATAAAAAATAGTTAGCATGTGAGAGAGATCACAGTTAAATAGCCATGAAAGTGGGGATTATAAATAAAAATAATATGAGCATTAGGGTGACAATATAAATTATAGGGATGAATAATAAAACTAATTGTTTTTAAATGCATACCCCTCATATTTTTTCCTTTTGATATAGTGTAAATTTCATTGAGTTTGAAATAAGCAATCAAAAGAAATTTAACCATTTGACCATTTCAAATCTCTGATAAGAATCACAATTATCATTTTTTTCAATTGTAAAATGTTAAAATAATATTCCAGCATAAGTATATAAGTATTTTTACTTTTTTACCAAACTTATTTATACATATGTTTGCTTTTTGGTTTCCTTTTTACTATCAGAGTATAATCTTCTATGGTTTTCTACAAATTGGAGGAGAAACTGGTTTTGCTCTTCATCAAGATTCACAGTCAATAAGCCATTCAAGTCTTGCATTAATTTTATCTTTAGACTGTTTACTTTGGCACTTTCAAGTCCAATTGTAGAAAAAAAAAATCATTCATGGACTACCAAATTTGCAATTTCTAACCTCTATTAAATTGTAAAATAGTATCAATAATACTAATTCAATAAAAATAAATTGCTTCCTGTGGTTTTGGGACGTAATCAACCTAATTATAAATACTCAGATCATTACTTCCAAATCACAGGACATTTTTGAGTCCACTATAGTTTTTATTTATTGCATCCGTATAGTGATTAGAGAAAAAAGGAGGGCTGACTAACCTTTACGCAGGATGTCATGGGATGAAGTGAACATTAAACTGGAAAGCATGGATGTGCCATTGCCTCTGAAAAATGCAGCACAGATTTCTCATAATCGATTTGAATCAAAGAGATTTCTATTTATTTTTTGCATCAAAAGAAAAAAAAAATTAGGGATGTGTGATCAGAAATAATATGATCACATAATCAGACCACCCTAATGATCATTTCCCAGTTAAAGTTTCTAGAAAGATCCACTATGTAAACCAAGTAGAAAATATGTATATATAGAGTGTATCATAAATTTAAAACATACCAACTTCCACCAAAGTTCGAATACAGTTTTCAACATTATAATGTTGTGAGGTATTGAGCCAGGAACATTGAGATACTCTAAATGCAGCATGTAATAGTTGTACAAATATTGGTTGTCTAGTCTAAAAAATAAAAAAATAAAATAATAAAAGGTGGCATAAATTAATAAAATAATTTAAGTCGCTTGAATTGTAAATTTTTTTGTTAATCTTAGAAAACTATAAAACACATAATAGTGATCAGCATTTTATTTTAATTCAATTCACTATTAAACTAAGTAACTTCATGACTAAAGGAAAGACAAAATCAACAATTTATTTTAACGATATTAGTAATAAAATTATGACAACCCATAATTTATAAGCCAGATATTTGTCAATCAGCAATATTGTAGAAACCAAGAAGTAATTTAAAAAAAAATTAAAATAACACAAAATTAGTTTAACATATTGGATAAAGCCATACACACAACACTTTGATTAATGAAAAATGACAATACAATATTATCAAACTGGTGTTAATAAAACTGATCATTGTTTAATATTATATTCATGCTCTCATAACGATGAAAATCCATAAAGTTGTTAATTATAGCTCAAATCTTAATAATAAACAAACCAAAACAAGTCCAGGAGCAAACTTTAAATTTTTGACATTAAAGGATGATCAAAAGTAGTTCTGACAAATCTAATTTCATATAAGCCTTTACCAAGTGAAGTGTCAAGAATTTCACAAATCTTCCATGATTGCCATTGACCAAAACCCAAGTATTAATCGTAAACCTCTCCTGAAGTTAACAAATATTCTCGCTGCTACCTTGCTATAATTTCTAAAATTAATAAAATTATTTTACAAAATGAAATTTCTGAACGAACAATGATGTAGTTTAATGATGAATATTTCTCTTCAAATACAGTTTTTAGTTTTTGCGAGATCTTCATTAATCTAGTGCTAGAATTAATTAATATTTAACTATTTAAATAATAATGATTAAATTTAATTATTTAGTTTGTGAAAATTAATATTAGGGAGGCTGGAAAGTAATGTCGTTTTCTTATATAAAATTCAAACACATAAATTTCACACAACTTTTTATTTTTAATCAATGATGTTATCACCTTCATTATTAACAACCTTTTGCCATTTAGCGGGCAAATTTGCAATTCAGGATTGATAAAAATAAATTGATTTTTGAGCAAAATATATTGAGATGTCATTTTTCACATCTAAATTTGCAAATCTTTTGCCACTTAGAAGATGTTGAAACCATCAAAGCAAATGGAAATCCGATGGTGCAATATTGGTGTTTGTATATGGTTTTTGCAATGGTAATGCTAATGTTGCTCATTGTGAATATGCCGATTTCCGAATAGAAGATTACCAAAAATGTCTATCTTTAATTCCACGTTTCAATGTCTTAGAGAAACTGGTACATTTGCTATAATACTGATGGTATTTTTGCCCCTTTCCGAAATGAAGAAAGGAGTGCAAACATATTACAATATTTTGATGATAATACATAGAGCTAGAGCAGAATTAAATATTATGCCAACTATTGTATGGAGAACTCTCACTGCAGACGGACTTCACCTATATCATTATCAACGGGTAAAAAACTTATTTTTAATAAGTTAATATATAAACTAATAAGTTTAGGTTTCGAGGACTATCAAGGTATGCCAGTTTGACATTCTATAAAACGATGATTCGTCCGATAGTCACATACTGAAGTGAGGATTTGGGTTATCTCAGCAAAACATGAGAGGGCTCTTGGAGTGTGTGAGCGTAAGATTCTTAGGAGGATTTAGGGGACTGTATGCGAAGAAGGCGTTTGAAGGTCCCAATACAATCGGGAGTTGCGACAACTCTACAGGAACGCAGATCTCGTAGAGACAGCCTTAAGACTATAATAGTATAAATTGAAAGGATTGCTGGCTTTATATATCTATAAGCTCTCTCTATAAATAAGCTTACAACCTATGTAGTGTCTCTATCAATCTTCAAATGGCTGCCATTTTGTGTTCCAGCAGCTATATGCTGGCAGACCTGCATTTTTTTCATCAGGCCTGTATGATCAATTTATAAGGACAAAGCTTAGTATGAAATATGACACCTTTTTTGCCACGGGCTCCAGAACTATTTGTTCAGGTTTCAGTACTTCAAAATGAACAACTCTGAGAATACTCTACCTAACACACAAAAGGACCTTTTAGGGGTGTAAACCGGGCTTAGCAGTATTTCGTGGTGATATGGAGAGAGCTACTGCCTTTTGCATTTTGGATTACCATACAGGATCCATTTTTCATCTTAGGAGATCAAGCGTTCAAAAAACGCTTCTGTATTGTGCCATTGAAGCAATAAGTTGCATATATTAATTAAGCAATAAGTATATGACAGTTTGAAATCTGCTGCAAATGTTCTAGACGATTGACCAAGGTTCGTTAAGACTGTTTGACAATTCCTCGATTGTCTGGCATGGATTTGCTTCCACTTCCGCCCGTAACATGTTATTTTCTAACGTTGTTGGTCTTCCTGATCGATACGAGTTGGAAAGATTACTGGATTTGAACTTGGAAAACCATCTTTGGTATCTATGAACGTCTAAGGCATTTGGATAAACATCGCAAAGGTGTTTGTTAGGAACTGTTAGGTTACTATCCATGCAAAACTCAAAAAGCATGTGATGCCTGCCATTCCACCAAAATTTGCAAAAAAAAAAATTTATTTTATTATTTGCAACTAAACAAGTCACTGTTAACTTAGAATGTCTTTGCCACGACTTAAATGTACACAATGAGCTGCCAAATGACAATCAAATAGTGACATGCTCAAAAACGACTTTACTTCCTGGTCCTCCTAATAATAATAAGTTGAATACATGTATATTAGTATGCGTATTTTATTGTTTCTTCCAACCCGACAAAAGGATGCATTGAGGCCTATTGTATGTCGTCCTAAAACTCTGTTAAAACAGGCTAGATGCCTTTGCGAAATTGTTAAGACTAATGGGATCTATCAATTTGCAGCACTTGGGGTCAGTGATACAATCACATCTAAAGGGAAAGTATCGCAGTCAGGCTAAGTTATTACATCTGCGTATAATGTGGTAGGTGGTATCATCTTCCAAGCCACACATCCTGCATGTGGGATTCGTTCGTAAACCAAAGTTAATGAGGTGCTTATTGAGTCGACAGTGACCAGTAAACAGTCCTGTCACACACCTAATGGTGCTAATGTCCAGTAGAAGAAGTATGCTTCTCTTGTGGCAAGGTCCTTCTAGGAATAACTTAGAGTGAGTTTGTTTCCTAGTTTGTTCCCAATTGAGCTTAGTTATATTGCCAGCAACTGCCTTAATATGCCTTTTGGTACATCTGAGGCTAATCCCACAGACGAGCGACTCTGGTGCTACCGGCAGTTATGCAGAACCCTTCCTAGCAAGGTAGTCAGCTTTCTCATTGCCTGGAATACCTGAGTGCCCAGGCACTCTATCAGCCCTCTCCTTGTTGTTATTACAGAGAACGTTCAGATTATCTTTACCCTCTTCTACCAACTTTGCATAACTATTCAGGGCACCAATTGCTGCTTGACTATCTTCATAAACATTGAAATCAATCTGTTTATAATACCCTGCTATCCTATCCCTATCATCCAACAATAGAGTATGTCTCTATATTTATCAACTTGAAGGTCTGAGTTCATCATGAACACCTCATTGCTATCAATCCTATCAAACACGATTCGGCATCCCTAATATGTCAGGAATTTCGATCTAGTTCCTAATTTATCCATTCTATAGGCAGTTCTAAGAGCATGTACTTCTATCTCTAGGTGCAATGGTATAAAGTTCAAATGAACTTCCATTGCAGCAGTAGAAGTAGTGCTCATAGCTCCAGTAGTCATAAGGCAAGCCTTTTAAGTTTTCCAAGCAGAGCTCTAGGCTTGCTTGCTGCAGCTCTATGCTACCACACCACAGTCCCATAGAGGATTAAGTGTCTAATCGCAGTCCGATACAGCCATAGGGCCATATGGGGTTTTAACCTCCACTATTTGCCAACAACTCTTTTACATGCCAATAAACAGTGTAGAGGCTTACTATTGTAGATCCTTACAATATGACTTAATAATTTCAACTTACAATCCAGAGTAATCCCAAGATGTTTAACTTCACTACAGATATTTAATGGTGACCCAATCAAATGCGGTGGTCTAATATTGACATTCCTTCTGTTAGTGAAAATACAAAGATTTATCTTCTGTGGATTTATGCCAAGCCCATTGTACTGGCACCATTCTTTCAGAATATTCATCCTATTTACAAGCAATCCAGAGATTGTATCCGGAAATTCCCCCCCCCTATTAAGACAGAAATACTGTAAGCGTAACCCTGATAATAAGATCCAATCTCCTTCAGTTTAGCAATCAGAGAGCCGACGACCAAGCAACACAAAAGTGGAGACAGTACACCCGTACTGTGGACAACCTGCAACAGGTTTAACCCACAGTGTGGTTTTTCCTAATTCAGATTTAAAGACTCAGAACCAAAAGTCCAGGGGCAAACTTTAAAATTTTGACACTAAAGGATGATCAAAAGTAATTTCATTTCAAAAGTAATTTCTGACAAATCTAATTTCATATAAACTTTTAATAAGTGAAGTGTCAAGAATTTCACATGTCTTCCATCATTGTCATTCCCCAAAACCGAAGCATGAATTGTAAATCTCTCCTGAAGTTAACAAATGTTCTCGCTGCTACTTTGCTATAATTTCTAAGATTATTTTACAAAACGAAATTTCTGAATGAACAATGATGCAGTTTAACATTTTTCTTTCTAGATGCATAATGATGAATATTTCTCTTTAAACACAGTTTTCAGTTTTTGTGAGATATTCATTAATCTAGTGCTAGAATTTATTAAATTTAATTATTTAGTTTGTGAAAATTAATAGTAATAAGTTGAATACATGTATATTAATAAGCGTATTAATATTTACCTATAAATAAAAAAAGCAACAATAAAGTATAAAAATTTACTGAGGATTCCATTATCACTATGGTTTATAATCTGCGTTTGTTAAGGATTTTATTGGTTTATTAGTTTTCTTGGGGTTAATAAGTTGTTCATTAATGATTTATGATTAATTAATTATCAAAAACAATTTTAATATTACAATTATAATGAGCAATCTAATAAAATGTATAAAGTATACATACATAGCTAAATGAATTTTAAAAACACATTAAAGAAGCAAAATAACTTCCAAATGATAATCGATTCTGACAGTATATCATAAAAAAAAAAGCTGATATATATTCTAATACAACAATAACCATTCAAGAAATAATTAAACAACTAAGATACTCAAATCTAAATATTGATTTAGCTTCAAACATGATCATACTGAAAAGTCTGTCTTCCAATAGATTTTTGTTAGATTTAGATTTAATTTAATTTTAAAAATCTGAAAATGACTAATGATAACCAATGATGACTAATGAGGACTAATGATAACCAATGATGACTAATGAGGACTAATGATAGCGAATTCCTTAATCTAAACAATAAATCTAAAACAAACAACTAAAGTTTGTATTGCATTGTAGCTTAAGTTTTAAGTAAAATCAAGAATCTTGGAATAGAAGTATATTATAAAAATCTTTATAATTTAGGATACAATAAAATTATGTAATTATTAAAGATTATAGCTCAGTTCCTATGTTTTCTAAGAGTAATGTGCTGTTCATAAAAGCTAGAATACCAGTATAGATATGAATTCAAAATTATCTTTCCGACATGACTGAAAATATCCTTGCGGTAAAGTATCAATTTTGTGGCTTTTCAAGGTCAAAAGGCAAATCAAACCATCTTTAGGTAATCATTTTTCAAATATTTAAATTTTTTCAAATTTTTTATTGTTGTATCTAAAACAACCATTTCTTGAGCTACTGTTAATTTTTGAGCAACACTAAGAGATGATTATCACTACATTTTTTAAGTTGTAGAGTTGCTTTGGTTTTAACGCCAGTTCACAAATATTTTTAGAGTTCATCACCCAGCCTTCTCTCTCAAGTTTATGAGAATGTTTTAAGATCTGTCCTGACAAACAGAGTGGTCAATAAAAATATATTCATCCAAATAAAGCTTCTAGGGACCTTTTTGAAGCAATCCATATAGATTATACTGAGAACTTCCTTCCAGTAGATTAAACCTTGTGGTAATAAGTAGATGGAAAATGTTTATACATTGTTATGTTTCTGAAGTTATTAAAATAATAACAATAAATAATAAAACGTAATAAAAATACAAGGACCTCAATACATTATAAAGAATATCAAAACTTACTCACTACTTACTGACGGGCTCTACAGTCTGAGGTGGGCCTTGACCTCCTTCACGATCTTTTTCCAATTCCTCTCTATCCCTCATTCTCTCCCTCCAATTCACTACTCCCATCCTCTTTAAATCCTTTTCCACGTCACTTTGGAACATTTCCTTGGTCATCATCTTTTCCTTTTTCCGGGAAATTCCTCTCTAAGTATCTTTTTCATTGCTGTCATTAGGCAGTCTTTCCAGGTGTCCTAGCCAGCTAATTCTTCTAGCCTTAATAAAGCATACAATATCCTGGTGCTTCAACAGTTCATCCAGCTCCTGATTTGTCCTTATCCTCCATTCTCCTTGTATGCATAAGGGACCAAAAATTTGTCTCATAATTTTTCTTTTGAAAATCCTTAGTGCCTTCTGATCAGCTACTTTCAGCATCCAGGCTTCGGCTCCATAGCACACAACTGGTCTGACGAAGGATTTGTACACTTTGAGTTTTGTGATTCTGTACAGGAGTGTCGATTTAAAAAGATTTAGCATACCAAAGTACGCTCTATTGCCTGCCATGATTTTTCCTCTTATTTTCAGGCTAATCAAGTTTTCGCTATTGACTTGAGCCCCAAGATACGTGAAACATATCAAAACTTATAAAGAATAAACAATGAAACAATTTAATCTTGACATGCTTCCTTGAAGAATTGATAGATTGAAAGACTGTAATGGGACTATCTCTTGTAAAATTTATTAGTTCTGATCATGCCCCATTACAATATTACATATCTGGATGCATCTTTAAAGGAAAGGATTAAGTTTAAGTATAATTATTTAATATAATACTGAAAATTGCTGCAGTTATGAATGAATAGGTTTTTATTGATTAACTGTACCTTTAAAAAAAAAATATATATTTTATTTTATTTGTTAACATACTATAAACTTTGTGTGTGACCCGATACTAACTTTTTTTCGATACAATAATGTTATTTATTGCAAAATGTTTCCACAAAAAAGTTTTTTCTATTCTATTCCATTATTTACTTATCTAAAAATAATTTAAAAACTATCTAAAAGCTAAAATAGATATTTTGGATGAGATGATATCCTAAATCTAAATGAATATCAATAAAAAAAAATATATGAATATTTAAAGTAATGAAGCTACCTGCACAGTTGTAGATTGGTCAGAAAAAGGACTAGAAAAGAAAGTAGTAATAATGGCCATAACAGTGTTAGTGACATAATTTTCCATTGCTGTATCAGCATGTTTCCTATCATGTGTCATGTTAGCAACTATGCCCATATCTACTATAAAACTTTTCTCAAATAGACTCCACATGTGATTAGAGGCATAAATTTCTTTCATTTCAACTTCCGTATCAATATAGCAGTGGTTTAGAAAGTTTGTATATGCTTCTTTCACCTAAAAGTTAAACATTAAATAAAAAATTATATGTAAAATTATATATATATATATATATATATATATATATATATATATATATATATATATATATATATACATAGCGGCTGTGTTACTAACTGATAAGGAAAGTATTTTTTTCAGTTACGACTGTTCATTAACTCTGCTTGTATTGTCTTTTTATTTAATTAAATGTTTAAAAACTATAAATTTGAAATAGCTAAACTCTCTCTCTCTCTCTCTCTCTCTCTCTATATATATATATATATATATATATATATATATATATATATATAGAGAGAGAGAGAGAGAGAGAGTTAATGAACAGTCGTAACTGAAAAAATACTTTACCTATCAGCTATTAAAATACAAGCTAGAGTACATTTCTTAATCACCAAAGCATTTGGCTAGAAAAAATGGAAAGTGTAGTAGATTCAAAGTAATGAAATAGTCGTACATAACTAATTTTCACATAACACGGTAATAAACAAGGTTCATTAAGAATAATTATAAAAATTACAGAAAAAATGTATAATTAATCAATATCTCCTGATGTTTTAAATTCCTACTTTTTATCCTCCTCCTCTAGGAGAGAGAATCACTTTATTATCATAAAATAGAATAAAATGGTGCTGCCCAATTATATTGGGTTGCTAACAACACAGCATACTTATTAATCACTACAGACATTATTTAAAATTATTATACAATTATACAGGAACAACAATATGTATGAGCATAGTATACAATATTTTATACGTATATATATATATATATTATTATTTTTTTTTTTCATTTTTTTTTCTCCTTTTTTTTTTATTTTATAATTTTTACTATTTCTTTCATTGATTTATTATCATTCTGTACCCTTTCTCTTCCTTCTCTCCCCCTATACATGTTCCCACTCCTCACATTCTCTCCTCTCTATTTCTAACCTAATACATAAAAATACATATTTCTCCCACCTCTTCCCATATTCCTGTATCATCTGCATTTAATAGTGACAAATTTTATTTTTCCTACATCACTTCTACGGACCTTTTTTCCTCCATAATGAAATCCCAATCTGACTCTATAGGAATTGACGGAATACCCGCCAAACTGTTAAAATTATGCCTTCCTGAAATCCTTCCAGTTCTTCTATTCATTTATAACTTTTCCCTTCAAAATTCTGTTTTTCCTACCTCTTGGAAAAAAGCCTTAGACCGTCCTATTAACAAAATCCCTAACCCTACCTCTCCTGAAGACTATCGTCCAATTTCCATCCTCTCTAACCTGTCAAAACCCCTCGAAAGAATAGTCCAATCCCAAATTTCCAATTTCCACGAAGGGTTCAAACTTCTAGATTCTCTCCAATCTGGCTTTTCGCCCGGATTTCTCCACTCAATCCGCTTTAGTTAAAATAAAAAATGACATACATATGGAAATTGATGAAAGAAAACTGACTGTATTAATACTCCTGGACTTCTCCAAAGCATTCGATTCCTTAGACCATTCTATCCTCTTCGCTAAATTAAAATTTCCATCCTTCTCCAATAGTTCCATCCTATGGTTCCAATCCTTCCTTTCTGACAGGACTCAAGTGGTTAGTATTCCTCACTTTGTCTCATGGAGTAGCCCAGGGTTCAAGCATTTCTCCTATCCTTTTTAATTCTTACATCAATGACCTTCCTAGTTCAATCCACCATTGTTCATACCATCTATATGCTGATGACTCCAGAATTTATCCTTCTTTTCTGCCCACTGAGTTATTAGAAGCGTTTAGGAATATTCAGAAAGACCTAGATAGGATCAGTGCCTGGGCAAGCTTGAATAAATTAAAGTTAATAAACGCAACAAAATCTCAGGCCATTCTTATAGGTTCCAACTCCCTCCTTAGATCCATTTCCACCCTTCCTTCCTTGATTATTAATAAATAACCAATCTCCTTCATCTCCTCTGTAAAAAACTTAGGAATTACCATTGATCAAAACCTATCCTGGAAACCCCATATTGCTCATATCTCCAGAAGGTCAATTGGTACACTTAAACTGTTCCATCGTTCTTGTCAGCATTTCCCACAACCTATTCGCAAGCTCCTCGTTTCCTCATTGATTTTTCCCCACTTTGACTATGGCTGTGTGGTATACGGAAGCCCCTCGTTGGTGCTTGAGGACAGACTGAAGAGAATCATGAACTGTTTTTTAAGATTCGTCTTCGGTACCTAAGATTTTTTGTTTAACTGTTAACATATTATTTTATAGTGTTAGTTTATTAATTTAGTCTACTTTTTATATTTTAACACCTAAATCAATGCCTTTCTGTTATTAAATTATTGTTTTATTTATTTTCTTATTTATCCAGGTTATACTTTTTGTCTCTCTATGTACCAATATGTGTATCTATGAATATATATTTCTTTTTTCACCATTACACTACAAGTATTCCTGAGAAGATTTTATTTTTATTTCTTTTAGTGTTTGCATATTATTATGTAAGTCACTGTAGATATTAATAAATTTTCTATTAAGTTAATTTTTATTAGTTAGCCTATTATTTATAAATTGTTTAGTTATGTACAGATAAATATGTAATTTTTTTTTTCTTCCATCACAATAGTAAGTAATTTTGAGAAGATTTTATGTTCATTTACTTTTTTGTTTACCTCATTTTTAGTGGTTACATACTATTTTTTAAATTAATTTATATAATGTTAGAATTTTTATAAGTTAGCTTTTGGTCAGATTTGTATTTTCTTTTTTATTAATTCATCATTGTTATTCTAAGGGGACTAGTCCCAGAATAAAGTTCAATTTTCTATTCTATAATTAAAATTATAAATGCTATTCAAATGGAGTGAAATAGTATTTAAAAACAATATTCTTACCTCAGGAATACAATCTGGGTGTGAAACCATAGCTACAATATCATCCAGTGGTAGAAGAGAATGGCATTTTATTTCAGTATATACATTTTTTCCCATAGTACAACAAGCTAAAAGTTTAACTAATTCAATGTGGTATCTAAAGAAAAAACAAAACATTCTTAGTAATCAGAAAAATATTGCAATGAGATGAGAAAACTGTGAGAAGCAGAGTTCTGTCACTAAGGTCATATTTTCTCCACATTTTTGTTTGATAAACAGATGATAAGTGATTTATTTTTTATAAATGCTTAACTGATGGGATTGAACAGAATTTAAAAATAAATTTAACAGCTTAATTTCTATCTCATGGTTTGTTTAAAACATTTTATAAGAAAAAAAGGTAAGACACCTCACCTCCCCCTCTCTCCCAAAAGGCACTTACACTCAGTTCACATAGCAAATTTTGAACATTCTATCTCAATCTGGATGAACTTTAGAGGAGTGTTGTAAAAGCTTAAAACTGAGAAAAATGAAAAAAAAAAAAAAAAAAACTTGGACATTCTGAAATTTTTCTGCAATTTTATGGATTTTTTCTGCCAACCATACATAGTGAATTTCAGCTCATTTGATACAAGAGAGTCTTGGAGATACTCAAATGTAGCATGGGTTCAAAAATATATATTATACATCTCCAAAACCCGTAAAACTGTTTTCTAGGAGTTATAAATCATATTTAAAATGCATCTCCACCTCTTCTGATGACCTTTAATACACAGTTAAATTTTATTATTTTGGAGGAAAATATGACAATATATAGGGTATATAAATTTAAAAACATAAATATGATTGTTTAAAAATTATGACTAAAAAATAAATATGCTAATGAAATACATTTAAGTTTTTATATGATGAATAATTTATAACCCAAAAATCGGGACAACGAAACATCTTCAATGAGAAATGGAAATAAAGAACTTTAAGAACAGATGCCTTCCCACTTGTGGGTAGGAAAATGCTAATCATACATGCTTAAAATATAGAAGCATTACAGTCCCAGAATGGATGATGATATGGCAAGAGTTCAACTCATTTAAAAGGAAAATTTGGTAGAAAAATCTAAATGTATCACAAGCAAGAAATAATTTAATAACATATTTTAAAATCATTCCGAAAGGTAAACAAGAATAAAAAAGTTGATAAAGGAAGATCCTTTTAATTCACATTGTACCTAATTTTAATCTGTTTATTATTTAATAGGTCACATTTCCAATACTATTATCAAGCAGAAATGTGGGTCTCATAATGTCATGCATTCAATAATAGCTTTTACTGTGACTAGTCCATTAAATGCATTCAAAAAAGACATCTATTATACACACAAATAAGGCAAATGTACAACAGGAGATAAGCTCATCCATATCTTTAATCAACTATCTAACTACAACTGACTATGACTACTGTTTCTTCTATAAGTAGAGAGAATCGATAATACAAGATTTATCCACAAAGTTTACATAAAAGTGAATTACACTTATCTTGTTTATAGAACTTTAATATAAGCCAGAAGTTGGGTAATCAAGCTAACAGATAAAAATATTCAAATAACAACAAATATTGAATTTCGAAAAGGTGTTGTCAAGTTTTAAAAAAAAAAGCTATGGGTGATTATGGTCTCTTAGTTTTCAGACAACTATGATTCAAAAGAAAGTATTATGCAAATATTTTAACCAACTATAACTGATTATGAATACTTTTTCTTCTGTATGCAGAGAGAATCAATTATAAATTTTTATAGTTTGTCCAAAAATTCACATTAAATAAGAGAATTCAATATTACCCCCCTCAAAATATGATTGTGCCAGTTTCCATTACTGGAAGGCTCTTTGGAAATAATTTGTTTTGAGGTGCTTCAGTCTCATTAAAAATCTGGACTGGAGGGTTGAATTCTTGATTCTACACAAATTGAAAAAAAAAAAAAAAAAAAAAAATTGACAGTCAATATTTATTTCCTTGATCTTTATTGATCTGAATCCTCAGCTTGTTTCTATACCTCATTTTGGTATTTGAGTTTCACATCAAATTCTTAATCCAAAACTCATCTCCTACAATGAACCAATCGAGAGAGTCCCCACCCTTTTCAGCCTCTAACAAGTGCTCACAGCAAGCTACCGTACAAGCTCCAGGCTTTGTCTTAGTGTTCAGGACACAAAAGCTTCTGAATAATTTTAGAATCATTCAAAAGCTTTCTACCACAGTTAGTCTGAGTTTAGACTCAGACTAAGTGTGGTGGGAATGACATTTAGTGAAAATATCGATTAGGAAGCCCTTTCCATTACCCTCAAGAGGTTTCTAGTAATCATTTATACAAACTTTCAGGACAAATCTTCAAATACGATAGTAAACTGATACTACAATCCAAATATATTTTATCAGAGCAAATATGCCAAAACCCAAATTACAATGTTCAAAATACATTTATATAATACTATCACTAAAATACATGTGAATTACTAGATATGAGATTCATACTTGATACACTAAACTTTATCAAACCCAAAATTTTATCCCTTATCAGTGATTTATACATGTACAAAGGTATAAACATGTACAAAGCTAAAAACAGATCACGTAAATGTTTAGAGTCCGTCACGTCTGGAATTAGGGTTGAAAATGACAATATTCTCATCGATCCGGTAGACATATTAAATAAGTTTAAGAACCTTAATAGAAGAACCGAGTAAAGAGTAAGTTGAAGTAGCTATCGGAAAATTAAAATCTTATAAAGCAGTGGGAACCGATAATATTCCTAGTGAACTAATTAAGGCATGCAGGGAACTGGAGTTTTTAAAATACATTTGTTAGTTAAAAAGATCTGAAAGAACGAGAAATTACCTGAAGAATGGAAAGAATATATTCTTATTCCGATTCACAAAAAGGGTCCCAGGACGGATTATAATAACTATCGAGGAATTTCACTCCTTCCTGTATATTATATAAAATAATAATAAAAGCCTTAGCGAACCTGAATGTTCGATGCCGACACCACCAATTGCTCATTACACACTTCCCTTCACCGAAATTATAAAATATTCACTTTAATCTTAACTAGTCGAATCATGGAATACACCGAGGAGATTATCAGAGAATACCAATGCGGATTTAGATAGAACTGTTCAATTATCGATCAAATATGGTTAGCTGCAAAAATGGCATTATTTCCGGTTATATCAATATAGAAGGTAATATGTTTGAACACGTAGGTATCTAGGGTCTAGGGTAACTAGAAAAAACAAAATTGAAGAGGAGATTAAGGTTGAATCATTGAAAAAGTGTATCAAATGGGCTTGTAAAATTGTTGGGCTTAGTAACGAAAGAATTCTTAAAAGCTTAATATTTGCTGTACCGAAACGTAAACGTATGAGTGGTAGACCCAAGCGAAGGTGGGAAGATTGTGTTAAAGCCGATCTGAAGGGACTGTGTTAGGACGGTGAACGGTGGAGGGAGGTATGTAATGTAATAAACAATTGATGGTGTCGGCATCGAACCTTCGGGTTCGCTAAGTCTTCTATTATTATTACTATTATTTCTATTTTTATTCTCGCTTTGCGGGGTGAGTTTCCGAGGTGGGAGACCAGAAGTCACCTTTATATTATTTTTTTAGATGTTTAAAAATTTTCTGATAATACATGCTGTGTCTAAGAGAACTGAGTGTTGAACACCTCTTTCAGCACATCAAGAGGTAGACTTTGGTATCAGCCCATTGGAGGATATTATAATTGGAGTGGTGATGACGCTCCCCAAATGATATAATTCCTTCAATTCTATTGAGTGTTCCTGATATTTTCTCCAACAATGGAGCTTATATTATTATCATTGGGGATTCCAACATTATTATTATTATCATCATCAGTGATTTATAAGTTTCACGCCCACTTTTAAAGGTTGCTCACCTTTCTAATCATGATCTAATCATCCTGTAATTAATATGTACTGTGGTGTTCCACATTTGCTCAGTCCTAGGTCTCCTGTTGTCGAACATAATATAAAATGGGGTCCTTAAGTAATGAGGAGTTCAAATAGGCCCATTACTGAAACCCATTGCTGACTAAGTTAGATTTCAATATTTTAAAGAAGAAATTCCAAACTAAGTCAGTAATATCATGGGGTTAGTAGAAACCAATTATTAATAAAATAATTTAGAGATGGATATATAGTTCACAGTTGAAATTGTAAGGATAAAAAATAGGATATGGAGTCAATAATCATATTTATTACGTTTAGAGATGGTTCTACCCAAGTATGTGGGTCATCATCAGGGCAATGGTTTCTGAGTTCTGAAACAGTTCTGGTTTGGCCTTCAAACCATCGCTGAGATGGTGACACACATGCTTGGGTCGAAATGTCACCAAACTTAATAAACATGATTATTGACTGCATATCCTGACTATTTTTCTTCCCCGACCATTTTCCTTATTAATAAAATAGTATATATCTAGTCCAATTGAAAACTTTATCATTAAATTATTTTTATAGATAAAAACTGACCTTAGTGAGCTTGATTCTTCCATTCGATGTCGATCTAATAACATCATAGAAACAAATTGTGAGAAAGATGCTTTATCATTGTAAAATACAAGAACATCTTCACCAGCATTTACCAACTTAAAAATAAATAGTAAAATTGAAAAATAAATAAATTAATAGGTGTTCAAAAACTAATTATATAAAAAAAAAATTATATAATGATTTACCTCTTGCATCACCATATCTTGACATTTCCTAATGAATTGATTTTCTGCTTTGACAATGGTTTGGAAAAATTTCAAATACTGAACATGTCGACCATGAGTTTCAATACAATGGATGAAATGCTGAATAACCTTTTCATTAACCTCATTACACAATGTATAGTTATCACGAAATATGCTACAAACAGTCTCAGCTTCCAATATCTATCAAGAATTTTAAAAATAATTATTTAGAGATCGATATAAGTTGACTGTTTTTTAAAATTACAAGAATGATAAATCATCAGGATTTGCAGTCTAGATTTGTTTTACTTACCTTCATTTCAACCAAAGCATGTGGGTCATCATCAGGTCTAAAAATTAAAAATTAAATCAGGAATATAAGACATAGACAAAAGTACATCGTCAATAAATTTTAGCATAATGTACTTCTGCCTATATCTTATATTTATGTAGTAATTGTTAATTTTTAGCCCTGATAATGATCTATATGCATGGGAAAAATCATCGACAAGCCAAATAAAACAAATTTAGACTGCAATCCTGATTATTTATCATCCTCATAAAAAAAAATCTAATCAATAATTGGATATACTTGAAAGTTTAACTACTGCTGAGCATTGTTTACAAACACAGAATAAATGTTTAGAAAAATGATTACTTAGCATCATGGAGATAGTTATTGAATATGTATAATTGTTTCTAAACCTAAATTATTTGGTACTTACAGACAGTTTTTGGGCAAAGGTAAGGAGAAAGTACCATGGTTTTTTAGTTTACAAAACTGTTACTAATGTCTTGTTTGCAAGCTTAAACGGTTAGATTAAACAGTTTAATATTTAAGCAATATAACTTCTATATTTAATTTGTATTGATTTTATATAGTTAAAATAAATGGGCAATTTCATAACTTTTATTTTATTAGGAAGCTAAAGAGCAAAAGATTGTAGGAAATTGTCATTTGCCACAAAAATTTTGCAATTCATCACCTTTATATAAAATCAGCCATGTTTAATTATTTATTTCTGAGATCAGGTTTAGGATTAAACCTAAATAGAGTATTAAAAAAAAATACATGAAAAGTAATCTTACAATTAGGGGGAGAGACAGGGTCAATTTTTATTTTATTTTTTCTTGTAACTATGATGGTATGTACAATTCCATAATACTTCTAAACCATTTTTTTAGTTTGAAGGAGTTCATAAATTGAGAAGATAGAATAAATATTATCATTATTCACAACAACAAGACCTCTATAATTTTTTTAATTAAAAGTGAAACATGAACTTATTGTAAAATAACTATTGAAAATAACAGTAGCAAAGCCTCCAATTTATGATATTAGCCCACAAGTAACAATCATTTTCTTCAAAATTTGCTTCTAATGGCAGTATTAAAAGTATAAAGAATAAAGTGTACGCTGATTTAACTTACACCAGGGTTAAGAAATAAATCTAAATATTTATGTAATAGAGCTTGGTTTTGCTGATTTCCAAGACAAAAATTATGTAAGAATTGATGGGCCAAAGTCATAAGGTTATTCATTTTGCTGTCTTCTTTTTGATCATAAGGTACTTGTAAAAGATCTAAAACAACTGTATGGACACCAACATTTCTGAGAAGACGCTGATCATGCTTTCTAGGTTTTTTATTATTTGTCACACACAAGGCATTCATTCTCATTAAAATCTAAAAATAAAAGAAAATAATAATTATTTGATTAGATAAAAAACATATTACAATTATTTTAAGGCCATAAAAGAATTGAACAAGCATATAAATAGACAATACAAAATCTAAAACATAAGATAATATCCTATCAGAATTAACTGATCAACAATGTAACTAAAAACATAATACCCAAGCATACTTAATTACCAATTACATCCGTGTGATCTCTGTAAACTGAACTAATTAGTTGTTGTTCAGATTATAGAGGGAGTTCAAGAAAAAAAACATGAAAAATAGAAGATTACTACTCAATAAATTCATACAACTTTACTAACTGGATTCTATATGTGTATATTAAGTTAGGGATTGGTAAACAGATAATCAAATATGTATGAACTTTATCGAATTCTAGCCACTACTCCAAAAAAACATACTTCCGCTTCAGATCAGGAAATGTATTATTTGACAAGCCTATAGTTTGAATATGGCTTGTTCAATTTGACCCAAACTTGGAGGAAATGAGGAGAATAGTTCAGAAATTGTCAAGTATCAATTTCATTTAATTCCATTCAATAATTAAAATTAATATAAATAACTGTTAACAATATGATGGCTGTGAAATATGGAAGGCATTGATCATGTGGAGTCGGAGTTAGGTTAATACAATATTTTTATGGGGTTATAAAATTTTAGGTTTTATTCAAAAAGTCAATTTATAAGTTGATTCCAAACATTACTGGCATGACAATTACTGCCACTACATAGATTTTGTGTAATTTTCAGTAAATTTAAATTAATTTTTCCCCTGAGTTCGTAAAAAAAAGTCTTATTTGTGATTATGTTTATTTCTATTGAAGATCAACCAGCTCGTCGTGGATTAGATTTCCTCCTTAAATATCAAAGTTATGTGATCATCACACATATTTTTATATTCCAGCTTAATTAGTTTTGAATTTTTCGTATGGATTTTTTGTCCATCCATTTTACGAATGAAAACATACCTTTTAAGTATATATCACTACTGTTAGTGCAAAAGGTGGTATGTAAACATTTACAATTTTATTTTATATTTGACATTTTGTAGTCTGTAACTGATATAGATAGTTTGCTAGTATGGAAAATATTATACTAATAAATCATGAAGAATTTATTAGTTTTTATGCTCTCTTGTAAAACACTCAATTTTTACATATTACGACCTTTTGCACTAACAGTAGGAATAATTTTTTTTTTTTTTTTTTTTAAATTACAAGTTATCCTCGCACGGGCTCATTACCGCGTATGGGGAGCGTCCCACGGGTGGCGGATGTGGGGATGGTCGGTGGAAATTCCTTGGAAGTTCCTCCCGGCTAAGTCCGATGGACTCGCTGACCAACAATGAGAGGGGCCCTCCAGACTTGCTGGAGGGAGGGGACCTCCAGACTTGCTGGAGGTAGGGGCCCACCAGACTTGCTGGAGGGTGTGACGTAGGATTGAACGCCCTACTCACATATCTTTAGTTCACCAAACACCACAAAAAGTCATGGATCTCCCTAAGGTAAAACGCTCATTATCCGGAAGTAAACTAGTCCCCCGTTCGGGTCTCCGGGTGGGGACTGCTTTAGGGGATTCATGGCGCAAGTTGAATTATAGGGATTTAAATATTGGTACGTGGAACGTAAGGAGTTTAAACACAGCAGGGGGGCTAAAATCGGTCGGGAATGAGGTAAATGGGTACAATTTGGATGTCGTGGCTCTGCAAGAGGTTCGCTGGCCAGGGGAGGGCTCGATGAGGGAAGGGAAGTACACTATTTGGTACGGAGGAAGCGGGAATCATTGTTTAGGTACCGGGTTTCTAATTAGGCGTAGATTACTATCCGCTTTGAGGGACGTACAATTCTTTAGTGATAGAATTTCGGTAGCTACATTTCAGGGACGTTGGTCTAAAATCGCATTAATAAACATACATTGTCCGACCGAAGACAGTGACGATGAAGTCAAAAGTGAATTTTACGATAAACTCGAATGGGTTTATGATAAACTACCACGAAACTACATGAAAATAATTGTAGGTGACGCGAACGCAAAGGTAGGAAGGGAAGAAGTTTATATTCCGACGATTGGTAAAGAAAGTTTGCACGAATATAGTAATGATAATGGGATCCGTCTAATAAACTTTGCCATCTCGAAAAACCTGATAATTAAAAGTACGACGTTTAAACACAAGGATATTCATAAATATACTTGGACATCACCGGATTCGCAAACACGAAATCAAATCGATCATGTCTTGATACAACATAGCTGGCAAAGCAGTATAATTAATGTGCGGTCTTATCGCGGAGCAGAATGTGGGTCGGATCATGAATTAGTAATCGCGAAACTTCGACAAAAACTTAATATAAAAAAGAGAAAAGAAAACCGTTTCGATTTTGAGAATTATAATTTGGAAAAATTAAAAAACCCATCAATTAGAAACCAATTCGAGCTAGATGTTAAGAATAGGTTTGAAGCTTTAGAGCTTCCTGACGAGGACCACGAGGATATTGACAAGTTATGGATAGAGATCAGGGATAATATTAAAGCGGTCGGTAACTCGTGTCTAGGAAAAAAGGAAAATAAGAATAACAAACCGTGGTTTGATGAAGATTGCTTAAACATGTGCGAAAAAAGAAAAACCGCTAAATTAAAAGCTCTAAATAATCCTAGCGAAGACAATCTGGAATACTTCCGAATCTCAAAGAACGAAACGACAAAATTGCTCAAAAATAAAAAAAGGGAGTATCTTAAAAATAAAATAATTGAAATAGAAACTAATAGAATCGAAAATAACGTAAGAGACATGTACAAAGGTATAAACAGATCACGTAAATATGTAGGGCCCGTAACGTCTGGAATTAGGGATGATAATAACAATATTCTGACCGATCCGGTTGACATATTGAATAAGTTTAAGGACCACTTTGACAATATTTTAAATACGGGAAATTATGATCTGTGTCCTCCTTCTGAGTACCAGAGTGCTGAACCGTTAATAGAAGGACCAAGTAAAGAGGAAGTTGAAGTAGCTATCGGAAAATTAAAATCATATAAAGCAGCGGGAATCGATAATATTCCTACTGAACTAATTAAGGCATGCGGGGAAGCTGGAGTTTCTAAAATACATCGGTTGGTTAAAAAGATCTGGGTGAACGAGAAATTACCTGAAGAATGGAAAGAATCTATTCTTATTCCGATTCACAAAAAGGGTCCGAGGACGGATTGTAATAACTATCGAGGAATTTCACTCCTTCCGGTATGTTATAAAATATTAACTTCAATCTTAACCAGTCGAATCACGGAATACGCCGAGGAAATTATCGGAGACTACCAATGCGGATTTAGACGGAATCGTTCGACAATTGATCAAATATTTTCTTTACGGCAAATATTAGAGAAAAAATTGGAGTATAACGGTATTGTTCACCAGCTGTATATAGATTTTAAAAAGGCTTACGATTCTATTGACCGCCAGAAACTGTATAATATTCTAATCGAGCAGGGGATTCCAAAAAAACTAGTAAATCTAGTCAGGATGTGCTTGACGGAGACACTCAATAAAGTTAGAATCGGTAATAATTTGTCCGAAAAATTTGAGGTTCGTTCGGGCTTAAAACAGGGGGATTCTCTTTCGCCTGTCCTGTTCAATTTGGCATTAGAACATGCCATTAGGGAGGTAATGCGAACCGAGAAAGGGTTGGATCTGGGCGGGACAACATCCGTGCTGGGCTATGCTGATGATCTGGTACTGTTAAGCGAAGACGTTGAAACTATAAAACTAAATACGACAACGTTAATGAAAGCCGGTAAAGAACTAGGACTCGAAATAAACGTGGATAAAACAAAATATATGGTTAGCTGCAAAAATGGCGATACTACTGGTGATGTCGATATAGATGGTAATATGTTTGAACAGGTAGATAAATTTAGGTATCTAGGTTCTACGATAACTAGAAAAAACGAAATTGAAGAAGAGATTAAGGTTAGACTGAAGGCGGGGAATGCTTGTTATTTTTCTGTGACAAAACTACTTAGTTCGCGCCTCTTGTCCCGTAACTTAAAAATTAGAATCTATAAAACAATTATCTTGCCTACAGTTCTTTATGGATGCGAAACTTGGCCGCTTACATTAAGGGATGAGCAGCGTCTTAAGGTTTTTGAAAATAAAGTATTGCGTAGAATATTCGGACCGAAGAAGGATGAGTTAACCGGAGAGTTCAGACGGTTACACAACGCCGAATTGCGTGAGCTGTATCCGGGTAATATAATTGAGGTAATTTCATCACGGCGAATCAAATGGGCTTGTAAAGTTGTTGGGCTTAGTAACGAGAGAATTCCTAAAAGGTTAATATTTGCTGTGCCGAATGGTAAGCGTCCGAGGGGTAGACCGAAGCGAAGGTGGGAAGATTGCATTAAAGCCGATCTGAAGGGACTGGGTTTGGACGGCGAACGGTGGAGGGAGGTGTGTAACAAGCGATTGGTGGTGTCGGCATCGAACCTTCGGGTTCGCTAAGCCTTATTATTATTATTATAATTACAAGTTATCAAATATGCTATCTGTAAATGTGGAACTCTTTTGCATTTTAGTATTAGCTGATGAACAAAATTCATTGATATCAAACACTTATATGTTGAGGCATTACTGAATTTCTGAAAACAGCTACTCTCAAAGATTATATTCTCAAACACAAAAAATATAGATCTTCTAATAGAGATATTTTTAGCTAATGAAAACGGTGAGGAAGCTATACTGGCTTTACTTGGCAGACGTTTTTTTGTTGTTTTTTTTAATAACTCAGTTATTTTTGTTTGTATTGGCTATTGGAGGTTATCCCTCTCTGCTTATTCATTTAGACACATCATTAGAAAGATCGGCGGCTACAGTATATTGTTCGCTGTTGCCCATCCAATATAGTGAACGAAATAAGGCACTTAATCTTCATACTTTACAGTCATTCATTTTTTATGGAATAACCAGGGAAGGGTGATTGTGCCTCTAAGCATGAGTTAAAAATAATTCTAAAATTCAACTAGACAAATGGATATTTTATGTCCCATTTTTACCTTCCTGAATAAAACTTTCCACCCCCTTCCCTTCTCTTCACTTCTTTTTAGCCGAGTTTGGATTACTGGTGTGTTCGAACTACTGAAGTGTGGATTACTGAGATTGCATTGTATTTATATTGCAATGTTTGCTCACTAATCCATAGACTTATTTGTAGATTGAATTGATACTGATTAAAATACATTGACTTAACTTAAAAACTATATAGTACCTGTTGGATCTTTTTATATTCATTAGCTTGATCTGAATATAGAGGATCAAGATCAGTTGCTGATAGCTGTTTTCCAGTATCACTCAGCATAGCTTTTCCTTTCCCAATAACCTCAATACTTCCTCCATCATCCTCATCATCTTTTTCTTTTAATTTTGTTCCACTTCCATCTTCTGAACGGCATTTATAAACCCATAATTCTGATTTTTCAACAGATTGTCTTAAAACATCCAAGTCTGATTTAATTTGTTTGTATGATTCAACATCACTATCAGATACTAAAAGTTGAACCTGTAATAAATTAAAAAATAATCACTAAATATTTGAATTTATTAAAAAAGTCTTTCCATACAAACAATTATAAAAAATAAACTAATAGGCAAAATTAAGAGAGTCTATTAGACCTTTATGGTATAGATATTTTATTGATCAGTTACCCATCTAATAGAAAGGTAATTATTATATCTCAATAAACATGATAGAACACAATTGTAAATTATAAAATAGTTAATTATTACACTGTTCATCCAATGAAGGTAATCATAAAATTATACTCGATCAATTAACATAAAATCAACTACAGTTCTAAATTTAATTATAATAAATAACAAACAATCATATTATTTTAACTCTAGAAATACATTAATGTGAAGGCAATGACACCATTAAATTAAAAAAAAGCATATTCTTTTTAAAAAACGTTTTGCATGATATCAGAAGTAAGCGTAAGAAAGTAGAGGGGTCAGACTCTTGGCTGTGGAATGGGTTAATTCGGTTCTGAGAGAAAGAGTCCTTAAATCTGAGTTGAGACTATCTGTACTGTGGTTTAAACCTGTTAGAGGGTGTTCACAGGGGGGTGTGCTGTATCCACTTTTGTGGTGTTTGGTCGTCGACTCCCTGATAGTTAAATTGAATGTGGCGGGGTTTTATTCTCAGGGATACGCTGACGATATTGGGGTATTGATAAGGAGCAAGTTTCCAGATACTATCTCTAAACTGCTTGAAAATACTATGAGACTTCTGAAAGAATGGTGCAAGGAAAATGGCCTTGGTATAAACCCACAGAAGATAAAGCTCTGTATCTTCACTAACATAAGAAATATGAACATTGGGCCACCATCATTAAATGGGTCAACATTAAATATTTGTAGGGAAGTAAAACATCGTAGGATTACTTTAGATAGTAAGTTAAATTGGCTAAATCATATTGAAAAGATTAGTGGTAAGGCTATAAGCTGTTTATGGGCGTACAGAAGAGTTGTTGACAAATCGTGGGAAGCTGAAACCCAGCATGGCCTTATGGTTATATAGAACTGCAATTAGACCCTTAATCCTCTATAAAAATGTAGTGTGGTGGCATAGGGCAGCTGCAAGCAGGCCTAGAATACTGCTTGGCAAGCTTCAAAGGCTTGCATGCCTTATGACGACAGGAGCTATGAGCACTACTCCCACTACTGCAATGGAGGTTCTTTTGAATCTGACACCATTGCATTTAGATGTGGAAGCACATGCTCTCAGAACTGCCTATAGATTAGATAAACAGGGCACGAGATCGAAATTCCTGACGTTTCAGGGCCATGGGACCGTCTTTGATAGGATTGATAGCAATGAGGTACTTGCGATGAACTCTGACCTTAAAGTTGATAATTATAAAGATATACTATATAATTTGAACATAAGCAGGAGTAACTCGCATAAACCATGTAATGGAGTTAACTGTTATACTGACGGCTAGTCAATGGAGCAGGGATCAGGGGCTAGCATCTGGAGAAAGGATAAACCTAATGAGGGAATATTCATATCTCTAGGTAGATATATGTCCGTCTTTCAAGCCGAGATTTTAGCCATCAATTTCTGTGCCCAATCACTTATTAAGGAGGGCATTGTGAATAGATTGATAACAATATATACGGATAGTCAAGCGGCAATTGGGGCCCTGAATAGTTATGCAAGTCGCTCAAAGTTGGTGGATGAATGTAAAGGCAATCTTAACCTTCTTTATAGTACTAAAAAGGTAAGAATAGAATGGGTACCTGGGCACTCAGGCATTCCAGGGAATGAGAAAGACGATTATCTTGCTAGGAAAGGCTCTGCACAAGTGCTGGTTGCAGCAGAGCCTATTTGTGGGATAAGCCTTAGCTTTGCCAAAAGGAATTTATGCTACACTGGGTATAGAATAGGAAACAAACTCATTCCAAGTTATTCCTAGTAGGGACCTGCCATAAGGACAGGAATACCATTAAGTGGGTGACAGGACTGTATACCGGTCGCTGTCAATTAAATAAGCACTTTTACAATTTGGGTGTACGTGAGACCTGCAGGCTATGTGGCCTGGAGGATGAAACGGCCTATCACATTATTTGTACTAGACTGCGATTCTTTCATTTTGAACGTGATCATATAACTGACCCTAAGCATTGCGAACTGATTGATCGTATTGGTATCAATAGGTTCGCAAAGGCATCCGGCCTGTTTTAATTGAGTCTAGGACGACACACAATAGGTCTTTTTAAGGCCATGGTACACCCTTATGTTGGAGCTTTAAAAAAATAAATAAAAGGGAAGTGAAAGTAAAAATTATAGATGCTACATTTATTTAAATTTCATTGTGGGTATTTTTATTTGAATAATTAACCTTACATATACAAATTTTAATCTTTGTATAGCTGTAATCTATACAATTCAATATTAAATAATACCAACGATAGCATTTATGAAAACTGCATATGTATATGTACATAATATTGTCAGAGTCTGTATTGTATTAAGCTCATGCTATGTAGGAAGCCTGTTCTAATCTTTCGGGCGAGCTTCCTTTGGTTCTTCCATTACAACTATTATCCGTTATGATCTCTTATTTCTCTTTTAGTTAATTATCAAATTCTTTCATATTTTATATTTAACTAGTTTTTATACAAAAATTAATATGAAATGATTAATTATTTTTTTAAAAAAATTAAAGGTTTTTATTTATTTTTTTAGGTTTAGGTTCTAATTTTTAAACTAGCCATTTAGCTCTGTTAGTGAATATCAATGAGAATGAAACCTACATTATATTAAAAACTGCTTAATAATACACTGATTAAAACTCAGATTAAAAAATGTTCACAATCGCAATACTTACCCTTACTATACATTACATATACAGGTAAGTGAAAGTAAAAACTCTGCTGCTGAAGCACAAAAAATCCTTGAGACTTACAGTGAGCAAGCTCTGTTGGAATTAACATGTAGAGACTGGTTTCGGTGCTTAAAAAATAATGATTTTTATCTTAGAAACAAAAAGAGGTGTGCTCTAACACACTAAAAAAGTTTGAATATGAAGAATTGAAGAAATTATTTAACGAAGATCTATGTCAGACATTAGCTCAACTTGGGAAATCATTACTAGTAGATGACTCAGTTTCGAAATGATTAAAAGTATTAGGAATGATCCAAAAGCAAGGACATAGAGTGCTCTATGAGTTGAAGTTTTTTGCATCGTCTCTTAATACAGTATGATAATCCTCAGTTTAAAAAATAAAATGTAAGCCTAGCCATGTGTCAAAACATTCTCCAAGCCAAATATGCATGGTTCAAAGCTTCTTTACATTAGGAGGAACCAGCATGGTATAAATTATTATGAAAACAAGAAGATTTTATTACATGACAATGCTCAGCCAAATGTAGCAAAACCGGTTATCAACGGATATAATTCCTTCCAATTATCACATATTTCATTTGATGGCACGTGGCCTGGCTGAGCAGCACTTCCATTCTTATGAAAATACAAAAGAATAGTTAGATTCTTAGATAGATTTTTTCAAAGTGGAATTCATATGCTGCTAGGAAGATGGGAGAAAGTATTGGCTAAGAATGGTAATACTTTGAGCGACATGTTTGTACCACTTACTTTAAATAAAGCATTAATATTTATTAAACTTATTTAATAATATAATATTCCTCCATCAATAATTACAGACATTTTGAAAAACAAGTGTAATAATGGGCTTGTTTCATCAGTTGATTATGTAAATAAAGCCATTTTAATAATTGAAGAAATTAAACAATAAACACTAGCAGTGGACAAAGGGAAAAGTAACCACTCTCGTCCTATAACGCCAAGGTGTCATAAGTATCCAGGAAACTCCATGATGTCTTGCTTCAAGTTTATTTTATTTTATTTTTTTTTTTGCTTTATGTTTTTTTTTCTTCAAAATAGTCAGGAGCCAAACACAAATTAACTATTGTGTTGGATGTTAAATAAGGTGAAAGGTTAATTTAGTATTGTCTTCCAAAAAAGTGTTAATTAAGTGTAAATACCTAATTTTTGTGTAACAAAAGTGTTTTATCAAGACAAGATTGCTAAGGACAAAACACCAAACAAAGATTGAGCGGATTTCACCGCCAACAATGGTGGAATCATCTTAAACTGAGGTAAGTAACATGAACTTTAAAAACAGTGATATAAACAATGAAGACGGCTCCTGGGAACTGGTTATTGGTCGTAAAAGACCTATGATAGATTCGAGCGAGCCAAGAGCTCAAAAAAGACCGACAGAATCTATCCCAACCTCGAACAGTTTTCAGGTTCTAACCAACATTACTAATTTACAAACAGAAGAAGTTAGAAGAGCGCCTCAAAACAATAAAACTCCACCAATTTTTATAAACGGTGTTGAAAATTACCATGCATTAATCTCATTTCTAGAAAACGAAACGGGTCCTAATATGTTTAAAACTAAGTCTACATTGAAAGGTGTCACTGTGTACCCAGAAAATCCTGACGTTTATCGAAAATTAAATTCTAGCCTGCGAAATAAAGGCGCCGACTTCCATACTTACCAACTTCCACAGGACAAATGCCCAAGGATTGTTGTTAAACATCTTCACCATGGAACACCAATCGATATCATTAAAGAGGAATTTAAAAAATTGGGTTACGAAGCCACCAATGTAGTTAACGTCATATCTAGATTCAAAAAACCCCTTCCTATGTTCTTTGTGGACATTACAAAAGAGACATTTAGAGAAGAAATTTTTAGTATTGAATTTCTTTATTATTCACATATTAAAATTGAGGAACCGCGTCAAAAGAGAAATATTCCTCAGTGTGTTCGGTGCCAGCAATATGGGCACACTAAAACTTATTGCAACCATCGACCACGATGCGTAAAGTGCGGTGAATATCATGAAACCAGCTCATGTTTGAAAACGAGAGACACCCCCGCGAAATGCGCCAACTGTGCCGGTCAGCACCCCGCTAATTACAGAGGCTGCCAGACGCTGAAAGATCTCAGGTTTCAGCGCAATGCAAGAAATCGTCTTCAGCGTTCCACAGTAGCAGAGCCAGCGCAGGGACCTCCAGGCATGCATGAATTCCCTCCAATACGGCAACGTCACAACCAAGGGGAACCACAGATCATCGCAGGACCTCCGCAACAACAAAACCAAACATCATCTAGTTCAGCACCCCCGAACCAGAAAACATGTACAGGTACGAGGAGAGGCATTACCCAACCGATACCTCCGGTAGATAATGGCTCTTCTCAATTATTTAATATAATTAATGGATTAAATAACCTAATCCAGCCCCTTTTCATTCTTCTTCAACAACTGTCACAGGTTACACAGGTCTGGTGCCCAAATTATGGCCCACAATAATTTAACTGTAGGCTCCTTGTCAGTTCTTCTATGGAATGCCAACGGACTGAAACAGCACAGTACTGAACTCGACTTATACTTGCACGAAAAACGAATCGACGTAGCACTCATCACAGAAACACACCTGACATCCCGATCAAAAATTTACATCCAGGATTACACAATTTACAGAACTGATCACCCAGATAAAACTGCACATGGAGGAACAGCTATACTCGTCAAAAATTCACTGAAACACAATCCCGTAGACTTACCCATTACACCCGACATACAATCGACAGGAATAACACTATACACTAAACACTACACTATAACATTTGCCTCAGTTTACTGTCCCCCTAGGTACAAGCTTACACCCACGATGTTTTCTGAGTTCTTCAAACGCCTCGGAAGATGCTTCATCGCAGGTGGAGACTATAATGCTAAGCATCAAGGCTGGGGCTCAAGGTTGTGTACTCCAAGAGGCAGAAATCTCTGGTCTGTCCTCCATGAACTTTCATTAGACACTGTAACACCAAATTCACCAACTTATTGGCCCACCTCCAGACGCAAAACTCCCGACTTACTTGATTTCTTTATTACAAAAGGACTAAGAACCGTACCATTTGCCGTCAATGCAACCTCCGATCTTTGTTCTGATCACTCCTCAGTGCACATGGTTCTCTTCGATGAGCCTTCCGAAACACAAAAAAGACCTAGGCTCATAAAAGGCTGCATGGACTGGGACGCATATAGAGACTATTTGAACACCAATCTTTCCGTTCCAGGTTCAATTAAAAATCATGAGGAATTAGAAGAAGCTGTTGAAAAATTCACAAAAAGCATACAAGATGCAGCATGGGCCTCATCAACATCCAGGCCACAAAAAGCAGCGAACTTGCCCCATTATCCAATGTACATAAGGGACTTGATTAGAGCAAAGAGAAGAGCACGTAAAGTATGGCAGACTAACAGACTTCCTTCAGACCGACAAACTTTTAACAGATTGAACAACGAACTTAAAAGACATATTCAAAAATTCAAAAGCACAAACTACGACAATTTTATTAACAACCTTTCGACGGACGATGGAAGTTTATGGAGACATACAAGGAATCTTTTAAAGCATCGTGAGGTGTCAGCACCCCTACGAAGAGAGGATGGCTCTTGGGCTGTTTCGGACGAGGAAAGATCTGAACTCTTTGCTAACCATCTTTCCACTGTTTTTAAACCACATACAGACTTAATTAATACAGAACACGATATTTTTGTACATAATAACTTAGACATACCGCTACAGCTCACACTACCACCACCTCCTTTCACACCATCACAAGTTGCACAAGAAATTAGACAATTGCCCAAAAGAAAAACCCCTGGTCATGACTTGATAACTGCTGAGGCGCTCCAGCAAATGCCAAGGAAAGCTCTAGTGTTTCTTACCACAATCTTCAATTGCATTCTCAGGACCACCAAATTTCCTATACAATGGAAATACTCACACATAACCATGATTAAAAAGCCAAACAAAGACACTAACAACCCTTCTTCATATCGACCGATTAGTTTACTTCCAGTATGTTCTAAGTTATTCGAAAAACTATTGTACCCACGACTATTACATATACTAACAGACAGACAGATTATTCCTGACCATCAATTCGGGTTTCGAAAATTACATTCAACAACACAACAATTGCACAGGGTGACTGACTACATCTCTACAGCACTAGAGCGGAAATTATATGCAACCGGAGTATTTCTGGATGTCGCCCAAGCGTTCGACAAAGTATGGCATCAGGGGCTTCTCTTCAAGCTTAAGACCATACTTCCACATACTTACTACTTAATTCTCCATTCCTTTCTCTCAGATAGATTTTTCTCCGTTCGACATGGCCAAGGTCTATCCTCAATTCGATCAGTTTTAGCTGGTGTACCTCAGGGATCAATCCTAGCCCCACTACTGTACATCACATACACACACGACATTCCTCAAAGTATCCACACTCTTACAGCAACCTACGCAGACGACACTGCTATCATTACCAGGCACGACAATCCTACAGAGGCATCACTTAACTTACAACATCACTTACAAATTATACTCGATTGGTGTAAACTTTGGAAAACTAAAATAAATTATCAAAAGTCACAGCACATCACATTTACTCTAAGACCAGAAACATGCCCTCCTGTATACTTAGACAACATACCGATTCCACAAACAGACAGAGTACAATACCTAGGCCTTACGTTCGATAGGAGAATGACATGGGGTCCACATGTGAAGAAAAAACGAATCACATTAAATCTAAGACTAAAATTGTTACATACACTGTTAAGACGACCTTCCAAATTAAAAGCAAGACAGAAACTAAGTATTTACACGTATCTTTTAAAACCTCTTTGGACTTACGGACTACAAATATACGGAATTGCAAAACCAACTCACATAAATAAACTTCAAACTTTTCAGTCTAAGATACTACGACTAATCACTCAAGCACCATGGTACGTAAACAATCACACTTTACACACCGACCTACACGTTCCGACAGTCAATGAACACATACGAACGTACTACAAACGATTTCATAACATGTTAAACGGGCACTCCAACCAGCTGGTAAAAGAAATGGCCACAACTAGTATGCCCGAGAACTCCAGAAGACGACTGAAAAGGGTCTGGATGAGGGATCTGCTTAAATAATGTTAGTAAATAAAAGCCATGGAAGGGATACCGCTGGGTATTGCTATTCCTCATGCCTATCAAGCCTTTTTATTTATTTTTTATTTTATTTTATTTTTCTCTCATTACTAAGCCTGCACATCTGCTGATTGTCAATAATAATTGACAGGTGCGGATAAATAAATGTAAGTGCAAAAAAAAATAAACTATTGTGTTAATTTACTTTTAATTGGTTTATGAACTTTTTTTGTATCTAATGAAGCAAAAAATAAAGACTATCAAATAAGGACTCTGGACCTACCCACTGGTCGGTCCTACTTACTGGACTTACCAATATAAATGGCTACACAAGAAAAAAAATCATCTCTTTGAAAAAAATGGAGATTAAAGAATTTCGAGCCATGATGGTTGGTTTCATCGTTTCAAAAAAAGGCAAGACATAAAATAAGAAGTATAGTAGGGAAAGTCAAGCTGTTAAACAAAGGAAATTAAAATTTGTTAATCAAAGTCAAAGTGCTAAACAAAATTGTGAGAGGAAAAATGGGCTAGGAGGCAAGATTAATTCTTATGGGCCTAGAAACATTTCGTTTTTTTATTCCTGGTTATTGGAAATCTTGATAATTTGAATATCTCAATAAGGAGTAATAATATTAACTTCTTCAGTATGGATGGTGTAACATACATGTCAATCTCATCCCTCAGGCTGAGACAGTAAGTTTAGGCAAGAAAGAATGGAGAAATTTTCGGCAATATAGAAGAAAATTTCTGACCAAAGAAAAGAAGGAAATTCCTCACCCATAAAGGGGTAGATCATTTTGCACCAAACTCTATTGTATAGCAGGTGACATTCACCTCATAGAATCAGTATTTTTTTTTATTATAAAAAGTTCAAGAATTGAATGATTTAATTTATTACATTTTGAGAATCAGTTTTTAAGTAGACTGAACAAAAAAACCCAATAATGGTATTAAAAGCTACACTGAATACTGAAAAATCAAACCGAAAAGATAAGACAAAAGACAATCCTACAATCCACATTTTAGTCAACCAATTAACAACTTTATATACCTTAATATAATGTTAAAATTTTGATTATATCTGCCAGATGATTATCACAGGATGCCACATTATGAAGCTAAAAAACATTTGAATCGATTCACTTTCCTGTAGCTTAATATTTTATGCAACTCTTCATTTGGAAAAAATATTCTTCCATGTATTTTACTGCCAGAAAATTTTGTTCATAATTCCAAAGGGATGTTAAGTCTCAGTGAAAACAAATTTATCTTCCATTTAATTTAATTGAGGACAGTTTGCTGGTACAATAATTAATTAAGTTATTTTTATTGATGATAAAGTGAAAATGATACCTGCTTAAAAGCCTGTAACACTTCTTGCCTCTGGCTAAAATGCCTGAAAAGAAGGTGAAGAGCTCCTGAAACCAGAGGAGGGTAATCATGCATAGTAAGATGAAGAAGCACTCTCAAAAAGGTTTTCCCACCATGCCCATCCAAGTCGAGAACTTCACACTCTTCACTAGAAAAAAAAAAAATAATAATCATATCCAATTTTTAAAAAATTCCTTAAGCATCAATTCCCAATTGTTTATGTGAGTAGCTATTGCTATTTAATTGTTATTCTGTAGTTAATGTGTTAGGAGGCTAAAACTCTAGAGACCTAATCAAGTTTAAAACATCATCTACTAAAGTAGTGATGAGAATTGATCAAAAAAACTCTTAGAAGTGGGAGGTTCAATCATAACCATAACTTGGTTGGTAAATAACATAAATAAATTTTAACATGAAGTTATTTTTCATAATTTGTTTTCTATAAAAAAAATAAGCTAAATCAGACACATTTTTTATAGTAGATAATTCAAATTAGAAAATGAATTACAGTAGTTCATATATAAATTAGTAAAGACAGAATATAGCAATAATAATATATACCAAAACAGTTTCAACAATGTAAATTTTTTTTCTTATTATATTTATTGAAATTTACAACTGTATTAGTTAAAAAAAATACAAGCAAATTTGAATTCGTAATATGACATGTACAAAATGAAGAGAAACTACCCATTGGTAGATCTTCAATTATAGTTCTATAATAGAAGGTCCCGAGGCCATCTTCTTCTCAGCTGTCTTGGAATGTTTTCAGGAATTGGAGAGGAAGCAAGGTAAGAAACAAGAGGGTTCGGATAGTTCAGAAGTTTAATAAGGAAGGATAGGTACCGGGATTGGACCAAATTGGCCACATAAGGAACATTAATTTCGTTATGGATGATTTTGTTAGTGACAAAGTAAGGAGTATTGAGAATGTAAAATTTTAAATTTCAAATTAAACCTAACATTATTTTTGACAGTTGGCATATATTTGTTTAAATATTCATAGAACAAAAAGTAATGAGAAAACAACAAAAATATACTCACCTATTTCCAAAAATACCTTCTGCTTGTGTTCCAATCAATTCAAGATCAATTGGTTTTTGACCTATAGGAACATCACTACAAGATCTTTCAGAACCATCAAATTCCCTCTTGAAAATAGACAACAAGCAACTAATGCGATAATCCAGTCTAACATCTAAAATAAACTAAACAAAAACAAATGCTTTTAAAAAAATGTAAATCTGTAACAATTATTAAAAATGAAATAATAATCATTAAATTAAATTAAAGGGGAGTCTAGCTGAGTCCACTGGCCGAGTAAGATTGTCTATGTGCCACTTATTTATACTTTTGCACGTAGACTCCTGATATTTATGAAAAGTAGTACAGGTGTTAAGATTATGATTTAGAGTTCGGGAAAAAAATTTAAACCAGATCCAACCGCGAATAATGCCGTAAGGACAGTGGCAAGTTGGACCTCATTTCCGAGGAATTTATTAGTTATCAAGAGGAGGTTGAGACAGGCTTCCCCCCACCCTACACTACCAACCAACAGTAGAAGAACTCAGCTAAGCTTTTGTTGTCACTTTTACTGCATGCTTATTAAAAAGGAAATTATCAATTCATTTATTTTTTAAATCTTTGGTAGGAAGTAGATGGTATTAATAATTGCCAGTATAAAATTGTGTTTATATTTATATTTGAGTGCATGTAGGTGTGTATGTGTGGATTTTATTATTCTCCTCTTTCCATACATTTAGCATCCATAATTATAAACATGCAATATTTTTTATTAAACTATAACATAATTTTTTTTTGTGGCAAGTGTTAAAATAAATATTATTATTTTTTTCTGCCTTTTTTGCTTGCCTTATTATTGCCTTTTTATTTCTGAGTGATCACCCCAACCATCTTTCTCTTCATTATTCACAACAGTCAACCATCAACCCACAATTATAATTTTTTTCTTTTTCTTTGTAAACTGATGGATAAGATGGGTTTATTTGTTTTATATTGTTTTTGTTTTTTTAATTTAGTTTCCATGTGTACATATATAATTAATCTGGATAACTATTTATAATCTTACTTATGTATATACTTCACCTAGTTGATTATATAATTGACATTATTGATATATATATATATATTATATTGAATATTAATATTAGATATATATATATATATATTGACATTATTGATATATATATATATATATATATATATATATATATATATATATATATATATATATATATATATATATATATACACACACACACACATATATATGAGCACACTATTATTTATATTTTAACCTGTACATCTTATACATGTTTTAAATTATTTATGCATTTAATCTTATCTTATCTAGTATCTTTTAATCTATTTAAATATTTTTAATCTGTCTGAATGATCTAAATTTAGATTTAATTTTTAATTGAAGGGAGTATTTTTAATATATTTGAATATTTTTTTATTTTATCTGAATATTTTAAATCTAAATTTAGTTTTTAATTAAAGTGAATATATTTTAATCTAACGGATTTTATTTATTTATTTGATTTGTAATAATTTAACATAAATTTTAGATTTTTTTTTAATGACTAGAGGTGTTTTAAATGAGTTATAGATAAATTGTCGTGATTGCTATTTTACAAAATAAACGCTTATAAAAACACTGAAACATGAATTATTTGTTGATAATCTCATGGTAGTTTTAAAGAAAGTTAAACCTAACGAGGTAGATTTTTCAGTCGTTCTCATTTGTCCGTTTTAAGGTTCCGCAATAGCCAAACATAAAATATGTCCTGACAAGGAAAAAGTTTCAAGGCTGGGCATCGAGTGTAGATTAGAGAAAAGGTGGCATTTTTCAGAATTCTGTTATTATCTCTGTAGAGAAGAGAGACTACAAGTTTTTGATTCTGATTCTGAAGAAGAACTTCAGGTAGTATCAGTCAAATGCGAGGAGGATTCGGGTATTGTTTTGGGAAAAAGCTGTCCCTGAGCATGAAGTTTTTTTTGAAGACCCATTAGAAGTTAGGAAGCATGCAGCGGAGGGAGGGATTGAGGTTTCTCAAAGCCTGAGGCCTTCTTCTCAAACTAGTAATGAAGATTCGAATCTATTACAGCAAGACATGCCAAGGATGCTTTTGGATTCGGATAATTTCGATAAAATCATGAGTGATTTTCATACTTTTCTAAGAGAGGCAAACAGAGCACTTCCAGGCCCGAAAAACCCAACTATACGCTTCTATCAGTTGCATAAGAAGAAAAACATAGAAAGGAAAAGCAAGGGGATACAAAAGGTCAACAATCGGCGGAAGTCCAACAAGGGCAGCCAGAGAGAGGAGGCGAGATCAGTACTACCTGGCCCAGTTCAAATACTACAATTGTAGAAAAGGATAATGATATCCAGAGGATAATGAACAAGGATAACCCAAAACAGTGCCCTATCAAGATGGAGAGAATCGAGGCTCATTTTAAGTTGCTTTTTGAACACAAAAACGTTAATGTAACGGAGAGCTGTTTACCCTCTTCCAATGTTTCTAATTAAGGAACAATAGACTTGAAGGCTGTGCACAAAGTAATAAAAACTATATCCTTAGACACTTCACCAGGTCCAGATGGGGTTCTTATAAGAACAATAAAAAAGCTGGGCATTTCACATATAATTAAAATGATAATGGATAATCGTTCTGAGGTTCGGTTCTGTTCCGGAGATCTTTTGCTGTGGGCACACAGTTCTAATTTATAAAGGAAAGGGTGATAGTGACAAAATTTCTTCATGGAGACCCATTACAATCTATCATGGAGAAGATTTTTGACCATGAACTATGAAAGCAAATCTCTTTTCACCCAGAGAGGTTTTGTGATTGGACAATCCAGAAGCCATATTAACACAAGGATCATTGAAGCAATTCTCAAGGATGCCAAAAGCAAGAAGAAGGATGAAGCTGTCACATTCTTAGATGTGATGGGAACGTTCGAAAACATCGGCCATAGTCATGTCTTGAGGTCCTTGGAACCCAGAGGTGTTTCGTCTGATCTAAGAAAGGCAATTGAAAGCTTGTTGTGTACAAACATCATTAGAATCAATACAGAGGTTGATAACAGCGGAACAATTCATGTTCTGAGAGGAGTACCACAAGTCATGGACTCACTTTATACAGAGCTCTACAATCTGAAATTTACAATGGAGTACGATTATAAATTGGACCACAATCCTGTTCTGCTTGCAGGTTTTGCACATGACCAGGCAGTGACTGCTCAAAATGATGAAGAGGCAGAAATAACAATTAACCGCATTCAGAAAATGCTCTGTGAGTTGGGATTTTCCATTTATCACTAAAGTTCAGACATTATATTGAAGAAGAGAAGATTGGTAGGATCAAAGTTCTACTTGGATACTGGGGAGTAAATAAGGTCAATTGAGGAAGGTGACACCGTCAAATACCTTGGATGTCGTTTCTGTGGTGAGCTAGAATTTGATGATACATCTGTGGGTAGGATGAATCGAAAGATGGAAAAACTAGTCAATTCTCCATAAGCCGGATCAGAAACTTAACATACTAAATAGATATGCGATTTCTTCGTTGGTATATCCACTGCAGACAGGGCCTCTGGCAAAATTGCCCCCATCTTTATTAGAAGCTGTAGACGTAATAATACAAGAAACGTAAAGACGATGATCGGATTGCTGGCAGACACATGCTCGGCAATGATGTAATGCGCCGTGGCGTTATAGGGGTCTTTTGCGGTGTCAGTGGGAGGTTCCTCTTCAACACTGGTCTATTTCACAAAAACTGGCCAATGTACTAGATGGCCTGTTTCAGGCGATTTTCGACTTTGGGAGTGAAGTGCAGATCTGTTAGGCTTTGAAGCAAATACTATACAGGCGTCACAATCGGTCAAGAAAGTTAGGCAGTCCCTGAGAGAAAAGTCGTTTGAGGATTGGTGCAAATGCGAATGGCAAGGAATAGGTGTTCTATATTTTCTATACAAACCAATGGGCTAACAAGTTTATGTATGATCGTAAGATTCTAATGGGCTCGGAGTGGACAAATGCCTTGAAATTAAATATCTACTATGCTCCTCTTCGTGGAGTTTTTGGAGTCAACTATTAGATTTGAAACAAACGATGAGGATCAGGATCTCAAAGTAAAAAAAGAACAAAAGGAAATCTCTAAAAAATGCATATTGTACCTGCTTGAAAAATATAGAGAAGAATTTGGTGAGAGAATATTCGGTTCGGGGAGGATGGTTCGGGAGTAGAGGAGCGATTCCACCTTTAACTGCTGATTTTTTGGAAGAACTGGCTGTTGAAAGGAACCATCTGCAAAGTATGGCAGAATCCATTATTATAGACTCATTGGGAATCCTACACCACTATCTGTATTAATTCTGGGTGCTTTGTTGTGGACTCAGAGGACAAAAGTGAGAGAGAAGAAAATGAGAAAAAAGTTGTAGCAGTGAATAAATGAATTATAATATTCGGCACGTTGGATGATGGTCCCGTAATGATTTTGACTGATTAGTATGCTGAGTGATTTAACACAGTTAAGAAGCAGTACAATTTATTGTGCTTTTCCTATTAACAATTATTTTAACAGTTTTATTATTAGCTTAATTAAATAATAATTTTTAAGGACTTAATTAAAATACAATATTTTAAAATATAAGTGAATAAATAATTACTTGTAATATTTCTATAATTTTTAATTTTGTATCCATAACCAGCGGATATTCCTTTTTTTGATGAGAGGTAGATTTATGAGGGACTGTGGCCAGAAGTTGAGTACGAGTGATGCCAGTTGCCAAAGTTAAACCAGTTACCACAGCACCCATGTCACCAATGGATCTCAAAACACCACCTTCAGCTAGGAGAACATTTAAACCATGATTTAGAACTAACAATATGTTATTTGGTCATAAATAAAAATCTAAAAACATGAAGAAAAACGTTTTACAAAATTTAAAAGCATTTCTCATGACTAGCTAGACAAACATGCTGTATTTTTAATTATCCTGAAAATATGGAAAATAAATTAAACATGTCAACTTTTCAATTTCATTTAAAATATATGATCAACTTGAACCATTTTTTAAATTGTATATTATAAATTAAATGCAAGTTAATAGTTTAATTAATTCAAATTGATTAATTTCACTATTAATTAATATTATTAAGAAATAAAATAATAATTATTATAAAGAAAAAGACAAAAAAAAATAATTGAAAAAGAAATGAACAAAAATTATTGCAAAGCCTCTAAGATAAAAAAGAAACTAAGTAGTTGACAAATTGATGAATAATAAAAATTAAATAATAACATTGGGGTTACTTACGAAATATGTTTAGGAGTGAATGCACAGGTATACATTAACAAACAGTTAGCACCAGTGAAATAAAAATTAAAGTGCATTTATTATATTACAATAATGACTAGCATAAAAATTTTTAGAAACTCACAGTTAATTTCACCAGTTGGTATTTTCTGAGTAATATCATTTTCTGAAGCACAATCCAGAATACTTAAAAGTGTTTTTGTAATACGAAGTAAGTCACTAAAGCTATAGAATCCGAAGTAAATCAGTTCTCTGGCAAGTTTAACAACCTGCAAAAATTCTAAATAAATGACTTAATCTTTAGTAAAATTTTATTTCTTTGACTATTTAGTTTTGGGACTAGTTAGCATTAAAGCAGCATTGTAAGGTGATGATGATTTGGAAACATGATTTAGGCATAGAAAGCTTATATATACAGAGTGTCCCGTAAGTGGAGGGAAATGTTTATAGGAGTGATAGCAGACCTGAAATTTATGTTTAAAATAAAGAACACCACATCTACATAACAATAAATAAATAAAGAAACTTGCTGATTGCTTCAATTATTTTCATGAAAATGTAAATATTAGGATCAGGAACATTTAGTTTATCACTTATAAATACCGATCAATTCCTATAATATGGAAATCTGTGAAAAACACATGTTCATAACCAATTTACCTGAAAAATATTTGAAAAGCATTATTAAAAAAAATAAAATAAAATTATAAATAAAAAGTGTATTTAGACAATTATGTTTATTATAATACATTCCAGTTCATAGAAAAACAAGAAATAAAAGCTTTGTAACAATCAATTGTAGTCATTTTTGCTGAAAACCGGATACTTGACATGATAAAAAAGCATATATTTTTACACAACTTGAAGTGAATCTGAAGTTTTTATGCTAATACATCAATCTGGGAGAAAAACAGTTTCATAACCATTTTAAATGAAAATATTTAAAAAATCATCATTTTTTATTTATAAATAAAAATTGTATTCATTCAACTGTGTTTATTGTAATATACGATTTATACCAATACAATATAAATATGGCATCCCAGATCATATAAAAACAAAAAATAATAGTTTTTTAACAGTTAATTGTAGTCATTTTTGCTGAAAACACGGATACTTTTAGTTGACAGGATAGAAAATCACACAATTTTTGTACACAACTTGAGGTGAATCTCAGGTATTTGCCTAATAAAACTTAGCTTAATTAATATGGTCTTAAAGCTCATTAAATAAAGAAGATTTTCTAAAAGTGGGGTATAGGATGATAAAAAAAAATCATGAATAATTTATGTTTTTAAAAAGTTAATTTAGCTTAGCTCTAGTTTATAGTGAAATCATTTTTAACTACTTAAATGAAATAGTTTTTTAGTTATCACTTCCTATGCGACAAAAAATATATTTTATTTAAATAATTAAAAATTATTTCACTGTAAACTAGACAAAATTTACTTCAAATTGTAATACAGTTTGTCGTTATTCACTCACTCACACTAACAAACTGGCACTACAGTCCATATAGGACCTTGGGCTCCATCAACAGCTTGCTCCATTCGGCTCTGTCCATAACATATCTGCTCCAGTGGTGTACACCCAAAGACTTCAGGTGTGCCTCGACATCATCCAACCATCGTAGTTGAGGCTTTCGTCCACCACCTGGCTTCCCGTAGAGCAGTTTTTTTAGGGATTCTACCAGAGCCCATTCTCTCTATATGTCTCAACCACTGTAATCGGCCAAACTGGATAAAAGAGACAATGTCTCCCTCTCCCAACAACTCCTGTAGATCCTTATTTGTTCTAATTTGCCAGCCATCCCATCCCCTGCTTTCACTGCTCCGAATATTCGACAAAGAACTTTTCTTTCACGGACTTTCAGAACTCTCTTATTTTCTGCTGTTAAGGTCCATGATTCGCTTCCATAGGTGACAGTTGGCCTTACTATTGTCGTTTAGATTAAGATCTTTGCCTTTCTTGAGAGGTTCTTGAACTTAAGGGTCTTCTGCAAACCCCATAGGCAGCGGTTCCCAGCAGCGATTCTGGCTTTTTTGTCAGCTTCTGTCAAATTATCAGTGGTTATCAAGCTACCGAGTTACCTGAATTCTGGACAACATTGTATTTAGTATTCACCCAGTTGAATTGTCCACTCTTCACCATACCGTCTTGCCATCTGCATATACATTGTCTTCTGGACATTAATCTCAAGTCCAAGTTCCTTTCCAGCTCCCAGGAATTCTTCTAGTGCACCTGATAAAGGTTGAAGTGTCCCTGCTGATATTACCACATCATCTGCAAAAGCCAGATGTTGTGTCAGGCGGTTAAAAATTGTACCACCTGGATTTGTTTTTATTTTACGAATTGCGGACTCTAGTACAAGGTTAAAGAGCAAAACTGACAGCGGATCACCTCAACGTAATCCTTTGCCTACCTTAAAATCTTTAAAGTATTTCCATCCGATTGACCTTACAGAATGTATTCTTTAGAGTCATGCGGATAAGCCTGATAAGTTTTCTGGGGATCCCTTTGTTGGTAATAAAAGCATTTAAAGAGTACTTTTGAGCAGCCAAACTAAGCTAAATTCTGTTTTTATAAAAATCATAAATTATTTGCAATTTTTTTTTAATCATCCCCTAAGTAGACTACAGATACCCCACTTTTTGAAAAACTTATTATTGCGAAAAACAAAGAAAAACTTCCTCTTTTAACAAGCTTCAAGTCCATATTAATTAATCTGAGGTTTATTAGGCAAAAACTTGAGATTCACCTTAAGTTGTGTACAAAAATTATGTGATTTTATATCCTGTCACTTAAAAGTATCCATGTTTTCAGCAAAAATGACTACAATTGATTGTTGCAAAGCTTTTAGTTCTTGTTTTTTCATGATCTGGGATGTATTATAATAAAATGTATTATAATTATATAATAAACATAATTGCATCAATATACTTTTTATTTATAATTTTATTTTATTTTTTTAAATAATCCTTTTCAAATATGTTTCAGGTAAAGTGGTTATGAAACTTTGCATTTCACCCAGATCCATATTACAGGAATTGATCGGTACTTATAAGTGACACACTAAGTATTCCTAATCCTAATATTTAAATTTTAATGAAAATTATTGAAGCAATCAGCATGTTCCTTTTTTTTAAACGTTAATTTGAGGTCTGCTATCAATCCTTTAAAAATTTCAATTTAGTGATCTCATTCCCAATTTAAATTATTAAGTTAAAATATAATACTCAGAGGTCGGTTTTTTTGTTGGAAGCAATCAGTTGCAGATTTATTCTGAACCCAAGGTAAATCCTTTCTCTGTTATTCGTATCATATCAATGATCTTATTTATATTCTATTTAAATGTTTTATACATTAAATAAATGTTAATAAGTTAATTTTATATTTTTTTCCTTTTTTTTTAAATTTTGGTTTTGTCTAAATGCTGATTTTGGTACACATGAATCTCTGTCTACTAAACAAATAAATGTAAGTTTCCTACATTTTATATATATAATGTAAGAATATACAACGTATATTGAACAATGAAAATGAAAAAAATTAAAATTAAAACATACAAAAATTAAAATGTAATAGTAAAAATTAATAAATGTAAAAATATACAAAATTAAAATGATACTTTAGTTGTTTTATCATTTTTCCGTCCACCTAAAAGCAATATATACATTTCATATAATATAAAAGTGTTTGAAACTTGAAATAAATGTAAGTGCAATAATAGAAATTATAACTGCGCTATTTCCAATATGGAAATTTTTTAGGTAAGAAAAAAATTCGTAAATACAAAGATAATATATAATTTGAATCCCATCATTGGTGTCCTTTTTTTTTAGAAATAATATGATTTATTTTTTATGATCACTTACAGTTATTTTTATGATAATTTTCAGTTATGAGCCTCTAGGCAGAATCTGCCTGCTAGGAAGCGCGACCTCCAGGTGGCAGATGGGTGATCCCTCCTAGGAAGAGTGGTCTGAATATAATGAATAAAGACCCGTGGACCAACAGGTATCCAATGCTGAGGGGTATAGCCCGGCTACCCTTTCTCCTGAGGGGATACAAATATTCAGGAGGCCTGAGGATATGGGGCCTCTAGCATTGGGCCAATCACCCATCTAGAGTAAATCGATTCAAAGAAATATAAACAGCCACGGATCCGAACAGTCAAATGGTTATAGACGCGACAGAAAAAAGGATTTATATTTTGCTAATTGGAATATAACATCACTTACATGTAAGGAGAGAGAACTGGTGGAGAAAATAAAATGATGTAAGGTGGATATTATCGGGCTAAGTGAAGTGAAGAAGAAAGGGAATGGATTGGCAAAACTCCCAGAGGAGTAATAGCATGATATATTCAGGAGTTAATATGGGACAAAGAATCCGAGAAGATGTCGACTTTGTCCTGAAGGACAAATTATTTGATAGAGTAGAAGCTTGGGAACCCATATCATCTAATTGAGTTCTGCATGGAAAATAATATGCTTATTGGAAACTCGTGGTATAACCATAAGACGATTCATAAAATCACATTTGAAAGAGCACCATTGATTATTTTATCATCGATAGGGAACTCAAACAGTACTTCACAGACATTAAAGTTATACGAGGAGCAGAATTGAATACGGATCACAGGCTATTGGTTGCTGACTCCAAGATACTAAAACTGCAGAAAAAGATCGCCAAGTTATATAATAGGATAGCTGTCAACAAGCTAAGAGGAGAGGAAAAAGAGCAGCCTTATACAAGCCGCCTTCAAATCCAACGTCAAGAAGTTAATGGGAACGCAGATATTGACACTATTTGGGTACAAATCAAATTTAGTATACTCAAGGCAGCCGAGGAAGTATGTGGTTTACAACAAATAAGATCTACTACTAAGAAAATTAGGTGGTGGAGCGAGGACGTGAAATGGTCATATCTGCAAAGAAAGAGGCCTGGAAACAGTACTATAGAAGCAAGTTGCCAGGAGATTGGGCATTATACATAAAAAAAAGGAACCAGTCTAGGAGAATAGTTAAGGAAGAGAAGAGAAAATCTTGGGAGGAATTCGGGCTAGAACTTGATAAAAACTATAAAGAAAATATAAGGAAATTCCGGCACATCACAAGAGCACTAAGGAACAAAAATGCAAAGCCTGTGAGAAGTGTAAAGGATGAGCATGACATGCTGATGACAGAAGACAAGGACATATTGGAGGTTTGGAAGAAATACTTTCAAGAAAAATTCAGAATGGAAAAAAGGAGGCAAAATTTTCGAGATTGCCATAGAAGATGTAGAAGAACTGAACCAGAAGTCCCCGACATGGATGACACCATAAAAGATGAGGAGGTCGAAGCAGCCATTGCTAAAGTAAAGATGGGAAAAGCAGCTGGGCCAGATGGGATTTATAAAATATAGAGGAAATGAGCTAGTCAAATGTCTCCAAACACTATTTCAAAAGATTTGGGATCTCAAAAGGATACCCATAGAATGGGAAAACAACATCATTCCCAATCCATAAGAAGAGAAGTCAAAGTGTTTGCGATAATTACCGCCTCATATACCTGTCATCGTTGGTATACAAAGTATACACTAGAATCCTGGAACAAAGATTAAGGAAATTGGTGGAAGAAGATCTGGAAGAGGAACAGGTTTTAGGCCCGGTAGGTAGACAGAAGATCATATTTTCTCCCTGAGAATGATTGTAGAGAAGGCAAGGGATAGAGGTAAAACAGTATAATTAGCTTTTCTAGATTTACAGACGGCTTTCGATCATGTTCCTAGACAGGAAATATGGGATGCATTGGAAGACAGGAGAATCCCACAAAATCTTATTAGTGCAATCAAGTCCGTTTACCAAGACCCAAAGGGATTAATAAGGCTAGCCAGCACTGAGTCCAAGTCATTACATTTATTTAGGGGAGGAGTTAAACAGGGCAATAGACTGAGCCCCCTAATGTTCATAATTTTCATGGATGCCAATTGGAAATTTTGTAAAAGGACACCCAGAGCAATAGTGGGATACTGGAATATGACCCCAGTGTTGACACAGGCATTGTTGTACGCAGATGATGTGGTATTGGTTGCGGATACTGCTGAATCGCTCCAGGTCACTGTGGATGGGTGGCAAGAAGAACTGTAACTCAGAAGCATGCAGATCAATCCCTCCAAAAACAAGGTTATGTGTGTTGGACGAAGGAACGAGGATCTTAGAATCACTTGCAATGGAGAGACCTTTGAGCAAACAGAAACCTACTGCTACCTGGGAACAATGATCGGCAAGAATGGAAGAATGGACCATGAGGTCATGAATAGAGTCCAAAAGGCCAATGGAATATATTACCAAATATCCATGACACTCATTGGAAAGCAGGAGTTAAGCAGAAAAGCGAAGATACTGCTATTCAAATCAGTTTTTCTCCCAGTGCTACTATATGGATCGGAAAGCTGGACACTCTTGGACCGCCACGCCAGCAAGGTTGTATCTGCAGAAATGAGATTCCTACAGGAAATATTAGGAAAAACCAGGCAAGATCGAATAAGGAATGAAAGGGTGCGAGATGAACTAGGAGTTAGATCCATCCTAGAGACGACTGAAGAAAGGCAGTTGAAGTGGTACGGGCATATTAACAAAATGGGAGATGACTGTAAGGCCAGGTGGCTCCTAGAAGCAAGACTGGGAGGAAGGAGACCTCAAGGCAGGCCAAGGCTTATCTATGCAGACTGTGAATAACAAGTTAAAAGTTAATTGTTAATGACCCATTTGGCGACTAATTGTAAATAACCTGTTAAGGTTTAAATGTAAATGACCTTTTAACGGGCAATTGGGAATAGCCTTTCCGTTTTTATTGGGGGACTAGGTTATTTACACTCGTGAATATTATAACAAAACCCTGGCACTGGATATAGACTTTTTGAGGATGTTTAACTGTCGTTGGGAATTCGGGAATCAAATACCTTTTGTGACACTGAGTGAGAAGAAAAAATTAGAATATGTATATGAAATGTGGGACTGAGTAAATACAGTTTAAATGAATTGACTCATCTGGTTTGTTATTCTTCAATTTTGAGGCATATAGGACAACTAAATAAATAAATGACTTTTCATTCCTGTATAACAAAACAATTTATTTTGACAACTGTAATAAATGAATCTATTAAAGTCTTATAACTGTAGGCTTGATATTCTTAGTCTTCAATGTAGTAGGCTTCTCTTATCAGATAACGTCGTTTCCCCTTAATGTCCCAGCCTCAAGAGCCTTCTCTTCTCTCCAGCGTCCTACTCCAGATGTTGCTACCTGCTCCGTCCTTTCAGTACTTCCAACCTTATTCCTTCTTCGTCGATTGTTTATCGATATGAGACTTTTCAATGAATAATTTGTCCACTGCACAATTGAGTACAATTCACAGTGCAACCCCACATTCCTAAATATTCCTTCTTATTCCCTCACACAATGTCACATAAAGGAGTAAATATAGGGAAGTCTACTACAAGACTTGATTGAGAGAATTGGCACAGTGAGAGGAAGGACCATGCCGGAGATGAGAAGACTTGCACAGGACAGGAACCGTTGGACAAGATGGTCAGAGGCAGCTACTCCACGCTTAGCAGCACACAGGAGATAGTGAGAGAAGAAGAAGAAATGAGCAAATACGCAAGAAAGTGAAGTGTTGTGGGATTGCTGCTCTAATTTTGCATTGCTTTGTGCAGCTGGGAAGATATATGTCCCATTAATTAAAAATGTTGAATAAAAATTTTAAAATGCATTTTTGAAAACTAAGATCTTGCAGAGTGACTCAAAATAGCATTTTAAACAAATTTATGCAAAAAAATAAAAATATATCCGTTTTTCTAGACTCCTTTTTGGATTTCATTCAGGATACATCATCTGATAGAAACACGCAAATGAGCTCCCGCAGTCAAAGGGTTAAACAAATAAAAAAAACATCCACAGTGAAATATAAATAAATTTATTACCACGGCCTAACCTAAATACAGCCCTTCCATCACTTTCTAATTTAGATGTGGTCTCTAATGACAAAAAGGTTTCCTACCTATGATATAGAATAATGTAGAGTAAGTGAATTTTTGGGGAACTGTGTAATCGTCTCAATGAATCCAAATCCCGAACTGGTATGAAATGCCCTTTATGTAGCAAGAATCTTGTAAAATATGCTTCACAAATCAGCAGCAAGAGTCCCCTAAAGGTTAAATGTATCAAGTTATAAATAAATCAGATCCAATCTCCTGATTAAGTTGGATCTTTCCATTTCTGTTGTACAGCTCCACCCATGTTTATTCTCTAATAAACCTTTTTTTTTTTAATATGTGTGTTAAGAGGAACTTTTAATAGTTGTTCTTCAATATGTTTATTGATTTACACTTCTCCTTAACAGTTTCCTAGTGTTTAAACAGTTGCTTTGGTAAAATATGATAGTATGGGTAAGTGCACAAATCTGTTGGGGGACAAGTGCGAGTGGTGAGAACTTACCCCTACTGTCATGCTTTTCCAAGACAACCGCAGAAAAGTACATTGCAATAAAAGTTCCTTTTTAAAATGTATTTATTCAATTATGTAATACATTCTCACTTTCATGCCCTTCAAGAAAATTGTAAAATAATTCTCTAGAAAAAAAAAAAAGATTTTTTCACTCTATATGAAACAATTATTCCAAGGGCTAAGAAAGTTATGTATAAACATAAGATATCATGTGGTAAAAATTTAGGAAAAAAACTAAAGCAAAAAGTAGCAAAATAATTTTGACAAAATAAAATATATTTAGTGAAAACATAAGATGAAGATACTGCTAAAACTTTTTAATATACTTACTTCAAAAGTGAGCTTGTTTTGATGTTGATCAGAAAAATTCCACATTTTAATAACTACATTACAAAGATAATCTTCAACAAACATAATAGTAGAACTAAATTTGGCCCTCACAACTTCTTTATTTGGATCAGGAGTTCGATTACTATCATAACTGAAATTAAAATAATATTAACTAGAAACAAAAAAAAAAATTATATGTATATATTTATAAACAGACTAAGAGAAAGCATGCATAAAATCAATAGTAGACACATTAAGATTTTTCATTTATTATAAGAAGTCACACCATTGTTCCATTGTATTAATTGAACTAGTGGCTAGACAATATTGGATGTAACTTTTTTATAATGAAAAATAAAGTGTTAAGGCCGTTACATTAACTTTTTTTTTATAAATTCAAAATAGTTATTGCCATGGAAAAATATTTATTTTGTTTATATTAATATCATTAAATTTAAAAATGAATTGAAAGAGAGAGACGATTTATTTTAGCTATACACCCAATGTTTATATTTTAATGGATTAAGAGCTAGTAGTTAGTGTCCCCACTATGCCCTTTATCTAGTCAACCTATCGAAGATAAAGAAGGAGGAGCAACCAAAAGTTAATGAGAGATCGACTACCCTCTGTCTTCTCACCATCAAGCCCATCTCGATACCGTCGATCTTTACCATCATCGGCTGCCAGCTGCATAGAAAGCTCCACCATCTCCAAATCGAGGCCTGGTTATTTTATTTTATTTATATTTTGAGCTCAATAATTCTATCACGGAACTTTTCCATTACCACTCTGGTAACATTAACTCTTAACTGCTAATGATGGCTATAGTCGCACCAACTGAACGTGCCACTGTTGTTAGTAACGGTTAATATAGTCGGAGTGCTCCACTCCTACCCTCAGTGCTAATTTCGGCTATAGTCGCACTGCTGGTTTTCTTTCTATTTGCTAATGTCGGCATGTATAGTCGTGTCGACCTTGCTACGTTCTACTGGTTTTCTATTGAAGTAAAGCTTTCAACTAGAGCCCACAGATGGCGTGGGAATTTATTTTGGAGCTTTTCTTGTCGAATTCATGAACTCTTATGGATTACTACCTGCTACGGCCTTTCTCTGTCAGACTCAACCATTTTCATTCTTTGTTTTGTGTTCTAAGTGAAATAACCTTGTGTTCAACTGCTCTCAGTTTTTTTTATAAATTTCATTTAGTTCAGTTTAGTTTAGTAATTTTAGTTAGTAATTATATCAAATAGGATTAGTTTAGTTAGTTACGTGGCAGTATAGATTAATTATTTTAGTTATTTTTTAGTACAAAGTTAGTAATATTTTTGTTTCCTATTTTTTTTGAAAATGGAGATAAAGTGGTTTATTGCTGCGGAAGCTACTGAATTTATTACTACTGCCGAAAGTGGTGATAAATTCTTGCTGTCAGATTCTGAAGGGAGTGACAGTGAAAGAACAGAGAAAGACATTTCGATTCCTTCAACATCATCATTTCCTTATATTTCAACAGCAAGAAACGTACAACAGTGCAATCACCAAGTATATTTCAAATACCACCAGAAGAATGTTCCCCTGAAGATGAAGAAGAACCACCTCAAAAGAAAGAAAATAAGTTTGATTGGAAGAAGAAGAACTTAGATCCTAAAATTCATCCATTTATGGCCCAGGACAAAGCCGGTTGCCAAACTGATATCAATCGCAGTGCTTCAATTTTAGATTTCTTTGAAATATTTTTTTCTTTGGACATTATAAATTATATTATGAGAAGGATTATAAATTATATTATGAGAAGGAGTTAATCGGGGGGTGCGGTCAAATAAATACTAAATTAAAATACAGTAATTATTTAATTTTATAAATAATTTAATATAAATTATATTATCGAAGAAACAAATAATTTTTTTAGATTTATAAAATCGAAAGAAGAGTTTACAACACATTCGCGATTACAGAAATGGAAAAATGTAGATGTTAGTGAGCTGATGGTTGTTTTGGCTGTCACTCTATTGATGCCACACAACCTGAAAAAATCATATGGCAACTATTGGTCCTAGGATCCATTGTTACGATCACCAATTTTCGATCATATAATGTCAAGAGATAGATATCTAATGTTATTGCGAATACTCTATTTTTCCGACAACAATAACCCTGAGGCCAAGGAAGGAGATAGGTTATTCAAAATAAGGCTATTCATCATTTTTACCATTTAAAAATGTCTGCATCGACGAAAGTCTATTATTGTTCAAGGAAAATTTATTTTTCAAACAATTTATTCCATCTAAAAGTGCTAGATTTGGAATAAAAACCTATGTTCTATGTGACTGTGAAACAGGGTATGTAATAGACTTCATCATTTACATGGGAGCGAAGTCGGACATAATAGAACATAGTATTGAAAATATCAGCAAGTCGGGCGACATTGTTTTGACTTTCGGAGCCATATTTGAAAAGTGGCCATACTATATATTTGGACAACTGGTATACCAGCCCAGCACTGTTTTTTGGCTTCACAATATGGCAACCAATGCTTGTGGAACAGTGAGGAGAAACAGTAAAGATTTGCCGAAAATGGAAGAAAATTTAAAAAAGGGAAAAATTGAATTTAGGTCCACGGATGCATTTCTAGCTTTGAAGTGGTCAGACCGACGGGAAGTTTAGATACACAATGCGGATATCACTTCAACCGGTAAAACAGATTATGAAACCGGTGAATTGATAAAAAAACCGAAGTGAGTTATTGATTACAACAAAAATATGGGAGCAATAGATAAAGTAGACATGATATTGAGCTCTATAGAATCTGTTAAAAAAACAATGAAATGGTACAATAAACTGTTTCTTTTATTGCCTACCGTCGATATATTAAATAGACATTTTGTAATTATAATGGTCTTAATGACTTGTTATCTGTAAGCTTTAAGCTTTAGCTCCGTTTAAAATGCACTTAAAATTTTATAATAGCCCAGCATTGCCAGAAAATAATTTCTATTCAAAGTAGAGCGTTAAGTGAAAGTTGTGTGTTGCGCGCACCAGATTTTTTTGATACATAATCAAGTCAGCAGAACATCAAAAAGGGCGATTTCATGAAAAAAATATATCATATTTCTGGGTTTTGGCATTTCATTTTTCATGTGTGTAATTCAGCAAATACCAAAAATTGCACCTTATCATTTTTTCCTCTTGCATTTTAAAAATACTGAATCTAAGAGAGTGTGTAAATTAAATTAATGAAAAAATTTAAATTAAAAAAAAATTATAAAAATCTGATATCTATAACTGAAATTCGATAACGAATCAGCGTTGGTGGTTGACATATACCAAAATCATAGATTTACAAGGGTGCAGTAATTTTCCTGACCAAAAGAAGAGCTAAATAAGATAAATTTGCTGGGCCTCTCTCACAGTAATTTCGATGTAATAGTGATGCCTGTTCTAACAATATCTGGATGAAATATAATATTAATATTGACAGAATAACGAAAGGAGGAAAAGGCTTATATGAGTATTTTAAGATACAAAAAAAAAAAAAAAAAAACCTGTACCACTACAACTCATGAAGGGTCTTGGGTTCAGTACTATTTAGGGAAAGCACTGTTTCTAGGTCAATGATGTGCAAGGAGGTGATTCGACCGAGATCACGCTCAAGCGCCAGGTTTCCCCCCTTAATTATAATTTAATTAAGGTTACCCACTTAATAGAGGCTGGGTGTGCCCCAGGAGGGTCTCCCGACCCAGGGTCCCCCCACGGCCAATGAAACGGATAAATAAATTTTCTGCCATGAGCCAGGGTTCGAACCTGGGACCTTTATTAGCATTGGAAGCTCAGTACCCTACCACTGAGCTACCCCACTCCTTATTTTAAGATACATCAGGAAAAAATTTATGAAAGACACACACACACATAAGTAAAACATGTAATTGATAAGAAGCTAAGCATGTAATTAATTAAATAAGTAATTGAAGAATGAAATACTTAAAAAAAAATATCTTACATAACAATTATAACATATCTTAAATAAAAAATTAAATAAGAAATATAATAACATGTAAAAGCAATTCAAAGAACTACTTACTCATTAATAGATATTTTAGAAGGTATTTCTGACCAAAGGCGAGCATATTTTACTGGTGTCACGGGTTCTTGAGGATCTCTATCAACATGCAGGTGTAACATTAAACGACAAAATGATGCACGCAAATCATACGATACACTTTCGTCAGACATACACCTATAAAACAAAGTAATAATAAATAATACATACCAAGTTAAAAACTCAATAATGAAACACTAATACTTACTTCAAAATTAAATCTATATCCAAATGTGGAGAGAGATTGTTAAGTGCCAAATATTGACGGTTAAGGCACATATTAGAGAATAGATTGAGCTGATGACGATAATAATCCAGCAAAGCAATACTAGTTCTACTACTTAGTTTTCCACTCTGTGATAATGAAACTAATGACTGGCTTTTCTGGAATATAGAAATTTTTAAATAAAATAATAAGTAGCTAAAATATAATATGTTTTTCAAGTTAAAAAATTAGTTGAAAAGATATGGCAACAGGGTAAAATACCCATTAATAGGCACCCATTAGCGATTATCTAATAATATTAAGCTTTCAGAATGATCTAGAACAGGGGTCTCCAAACTACGGCCCGCGGAACAGATCCAGCCCTAAGAAACTTCCGCTGGCCCACAAGCACCTTCAATCCGGCCAGCGAAAGTTCCTTTGATTACAAGGTAAAATTTTAAAACCAATTTAAAAATTTGAAATTTGGCAAAACTACTCACACATGAGGTTACTACGATATTTATTGCATGTTTTTTTCTTTTAGAAAGCTAATTTCAGAGTGTCATTTATAGAACAAGATTTTTTTTTTTTATTACAAGCCATGGCCTGCGGGACTTGGGTGGAGGTCTCAATGCGGCCCATGGAACTTACTAGCACTGGTACTGATGGAGGGAACTAGTCCGGCAAAGTGGGCCTATCATGGTCCTTAATGGCAACCCCTGGCGGCTACCCTGATGTTGCATACTTACCAGAGTAGGAATGTCAAGATCCATTTCCCAGGGCTGCCGAGAAATTAAAGGTAACCGACACAGGTGGGAATCAAACCCACAATGGTCAGAACTGGGCACTCTGGGACCCACCCCCCAACGTGCTTGGCTAACCCGTCCTCGGCCCACACATCTTAGTTGAGGTCTCAATGTGGCCTGTGGTCTAGTTTGGAGACCTCTGATCTAGAACTATTGAAAGGCACTTTTAATGCATGAATCCCCTTGTAAGCTTATCAAAGCATCTTGTTTTTATAGTGAAAAAAAAGATTTAAAGATAAAGTGCTCAACATGTGTAACCCAAAAAGACAGGCCTTATGATTTTGGTGAGAAACACACAGTTAATTTTTGAGTCACTGCAAGATATAAAATGATATTCTTATGTATTTAAATTTTTTTATCTTATTATGTACCTATCACTGTTACTTTAGAATATAAAAACAGCCAATCTATTCTTGTATTATTTAAAGCCGAAATGCCTGATATATCGGCCATATTGGCATTCTTCCCATTTCCGTCAAGGTTTCTACAGTTTCACATGGAATATTCTACTTATTGCAAAATAAAAGAATAAATAGACCACCTACACATCGTTGGTTAAACTCTACCAATCTTTATAAAATAAGGTCTTAAGGCTGATATATTGCTCATTGGTTATTGCTCAAATTTATATTTATGTCGATCCTTCACGATTGATTAACACATTTATTAGCAATAAAAATAATATTCCAACTATGAATCTCAATAAAATAAGGTCTTGAGGCCGATATATATCAGTCTTTGGAATATCGCTATATGCTCTAATGAGGGGAAGAGGAGCAAAAAAAAAATTAATAAAAAACAAATGTCAACCAATTTCGATAAACTAAGGTTATAAGGCCGATTTTATATCAGTCTATAGAATATCGGTATCTACTCAAATTCCGGAGAGGAGAGGACCAAAAATAAATAAAAGAAAAAAGTGTTGAAACTCAACTGATCTCAATACAATAAGGTAATATATGCAATATACCAGTTTTTGCTTAAATTTATGTTTATGTCAATCCCTTGACGACTGATTGACACATTTATTAGAAATAAAAATAATATTCCAAGTGAAACTCTATGAATATCGATAAAATAAGGTCGTAAGGGTGATATATCCGTCTTTAGAATATCAGTATGTGCACAAATTCAGGCAAGGGGAGGAGAAAAAATAAAGGCTGATATATAAACATATCAGCATTTGATATTGGCCGATACCAATAATCCAATAGACCAATAGGCCGATATTAATGTCGGTACCAGTCAATCCTTAAGTGTAGTACCGTCAAATTGGTACATGATAGGTTAGATCCAACATTCACTTTTGAAGTAATATATTATACGTATCAATTTATAGGGGAAAAATTAGAACTATCTTTGATAACAACCTGTCTGTCATCCCAAAATAGTACAACAGTTCCCTCACTAGCAACAGGATTACTATAAGTTGATGGATCTTCTTCAGAGCAATCAGATACCATCCTGTAAACAAAAATATGTTGTAAAAACTTAATTAACAGTTAAAACAAAATGAAATTAAGAAAACAAAATTAGTTTTGAACATATTTTGGCAATTGCATGAAAATTAATTATAAAGTTAATTTAATAACAGTTCCCTAAAGAAGTATTGATTATGTATAATTAATTTTTTTTTTTAACTTTTATTATGATATTTACAACTGTATTAGTATGAATACATCAAGTAAATTTGTACAGAGAAATATTATTACATGAAACACGCTTGTTGAGAAACTACCCACTGGTAGCACTCTAAATAATTAATTTTTAAAATTGTGTACATTTAAGTTTATTTTATTTATGTTTTATTTGATAAAACTAACAAAACAGATAAGTTGGCTAAATTTAAATAAATAAACTTAAACTTCTAGTGCAGTGAAACATTTCTTGCTGGAGATACCTTCTAATTGGCATTTTTTAAATGTTCCACTCTGGAAGTATAGTAATTTAGATACCTTCAGAATGAAAATCTTCCTAACGGATGAGGATAGCCAAATTTTCATCACCGAGAGATAAATTTATCCCTCATAACACACAATTGCAAAATGTTGAAAACTATATTAAATGTTTCCGTCTTTTGATATACATATGTAAAAATCAATGAAAGTATTATTTTTTACTAACTTCTATATTCTATATATATTATGTATTCTACACAATAATAACAAATTTATTCTGAAGAGAAAAATTAGATATGAACAGGATTATGTAATTTTCCTTGAAGTGTTAATATTTTGTTCTTGTTTCATAAGTATTAAGTGTCATGGACGCAACTGCAGTTCAATATTCACTTCGTTCTGTCTTTGCTACATTGTCATCTGGTTATTATCTTAAATCCTATTTTGAGACTTTGTAAACAGTGTGTTTATAAACAGTTAAACATTGTTATGTTATAATTAGTGAGGTGAGTGACTTTTTAATAACAATTAGTAACATTAAATTGATACTCGTCTGGTAGAGACAGTTTACATAGCAGATAATTCCCCTCAGCTGGTCTTATCTTTCAAGTTCACGGTCACGGCACTTGGTTTTACGTTAGGCAATCGTGAGTTCGTAACTAAGACAGTGTATAAAATTTTTTTCTCTCTCTCTTTTATTTACTTGTTCATTTTTTTTTTTTTTTTACTAAGACTTTTATTTTATTTATTTACAGAAAATGTTTAATTTAATATTTGTATATAGTTTTGTAAATAGATCAGTTATTAAGTATTTATTTTGTATATTTTCTTATTAGTGATACTTTTTTTTTTTTTTTTTTTTTTTTTTTTTTTTGTTTTTATTTATATTATTTAGAGGTAGAAGCATTTCTTGTGACGAATCAGATGAATAGATTCCCTTCTCTGAAATCAGAGAGACCGATTCTCAATATTTAACCAGGCGAACTCTACAAAAGCGCAACTGAAACTCTGCTCCTGGGTCGGCGGGCAACTCCCCAAATAAAAAAAAAAATAAATCTGCTAAGTCAAAACAGTCACTTAAAGCAGACCAAAATAAACAATCTAAAACAAGCTCTAAAAATAATTCAGCTATGTAAGCTGAAACTAAACCACCTACTAGCACATCCAGCAACAATTCTGTTGTCGTCCATAATTAAAATAACGAGATTAATGAAACTTAGACTTTCACTGAACCAGAGCCACCACTGATATGTGTAAGCAAAATTGACAACTTCATGCAGTTCGGTCAAGAAATAGCTAATCTAAGCGAACAGACCAATTTCCAGTGTTTTTATTGCATCAACGACATAAAAATTAATATTAACACCAAAGATGGATATAAAAATCCTATAAATCACTTGACATCACACAATTATGACTTCCATTGCTATCAATGAAAATAAGAAAAAACATATAGGGTCGTTTTGAGAGGTCTTCACTCAACCACTCCCACTACCGCTATAAAAAAAGATCTACAAGATATCGGCAACAATGTAAGATATATATCTTCTGTTTTACATCCAATTGACAAATACCCACTTCCATTATTTTTTATCGATTTAGAACCAGCCCGGAATAATTCTGAAATCTTTGAAGTTAAAAGACTACTTTATTCTACAGTAAAATTTGAAGAACCAAAGCAGAAACCAATAGTCGTGCAACAGTCTTCTACATCAACAAATCATTCTCATCAGGATGCCAGGCAAATATATTGTGACACCTCAGTGAAGAATCAGCAGCCGCAACATCAGACGCCTCAGTCTTCCAAACCTAAGACTTAGGCTTCCAAACCTAAGTCCCAGACCTCCCAATCCAAGACTCAGACCTTTCACATGCACTCAAAATCACCACGTCAGCCAATCTCTCCTTATCAGTTACCTCTACATGTCAAACTACTGTCTGAAGGTCCAACTCCAGTTCATTCCCATCCTACTCCTCACATTAATTTTCCTTCCCAAATTCCATCTAATTATGATTCAGCCTCTCGTACATCACGACAGGTACATCATCCATCATACACTCCTTATCATAAGAGCTATATCTCACAAATTCCACCTGACCAACAAAACCCGATCAACTTAATCCACTCCACCCTTGCCTCCTTCCTGAAAGATCTCCAAGATACCATCAAGCCACTAATCACCCTCCTTACAAAAATCCTTACCGAAATTCCCTTTAATCTCCCATGATAAGCACAAAGCCCCTAGCTGCCTTTTATGGAATGCTAACGGACTACAAAACCAACGAGACGAACTTGATATTTTTCTTCATGACAACCACATTGATATTGCTCTACTTTTTTTTCTTTTTTTTTTGGGGTCCTTCCCTTCCTCACCGTTAAGGCTATATGGGGTTTTCCCGGGCCAGGGAGTGTGTGGGGAGATTTATAAGACTCCCTTGGTACCGGGACACGAAGTCGTAACTATTTTTATATCATTTTATGCAACGGCGGTGCTGTGCACACGCGTTAGCCCATTCGGCCACCCCGCCCAGAAGATATTGCTCTACTGACAGAAACTCACTTCACTGAACGTTCATATTTCTGCATACGTGACTACATCACTTATAGATCAGACTACCCCGACAACACTTCCCATGCCGGTTCTTGCATCCTTATTCCATTCCCTCATTCCTTCAACTCTAACTGAGGCTATTCAAGCAACCTCAGTAATAATTTCAACTCGTCATTTCCATTTAACAGCTGTATACTGTTCTCCTACAATCATTCTCTTATCTACAATCTGAATCCTTATTCAAATCCTTCGGATCACGCTTCATTGCTGGAGGTGACTATAAACACCAACAATGGGGTTAAAGAGCATCCAATTCCCGTGGTAACATACTATCTTCTGTCTCAACTTCTAATAGTTACTCCATCATCTCTCCTATGAATCCTACCTATTGGCCAACCTCCCTCAAAAAACGACCTGATATCCTGGACATGTCTGTCACGTCTCAGATTTCCTCTTCCTATGTCACTATCAAATCCCTGAATGACCTCTCCTCAGACCATACTCCAGTTCTGCTTTCATTACACTCAACCTTCGTCCCTTAGTCCTCCTCTTTTCCTACAATGATTACAGGACGAGTAAACTGGGACAAATTTTGTAAAGACTTGGAAAATAAATTGGACCTAAATATTCCACTAAAGAAGAAACATGACAATGACTCAGCCATAGAAGTACTTACTACATCTATAAGTGACAAAATTAATGATAACACATCAACCAATAAAAATAACAACTACCAACAGACTAACTTGCAATAGCACATTCATATCTTATTAAGGGAAAAATGCAGAGCAAGATCGAAGTGGCATAGGACTCGATACCCATCAGATAAGTCATATTACAACAAGTTATTTAACCAACTAAAAGGTGAAATTAGAAAATCAAAAATTCAAAATTTACTTAAGTAAATCACAAGAATGCCTATTCATCTCTTTTTTCTTAGTTTGCTAGTGTTCCTGAAGGTAGTATCCTAGGTCCTATCCTTCCTTTACACAGTTTATATGGCTGGCATTCCAACCCATCCCAACACTGTCGTCACCACCTATGCCGATGACACGTGTATCCTATCAGTTAACAACAATCCATCAATTGCAGCCCAAACTCTCCAATCACACATCACAAGTCTTGAAGAATGGTGTCAAAACAGGGGGATTAAAATAAACTCCAATAAATCTCATCCAATTACTTTTATCCTTCATCGCAAACCTATGACTTTCTGCCCTACTGTATCCTTTAACAATACCCCACTTATCCCTGTTGAACAGATCTGATACCTAGGACTCCATCTGGACAAACGACTCACTTGAAATCCTCATACCAGATTGAAATGACAAGAAACCGCTCAACATTTTCGACTACTCCAGCACTTAATGGAAAAACGTTCTAAACTCCCCAATTACTTACAAAAGGCTTTATATATATATATATATACATATATTGTAATGTTAATATTACATAGTGTTTTTGAATATTGGCCGAGAAGGTGGTGACGTCACGAACTACTGACAGGAATGACAGGTGGTGGGAGAAGCAAGTCCCAGATGTGAGGGCAGAAGATAGCCAGCCGACTAGGAAAGAGGATACATGAGAAGAAAATGTTAGGACAAGTAGTGAGTATCAACAGTAAAAGGTTGTAGAAGTTGAATGCACCAACCAGTACAGAGGAGAAGTAGCTGCATCACAGGGTGAGTGAAGAATATATAAATGGACAGATCGAAAGCCAGCTGAGATTAGACCCTGACAAATGAATGGAACTTCATAAATATATATATATATATATATATATATATATATATATATACATATATATAAAATAAGGCCTATTTGGATTTACAGAATCAAGCTTTGGGGCTCTACTAAACCATCGAATTTCTCTTGTATACAATCCGAAATCCTTCGTAAAATCCTCAATGCACGTTACTTAGTCATGAATAAAATCATCCATAACGACCTTAACGTACCATATGTTTCCGATTTAGCCCAATCCAGATACCTATCCTTCCATAATAAACTTCTGAACCATCTGAACTCCCTTGTTTCCAATCTTGCTTCATCTTCTATTCCTGATAACCCTCCGAGGCGTCTGAAAAGAAGATGGTCTCGGTACCTTCTAATACAGAACTTGAATTTGAGTTCTACAAATGGGTTAGTTTCTCTTCATGTTATACATGTCATGTTACCAATGTCACATTTACTTGTTTTATTTTTCATGTAATACAGTTGTAAATTTCATTAAAATAGAAAAAAAAAGTTCTTGTTTCTTGTCAGTTTTCAAATACTTTCCCTTCTTTTCTGTTTGATAGAAATGTTTAAGTGTATAAATATGACAAAATATTACATCAATAAATTTTGTTCCTTCAAATTAAATAACTTGTTTTGATGAATCCATTTAATTTTTTACTTTCACTAACCTATACATGAAATATGTAGTAAGAGAAAGTATTATGATCATCAAAATTTATGAATAAAAAGATTTGTCTAAGTAAAACTCTTTTGGGAGTTATTGGGATGTACTAAGGGTTAATAATATGACAAGGCAAATAAATATATTAAGAAGTGACAAAATAATAACAAAGTAACATAAGGAAGAGTCACATAATAATGACATTTCTGAGAATTATCATATGATAATAATTAAGTAAAGTTATGATGATCTTAGTAAGTACAATGTTTAATTTAAAAAGAAAAATTTTAACAAACATTAATAGCTCATTAATGATTAAAAACTTGAATGGTTTTATGAGAGCTGCAGCATCTAACTAAATAATCATTTCTAATCCCTTAACAGGTAGGATTTAATATTATAGCGTTTAAAAATAATAATAATAATAATAATTTGATACTAACCTTGTCTCAATAAGTATATCAGAATTTTTAGCACTAAGAACACTTTTACAAATTAGTTCTTGAGTAATAGCTATTGCCTTCTTATTCGAAATACAGAGATCAGATAAATAGTCTAGAAAACGAGATTCCCAATTACTCATATTTTTTCTAACTAAGCCAACAAATGTTTCTATTTCAGCTGCGGTTATGTGTTTTTCAAGAAGTTTTCTATTGTTATGTAGAAGTGCAGTTATAGTATCCTCTGCCAAAATGTCATAGCCAATTTGTTTTTGCATGAAACCAAAATGTTTTGCAATATATTCCTAAAAATACACAAACAATTTTAATGTTTTCAAAATAAAATTTAATCACGAGCTCATGATAAGTACATTTTGATAATTACCTGATTTTTTCTATAATCTTGCTGACTTAATCTTAATATTCTATAACACAAACGAAACATGTACTTGTAAGGAGCATGACGGGGGTCATTAAGTTCTTCAATACGTAAAAATGGTCCTTCACCAGAATTAGATTCTAAGAAGGGTGCTTGAAGTATCTTGAACAACTGCTTCAAAATATATTGTTCTCTTAAAAGTTTCTGACGGTCTCTGTAATATAAAATGTTTTTATTACATATATTTAATCTTCTTTAAATTTAAAATTATTTAAGTTATGATAAATGATTAAAAAACTTCAACACTAATAAATATTTATACGAATAGGTAAATAGTGAGCCATGTAATTAAATATTAATGATATAATAAGAACAATTTATCTTCAGAATCAATGTTCTTCTTTGCAAAAGACCTAGACATACTGTAAGGAGTAATGATTTTCACAATGGTGGACTGTAGAATGAAATCAAATGTCAAATTAAAACGAGAAATTAGTTGCAGAGTGCGGTCATTGATAAAATAATACAAATGAGAACTTTATTTTGTTTTGTGCTAACATTTTGGTTTAAGTTTTAGGCTTTCACTGACGTTAAGTAAAAACAAGATAACAGCCAATATGGAAAGATTGAGAAAAACAGCACAAAAAAATAAAAAAAATAAAATAAATGATAAAACCAGTAAGAAAATTTATAATATGAAAATGGTAATAATAAACCAAGTATGCATTTGTAAATAATGGAAAATAAAATAAAATAATGAGATATGAATAAATAATTATAATATGCAAGAATAGTAATATAAATTAGAATATATATGATGATAAAAAATAGTATAGTTAACTACAAAAACCCTAATATAAAAAGAGATAATGGACCATATGACAATATATAAAAAAATATGATAAAATAAGTATATGTAAGTAATAAAAAAATAAAAATAAAATTAATGAAATATAAGTAATGTAAAATATAATAAGTTACAAAGTAAAGATAACACAAGAATGTAATAAAATATTACGTTATATATGTCAAAATAATAAGTAGTAAAATATAAAATAATATTAAGTGGTGATAACTATAAGTTATAATCACAATATGAAAAAATAACGAAGGATAGAAAGAAAGAGGAAAAATCGTATATTGATGTGAATACAGAGAATAACAGGTGATAATAAAAATGCATTCGTTAAATTCTAACATGAAGATCATGTTATCATGTTAGATCATGGATCATGGACAAGATAGGTTGAAATTAAATTTACTACACAAACACTATTAGACTTTGCAAGAATGTAACATTAAAAATTACTGTAAATATAATGCCTTTTCAAATCAATTCATTGAATGTAAATTTTGGGAACTAATATATTTACGAATTAATTATAAAATTTAATTTTATAATGTACACTTCAGAATTACAGTAAATATAATGCATATTTCAAATCAATTCACTAAATATAATGCATATTTCAAATAAATTCATTGAATATAACTAGTGGGGATTAATGTACTGTTGAAATAATTATTAAATTTAACTTTATAATGTACACTTCAGAATTACAGTAAATACAATGCATATTTCAAATCAATTCAATAAATATAATGCATATTTCAAATAAATTCATTGAATATAACTGGTGGGGATTAATGTACTGTTGAAATAATTATTAAATTTAATTTTATAATGTACACTTCAGAATTACAGTAAATATAATGCATATTTCAAATCAGTTCAATAAATATAATGCATATTTCAAATAAATTCATTGAATATAACTGGTGGGGATTAATGTACTGTTGAAATAATTATTAAATTTAATTTTGTAATGTAAACTTCCCTCGCGAGGGCTCATTACGGCGTATGGGGGGGGGAGCGTCCCACCGGTGGCGGATGTGAGTATGGTCGGTGGAAATTCCTTGGAAGTTCCTCCCGGCTAAGTCCGATGGACTCGCTGACCAACAATGAGAGGTACCCTCCAGACTTGCTGGAGGGAGGGGACCTCCAGAATTGCTGGAGGCAGGGGCTCTCCAGACTTGCTGGAGGGTGTAACGTAGGATTGAACGCCCTACTCACATATCTTAAGTTCATCATACACCACAAATAGTCATGGATCTCCCTAAGGTAAAACGGTCATTATCTGAAGGTAAACTAGTTCCCCGTTCGGGTCTCCGGGTGGGGACTGCTTTAGGGGATTCATGGCGCAAGTTGAAAAATAAGGATTTAAATATTGGTACTTGGAATGTAAGGAGTTAAAACACAGCAAGGGGATTAAACTCGGTAGCGAATGAAGTTAATGGGTACAATTTGGATGTTGTGGCTCTGCAAGAGGTTCGCTGGCCAGGAGAGGGCTCGATGAGGGAAGGAAAGTACACTATTTGGTACGGAGGAAGCGGGAATCATTGTTTAGGTACCGGGTTTCTAATTAGGAATAGATTGCTATCCGCTCTGAGGGACGTACAATTCTTTAGTGATAGAATTTCGGTATCTATATTTCAGGGACATTGGTTTAAAATCGCATTAATAAACATACATTGTCCGACCGAAGACAGTGACGATGAAGTCAAATGTGAATTTTACGATAAATTCGAATCGGTCTATGATAAACTACCGCGAAACTCCATGAAAATAATTGTAGGTGACTCGAACGCAAAGGTGGGAAGGGAAGAAGTTTATGCTCCAACGATTGGTAAAGAAAGTTTGCACGAATATAATAATGATAATGGGATCCGTCTGATAAACTTTGCCATCTCGAAAAACCTGATAATTAAAAGTACTATGTTTAAACATAAGGATATTCATAAATGTACCTGGACATCACCGGATTCGCAAACACGAAATCAAATTGATCATGTCTTGATACAACATAGCTGGCAAAGCAGTATAATTAATGTACGGTCTTATCGTGGAGCAGAATGTGGGTCAGATTATGAATTAGTAATCGGGAAACTTCGACAAAAACTTATAATAAAGAGAAAAGAAAATTTTTTCGAATTTTGAGAATTTTAATTTGGAAAAACTAAAAAATCCATCAATTAGAACTCAATTCGAGCTAGGTGTTAAGAATAGGTTTGAAGCTTTAGAGCTTTCTGACGAGGACCACGAGGATATTGACAAGTTATGGGTAGAAATCAGGGATAATATTAAAGCGGTCTGGAACTAGTGTCTAGGAAAAAAAGGATAATAAGAATAACAAACCATGGTTTGATGAAGATTGCTTAAACATGTGCGAAAAAAGAAAAGCCGCTAAATTAAAAGCTCTAGATAATCCTAGCGAAGACAATCTGGAATACTTCTGAACCTCAAAGAACGAAACAACAAAATTGCTTAAAAATAAAAAAAGGGAGTATCTAAAAAATAAAATAATTTAAATAGAAACTAATAGAATCGAAAATAATGTACGAGACATGTACAAAGGTATAAATAGATCACATAAATGGTTAGGGTCCGTCACATCTGGAATTAGGGATGAAAATAACAATATTCTGACCGATCTGGTTGACATATTAAATAAGTTTAAGAATCACTTTGGCAATATTCTATATACTGGAAATTATGATCTGTGTCCTCCTTCTGAGTACCAGAGTGCTGAACCGTTAATAGAAGGACCAAATAAAGAGGAAGTTGAAGTAGCTAACTTCAGCTAACTACAATCTTATTATAAAGCAGCGGGAACCAATAATATTCCTACTGAACTTATTAAGGCATGCAGGGAAGCTGGAGTTTCTAAAATACATTCGTTGGTTAAAAAGATCTGGGATAATGAGAAATTACCTGAAGAATGGAAAGAATCTATTCTTATTCCAATTCACAAAAAGAGCCCGAGGACGGATTGTAATAACTATCGACGAATTTCATTCCTTCCGGTATGTTATAAAATATTCACTTTAATCTTCACCAGTCGAATCATGGAATACGCCGAGGAAATTATGGGAGACTACCAATGCGGATTTAGAAGGAATTGTTCGACTATTGATCAAATATTTTCTTTACGGCAAATATTAGAGAAAAAATTAGAGTACAAGGGTATTGTTCACCAGCTGTATATCGATTTCAAAAAGGCTTACGATTCTATTGATCGCCAGAAACTGTATAATATACTAATCGAGCAGGGGATTCCAAAAAAACTATTACTATTAAACCTAGTCAGGATGTGCTTGACGGAAACACACAATAAAGTTAGAATCGATAATAATCTGTCCGAAAAATTTGAGGTTCGTTCGAGTTTAAAACATGGGGATTCCCTTTCGCCTGTCCTGTTCAATTCGGCATTAGAACATGCCATTAGGGAGGTAAAGCGTACCGAAAAAGGGTTGGATCTTGGTGGGACAACATCCGTGCTGGGCTATGCTGATGATCTGGTATTCTTAAGCAAAGACGTGAAACTATAAAACTAAATACGACAACGTTAATGAAAGCCGGTAAAGAACTAGGGCTCGAAATAAATGCGGACAAAACAAAATATATGGTTAGCTGTAAAAATGGCGATATCGATATAGATGGTAATATGTTTGAACAGGTAGAGAAATTTAGGTATCTAGGTTCTACAATAACTAGAAAAAACAAAATTGAAGAAGAGATTAAGGTTAGACTGAAGGTTGGAAATGCTTGTTATTTTTCTGTGATAAAACTACTTAGCTCACGCCTCCTGTCCCGAAACTTAAAAATTAGAATCTATAAAACCATTATCTTACCTACAGTTCTTTATGGATGCGAAACTTGGCCGCTTACATTAAGGGATGAGCAGCATTTTAAGGTTTTTGAAAATAAAGTATTGCGTAGAATATTTGGACCGAAGAAGGATGAGTTAACCGGAGAGTTCAGACAGTTACACAACGCTGAATTGCGTGAACTGTATCCGGGTAATATAATTGAGATAATTTCATTGCAGCGAATCAAATGGGCTTGTAAAATTGTTGGGCTTGGTAACGAGAGAATTCCTAAAAGGTTAATATTTGCTGTACCGAATGGGAAACGTCCGAGGGGTAGACTGAAGCGAAGGTGGGAAGATTGCATTAAAGAGGTGTGTAATAAGCGATTGGTGGTGTCGGCATCGAACCTTCGGGTTTGCTAAGGCTTTTATTATTATTATTATAATGTAAACTTCAGAATAAAAGAAAAAATAACATTAATTAATTCAAACACCAAAACCTTATTTTAAATAAATTGCATCAATTAATATCTTTAATATATAAATTAAATTTAATTCAAGTAAAAGAAAGATAGTTCAAGTAAAGATTAAGTATAAAAACTTTTCCTTCTTCATTTTTTTTTTTTTATAAAATATTTCTGATGATGGTAACAAAATAGCTTAATTTAAAAAAAAAATTAAATACATAGATTCTGAAAAGATTTCAAAATGTAATACAAATTTAATAAATAAAGTACCTGTTAGGGTTGGTAACAACCAGATCTAATGCTTCACTTTTGTTCTGTTCATTTTCAAGACCAGCTATGAAGTAAACTATATCTTGGAGCAAACTGGTGAGTGATCTAAATTACAAAGATGAATTCAAAATAAAAAAAAAATAAAAAAAAAGTTTAATAATGTAAAATGTAAATAAGTTTAATATCAATCATGCATTACTATCACACATCATGTTTCATATTAATTATTAAATTAATCATAATATTATGAAAGGTATTATGTATAACTAAAAAACCTTAATTTTGATAAAAGAAAGCCCCAAAGGTGAGAAAAATGGAAGTCCTCAGCCAAGCCAAAGCTACTCTGGACAATTATACAGCCGCCAGGAAAAAGACAAACAAAATTATAAAATTGGCAAAAAGAGAATTCCTCAAAGAAAGATTGTAAATCAATGAGGACAACTGGTAGAAATTAGAAAAAAAGGGTAGAATATTAAGCAACAAATAAGCAAATGCGAGGAAAATATAGCATTCTGACAGCATCAAAAGAAAAGATAGAAAGCATCTTGAAAGAACGTTTGGAACTGATAACTGAAAAATAAATGGACTACACTGAGGATCTCGACCCATAAGAGTTTGAAAAAACAGATTTACAGGATGTAGACATATCGATTGAAAGGATTAAAAGAAGAAAGACACATCCTGTGATATAAGAAAGACACAGAGATGGACAGCCTACCATTAGGGAGGTTTAAAGATAGGGAGGAAAACCTAACATTGGAACTACGACAACTAATCCCAGAAATATGGGAGGAGGAAAAGATACCAGAGGCTTGGAACACAGGTCTAATCTGCTCTATTATAAAAAAGGGTTCCATGTATGAGTATAGTAACTACAGAGGCATAGTACTCCTTCCTGCTGCCTATCAGATAATGACCAGTATCCTGCTAAACCGGATATATCTAAATTACAAAAATATAATAGGCAACCACCAAGCTGGATTTAAATGATGAAAGAGCACGCTAACCCAGGTCTTCATCCTAAAACAGGTGCTCAAAAAAGGATGAGAAGTATCTCAGGATGTGTAAGCCTTATTTGTCAATTTCAAAGGGGCCTATCCAGAAATTGTTATAGGAAGATCATGACTGTGCTTGGAGTTTCCAGAAAGCAATAGTCCAAGATAACCAGAGATGGAGAAGGCAGTGAAAGATCTATAAGGTCTGTAAAGCCAACAGAAAACGTTACAACTAGCAATAAATATATTGGATATATGCTTCTAATATATTTCATGAAAAAACATAGAAAACACTCAGATAATAAATATAGTGTACTGAACACTTATATTTTTCATTACTAATTATCATGCAAAGAAATCATCTTTTATTTCACAAAATCTTTTCTTAAATAAATAATTCAAAAGTAGTTGTTATAAGAAAATTAGACACATACACACTCACTCACTCTCTGTGTATATATAAATAAATTCAGCAGGAAATTTGAACCAAAAACGAAGTTTAACTTCCCATACCTCCTATCATTTTGTGAAATAGTCCCTTTTTCTAATTTTGCTGAGCTTGATGCAAGAACTTTACATGCATCATTCGCAAAATCGAGATCTCTCACCTCAGTAGGTGAAACTGGTATAAGAGCAAAAGCTTCTTTATCTTCTTTCAATGGAGCACATCCAACCTAAAGAAAGTTAATTTAAAAAAATATTTAACATATAATGTTAACTAATCTAATAATAAAATGATGTGACAATCATTTATATATACTGATTCAAAATATCTAAAACCAATGTCATTAATTTAGAAATAAAATGAAGTGGAAATATATTTTATTCTATGACGTTTCGTTCCTCAATAGCTATAAAGGACTACATGGATATTTATCTGACTATATTGAACAATATATTCAGTCACTTAAATATAATAATAATGAATAAAGTATAATTTGAAAAGTGTTACTACCACTTCTATTATAATATCCACCAATGGGCTCATACTTTTTTATTATTAACCAGGTACAGCTAAGGTGTTGTGTAACCATCTAAATTCTAAAGTTGACTCATTTTCTTCAGTCTGAATATACTTTATTTTCAAAAACCCTAAGACGTTACTCATCCCATAATGTAAAGGGATATATTTTGCATCCATCAAGGAAGAACAATAGTTTTGTAAATTTTAATTTATAAGTTTCAGGACAACAGGTAAGTAGTTACAGAACGGAAAAATAGCTAACATTTCCTGCCTTTAACCTAGCCTTAACTTCCTATTTAATTTCGTTCTCCATGCTATTCTGTGCCATAATTAAAGCTGTTTTAAATTAAAACATAACTTCTACTGCATCCGCTAATTTTAGAAGACTTTAGGGATTGACAAGCTCACAGACAGCCCTTATGATTCACCCGAGTCTTCTCCAAAAAACTTGAACCTAAGTCAAGAAATCCGTCACAACAATAGATTATGTGAGGAAGAAAGTGGTCTGGGGTGGTGGTTATAAAAAGATTAAAATAGTAAAATAAAAAAAGTATTTTATTTCAAGCTAACGTTTTGACCCAACTTTGCAGGTCTTCTTCAGGGTTAGAATGAACAAGGTAGAAAGATGTGGAAGTTACATGATAATCATTTTGAATCTTGTTTGTTCTAGTCCAGAAGAAGATCTGCAAAATTGGGTTGAAAGGTTGGGTTGAAATTAAATGTCTTTTTTTTTGTTACGGTCTTTTTTTAATTTAGAAAAATTGTTTCTGCAACAAACTTGCTGGTGGAGATGGTAGGGTTCACATAAAAAAAAAAAAAAGGAAACTAATAAAGCCAATTAAATATTACTACTTATCTAACAGGCACCACACTATTTAATTTGTTGAATTTGGAAAATAGTGAAAACCATAAAAAAAATATATATATATTTAATTAAAAAAAAAGATTTCGACACGGAGTGAGCACGAACTTGGAACCAATGGGTTTAAAACCAGTAAATTAATCTTATAACTTATCGAAGCTTCTTACTTGGTTAATATTGATTTTCCCTAATCCCTCGAATAGGGTTTTACGATTCCTTATTAAGCCTTTAAAAAAGCAATATAATATATTCATAAAACCTGAAAACAAACACAGAAGAAAATAAAACTGTCTATCATTAATACTGATGATGAATTTACTTATTTCTATTGACTTAAATAACAGTTAAAAGAAATGAAGATTATGAACAAGAAATTAGATTTATAAGAAAGCAAAAAAAAAATACAATAAATTTTAATTATCAAAGAAAAGATTATAGAACTAAACATTAACCTACAACTATACAATACACTTATTACAAATATTTGAAAAAAAAAATAGATATAAAAAAAAATGTACATATTTCCAAAATCTACAAATTAAATAGCGTGGCGCCTGTTAGATAATTTGTAATATTTAGTTATTTAATTAACCTCATTATTTTTTTTTATTTTTGCAAACCTTACCATCTCCACTGAGCGTCTGGCAAGTTTGTTGCAGTAACATTTTTTCTAAATTAAAGAACGTCGCAGTTTTATTACTATTTTAGTCTTTTTATGACCCCGGACCATTTCCATCCTCAATAATATACAACAGTCAACCATCAAGTATTCAACAGTTTATATGATAAATTGTTTCATTCCCATTATGAGAGAAAATTCACAAAGGGGACTCTGCCTGCCTGAGTTTGAACATAATAATAATAATAATAATGCTTTATTTATTCTGGGACGAGTCCCTTTAGAATAATACATAGAGACAAAAATGTGGGCTAAGGAGCCTCAGAGATATATAAAGAAGAATATAGTTTGATTAAATAGTAAAAAAAAAAAAAAAATAGATAAATGAAAAAAAATAATAAGAGAAATTATAAGTTACTTTCTAATTTACATCAGTTAATAATTGAAAATAAACATGAAGTAAAAAAAATAAAGAACGATCTAATAATTTATATACATATTTACATTAGTAACTACTTACAATTTTATGATGACTGGATGGATAAGAAATGATTAAACAGTTGGGATTTAAAGATTTGTAGGCTCAGAAGCGCAATCAGGGCATATCCATTTTTTGTTAATTTCTTTTAGGCCTTCCGAGTCACTATCAATTTTGATACATTTAGCATGAAATATATTTGTACATACTGTACAGGCTAATTTGTTCTTCTCCTCTCGTGCCACCGATTTATTGCATGTTTTACAATTAACCATTTTATTGAGATTTTTATTTCTTTAAAATAGCGCTATTTAAATAAGGAGAGCTAAATGAAAACAATGAGCAACAAAAACAACAACACACCTGTTTGTTTGGGTGGCGGCTGCCAGGATTAAGGTGAAGCTTGATAAGCTGCCCCACTACTCTCACTCAGCTGCTTTTATAATGGGCACTTTATTACTATTTTTATTAATATTAACGAAGATAAAACACTACTGTTAACTCTATGGAATTTTCTGGATGCTATATTAAATAAATGCGGAGATTTTTAACCGGAATGTCTATGTATAACTATTAGATAAATATATAGAGAGACAGAAACGCACGCTTGAGGTCTTGATTGAACGACAGATTCTCTAAGAGATTCTAACATATGACAATTTAGTTCACAATAGTCCATTTAGATCACTGTGATTCTACTAAGGGATATTTTGTCCAGTTTAAGCATGAATGTATTGGCTTATTATGATTGTGTTATGGCTTCGATATTCCTGTAAATCATCATACCAATTTCATTAGGGAAGAAGTTTGTTGGAGGGCCCAATCTGAAGACAGTAGTTTTCATTGACTTAGGTAAGAAGAAAAAAAAATTAAACATATACTTTAAACATTTAAACAAATACTATCAAGAGAGAGTTATAAATTAATTTTCAGACTATAGTAATCACACATATAAATTTTAAAAAGTTACAATGTCATAGCTTCTCCTAGCACAAGGGCTCTTCAAGAACATTTTTGGGTGATATTGATTGGATTTAGCATCATAAATTTCCCTATTCTCCATTTGACATAACTAAGACTTATATCACATATTGATTTAGGAATATAGAAGTATTATCCAAACCTTTCCTGCTTAACTTGTCAGCCTTTTTGTAACCTGGGATCCTAGAATACTTTGGTGGTGTTTAGATGAATTGTTCACAAGTCATGATGGCGTTTAAATTTAAAGCTTAAATTTTAACATTCTTGAGTCTAACTATGCTTGTTCAAATCCGGCCAGAGTGGACTGAAATTTATTTTTTGGTGGAAATGAATCTTGATCTTCCCACTCTAGTAAGAATAGGTTTGGTTGCACCTCTAGAACAACTCCCCTGTATGGTGAGGTAGGGGATAATAGAAAAAAAAAGATAGGTTGTTCAGAACTGCATTTTAATATTTTATAACCTTTGATTTTGAGATTTGAGAGTCAAGTGCTCCAGGAAGAAAGGAGTTTCCTTTCCTACTAAAAGACATATAAATTATCTTTTTAAATATGCCATTTAATGATTTAAATAATTATTTGTGAAAACGAACAATTTCAAAATATTTAATAAAGATCATTAAATACAAATCACTACCCAACTATCAACCATACCTTAGACATTACTGGTTTTTCTTCATCTTTATCAATTGGTATTGAAGTACTATGGACCCATGTGGTTGTACAAATATGGTGCAATCGAACATAAGAGCTTTGCGGCACAAGGGAGTCACCTCTAGTATGAGTGGTAGGGTCCAACTCAAATAATGATGAAATATCATTAGTATGTGGCACAGATACTAAATGATAAACAGGGCTTCCATGGAGATCTAGAAGTATTTAAAAATAAATATTTTTATGAAAAAGAAAAAAAATCATGCAGGTAATAATAACAGACAATACCTCCTCTTAGTTTTGACCTCATATAATCATCTGATGTATCTTCATCTATTTCGGCTGCTAAATAGTGACCAGTAGCAAGATGTTTGAACCGAAATAATGAATCCCAATGGCCTGCACCTCCTCGACAGGGGTCATGTTGTACAACCTAGAAAACAAACTCAATTAAAATTTATTCTGAGCTATTTCATGTATATTAAAAATTAAATTAGAGTGCTATATTCATTAGTAGATTAGTTATTAATTAAATAGACAATATGATCGCATACTATTTTAAAATGTAATAATTGAAACACCTATAAAAATAAGAGAAAAATATTTAAAGTTTTTAAATAATACCATATAAATAAATTATGAGTGGGAGTTGCAGGTTGACATTAAAATCTTGTTCTGAAGCAGTGAATTAGCTGAAAATCCTATAGTCCCAAATGAACTTCATTTAAATCCAAAATGAACGATTAAGGTCCTGACCAAATACCTGATAAAGTTATGAAACTCTGCCTTCCAGACTTACTTCCCGCACTTCTACACATATAATTTCTCTCTTCAAAATTCCATTTTTCCCACATTCTAGGAAAGAGCCACAGTCTGCCCATTGAACAAACTCCCTTCTCCTTCATCAGCTTCTGATTTCAGACCCATCTCCATTTTATTCAATCTATCCAAGTCTCTAGAAAGTTAGCCACTCTCAGTTGAACAGCTTTCTCGAGCAAAACCTTCTCCTCAATCTTTTACAATTTGGTTTCTGTTCCCATTATTCCATCCAGTCGGCCTTGCTAAGGATTACCGAAGACTTCCAACCCGCCATAGATAAACAGAAAATCTCCAGCCTAATAGTTTTTGACTTATCCAAAGCGTTTGACTCCGTCAATCATGAGATCCTTCTTTTCAAACTCCAAAGTCTGCCTATATCAAATAGCATACTAAAATGGTTCCTCTCCTTCTAATCCAATCGATCTCAGACAGCTATAATTCCATCATCACCCCTTCAACTAACACAAGGTATTCCTCAGGGTTTCTCACTCTCTCCGACCCTTTTCTATATTTATATTAGTGACCTTCCTGAGGTCATTCAACACTCCTGTTACCACCAATATGCTGATGATTTCCAAATTTAACAATCATTGCAACCTTCTGAGATGCCTGAAAGCTATAAGAGCATACTGACTGTATCAACAGATGAGCAGAAATAAATGAGTTAAAGCTAATGAAGTATTTGGTGCATGCAACTGCCTTGTAACTGACCCGGTGACTCATTTTTTGATTCAATGTATCAAATTTAATGAACCAAGAAATAAGTACTTGAAGACATTTATCACTGAATCCAGGGAAGATGTTAGTGTGGAGGAGATACTGAAAAGAGAAAGAGGTAGACTCAGACACCGATGGTTGGATGATCTGATGGGGTTTAGCGAATCGTATTCTCCACTTTTGTTTTTCTTTCTAAAATAAATAAAGTCGATACAAACACTTTGCTAGGCTTCAATACTGGAACGGTGGTGGTCTGTATATCGATATGGGACAAATTGGATCTTGAAGATTTTGATGCGTACAGCAAGACCCGGATAGTTCCTCCGGAACTATCGGATCCTGCGTTTTTAAGCCCAAAAACGTAATGTTTTCGAGATAACGCAAGGCATAGGGTTCGCATTCATACAGCCTTACATTAATTGTGGTACTGCCGTTGAATAAATGTCTCATTTTGTCGACTTGAGCCCTCTATGATCGAGAGAGGAGGAGTTTATATTATTTATCAATGGTGTTTTTGATCGGCAAGCCATATCATCATTAATTTTTCACCAAATCTCAAGATTGAGCCACCAATTTCGAAGGTTTCCTTTTCCTTCAGGCGGACAAAATAGTCCAATCATCCCGAAAATTCAGGCAAACAAGTTATGAAAGAAAACAAACTTTATTTGCGAATAACTAAAAAATTAGACACTTTTCCCTTGGTTATGCCCATGATTATATAAAAGATTACTAAATCTTCTACAAAAGGAAAAAATAAAATCATCGAAATCGGACTATTTTTAACAAAGATACAGCTTACTGAAATTTTTGAACATATTGGTTCCAAACAAAAATGAAGATTTAAATTAATTTTTGTTTTCTTTGTCGATTATATGTATCGATAAAGTAACATTTGATTTCTTTATCTTTTGATACCTTGCATTATTTTATTTTCTTATTAATTTGGCATTTGATAACATATGCTGTGCTATGTTATCAAATGCCACTACTAGTTTACTAGTAGTGCTACTACTAGTTTATAATAATACCATTATATTTATTTGTACAGGAATTTCCTTCAACAAAATAAAATAAACTATTCTATTCAGTATTATTATCTTGTCTTGTTTTGTAAAATTTAAAGACAGGATGCTGGTGGTCAGAAAATTTACTGTCTCAATTTATTAGCCCATCAAATGGTTAATTAATTACTTTATTGTTGTTTATAGCATTCTAAGAATGCTTTTAGTTAAATGGGTTCTGAGACCTTTTTTGTCCTTGAAGGCCAGTTCACAAATTGAATGAATTTTATCACTGGTATATAAAGAAGGATCTTGACTCTTTAATTGCCCCTCTGATTTCCCCTCTGTTTTCCAAAGATGAGGAAATTACATGATTAAACATTGGATTTGGACTATTGGGCTGAGTACATAGAAACAACTTTTTGTCTAAATAAAACTCCTAACCATAGAAGTTTTGAGACATATTATATTTTTTAATTTTTAGATATGCTGGATGAAAATAATTTTTATTGTTTAGTAATGATTATGTTCCTTATTAGAAGGATTTACCATGTAATTTATTTATTTATTGCTGATGATTTTTACAGCAGTTAATTAACTATTTTATGCTTGCATAATGTTTTCTGAAATTCATTTGAAATTCTTGAAATAAATTGAAAAAAATAAAATAAAAAGTTATAATTATCTCTTTTATTGATGAATATTCTTTTTAATTCAAGAAATACTGTCCTACAGGTTTATTTTTGAGAGTAAGTGATATATTATAAACAAATAAATTTTCCATAAAATTTTACAAACCTCTACTTCCCACAATGCTTTACTACTAGTGGCTGCAGTAGCTGATGTTCTACCAGTCGTCCTTAAAAATACATGTTGCTTCTTTTTATATTCGTCCATAGTTAAGAATTTTTCTTGTTCAGCATGAAATAACCGTACAACATCACCACCTTTTAATATTTCATCCATATTCTCAATATGTTCCATAAACAAATTAACCTTCCATGAAGTGTTGGAATTCACCACATTCACCTAAAGATAAAAGAAAGATTACAACTTGTTTTTCTAATCATAATTAAAAATCATCAATCTAAAGACTGTAATATATGCATTAAAAAAGATGAAATGTTCACAACATAAATATTATGCAAACATTAAAACTAACCAATAGGTGCCAGTCATTCTTTCATTCAACTTATATACAACTAGCTACAAATATGAACAATTCAACCGTTTCTGATTACAAGAAATCTCCTCTGAAAGTAATAGACAAAGGATTAAAAATTATTAAAACCCTGAGGAACTCATTTTACCACTTTATTAAGGCCTGTTATAAAATCTTATGAGAAGTAAGGCTTTTTAGCATGAAAATGTAACAGTTCAGTTTAATATCTCTTTACAACTATATAGAATGGATAGTACAAACATAAAATTACATTTATTTCCTAAAAAAAAAAATTGACAAAATTCAACTCAGTTCCTTCATACATTGTACAGCGGGGTACACTATGATCAAGGGAGCATCGGTTGGAAACCATACCTAGCGCGAGCCTTAACCGGCCTCCAACCTAACTCCCTGGACCGGGTACGTCCAAGAAGGATGCAGGCACACAACCGGTGCCCACGGAAACGACAAACTCTACTACCATAGCTTCCGTCCACTCGTCCACACATTATACCAGAAGTTAGCCTGAACAACGTCAAGACTAGCTGAACACTGGTTTCGTGCAGCGAGTGGTCGTAAACACACCGACCACTACGACCGCCATGGCCGAACAGTGCAAGCACTCTCGCCGTCCACCCAAAGCGCCGCCGGGGCTCCGGCGACGCCCCGTAGTACCAATTTGGTCGGGAAGCACTGCTTCCCTGACCTCAGAGAACGATTGGTCTCAGGCTCCGCAATCTTACGATCGCTACGGCTTTACATTGCCTGCCGATGTACAGGAGGATGCCTGCACCTCCGCAGTCAATGAGGGACACGACTCAAACCTAAGGGTTCGAGACGATGACCGTCCCCGTAGTTCCTTTATACAGTGAATAAAAATATGCTGCAAAAACATTACATCCCAACTTCCATACATTAATAAACCAGAGTATGAGGGTATAGTAGCTGGGACCCTACTTACATGAGATTAATTGAAAAAAAATATAATTCTAATAAAAGTATTACCTCTTTACAACCAACATTGTCAGGAAGATCGCAGTTGGCTGAAAAATGCAACACCTGTTGGCCAGCATTAACAGGGTTCATAATAACTTTGTCTCCAACAACCACATTGTCACCAGTTGTTCTTAGTTTGTAGTATGGCAAAATATAAAACCAAGAACCTTCATTTCCATTTGCATCTAGATATACACGCATAGCATTTTTCTCCAGAAGTGCAGGCAGTCTTTTATTTACAGTTAAATACTTGTTTGACTTTAAATGCAAAAGCTGATGGAAAAAGAAAAAAAAAATAATTAGTCATTCAATTTAGTTTAAATGGTTTAAGATTTAAACATAAAGATTACATACCTGAATAACATTACCATACTGCACAACAGTACCAAGAAGTTTTTTATTTTCTGACTCATTTTGTTTCTTTTCAATTTCTGCAGCATGCTATAACAAAGCAGTAATTGAAATGAATAAAACCAGAAACCGAGATCATTTGAAATAAATAAGTTAGCTTTATTTTAACTAAAAATAATATATAAATAGTATTTGATTGGAAGTTTAATTAAACCAAGATGTATTTCCGAACTGCAAAAATAAATAAATTAACAAAAATGTAAATGCTAATATAGTAAATTAGAGTACAATAATAATTAATAAACAATAAACTGGACTTCATTTGGCTATGATGTTACTATGAAAGAGGTTTCATTAGTTATGTCTATATCGTGTAGAGGAATATTTCTTTATTAAAAAATTTCTTTTAGATAATAATAAAGCTTTATTAATAACAATTTTACATATGAACAGTGGATAACACTTAAGAGCTAATGAAAAATCTCATGGTAATAGCCGCCAGAGTACTTTTTTTCTTCAAATAGTAAGTGAACACATTATCAAATAGAAAAAATTAAAATTAATTTCTATATGTAATATTTAGGCAAAAATAAAATAACTCTTCATCAATATGTTTAGTAATTACAAAGTTACACATTGAGACAGACAATAAGTTTTAAGAATACCACATAGAGAATTGCCAAGTGAATTAAGTAAATAACCAGCTAGTAAACTATAAAATTAATTTTGAATGATGGCATCATTAATTTAAGTAAAACATACTGAGCTGCAACAGATATTCATAAAACTTCAGATGGAACAACATTTTTCTCTTTCCAAAAAAAAAAAAAAGTCAAAACTGCACATTATTAGATTTGCATGAATTTGCAGCCAAGGAACTTGTGTCAGTGGACTATATGAGTACTTATCCTCGAAGCTCAAGAAAAAACATGAGTTTCTGGTGTTCCCTGATGTATTTGGCAGATAGATGGAGTCATGTCCATTTAATACAGATTCATCTTCAGTAATAAACTCTAAATTGAAGTTAAGGATAATTATAAATATTGAGGGCTACAGAAATTAGTAAGTTAATAAAGTAGCTTGGAAGTTTTGAAGATGGAGATATTTCTGTTTACCATAAAACAATATACCGTTTTGTACATTAACATGAAACACCAATCCTGGAATAAGAGACTTGTGGACATCCAGTTAGCTATTTACTTGTCCCTCTTTATTATTTTCTGGTAGAGAGTTAAAGTCTTGACATCCAGAAGTCATTTTAACTGTCTTTACCAGTCGATAATTAGGTCAACAAAATTAAATCCTAATTAAGAAGGCTCACATACAGTAATTTCAGTTAAAGACAGCAGGATCTTTAAGTTAAAAGATTTTAAATTTTCCACTCATAACCAGCAGATTTATGACATCCTTCTAAGCTTAAATTATTGTTTCTCCCAGATAAATATTACCACTGAAGGGAGTGTGCAACAGCAAGGATCATTCAAGGAAGACATCTTTTTTTAAATAGATAGAAAATAACTTTATTCTGGGACACAGTTCCTTGAGAATAACAAAATAGAACAAAATTAAAAGATTACATCTGGACAAAATAAAATCAATAGAAAAAAAGAAATAATGTAAAGAATATTTTTTAATTATCTTCATAATGAAATAGAAAACCCATTAGCTCCTGTGGTGGACAATGATGAAACCAGCCATTATCATGTTAAAGCACTGGTGAAGAACATGACATATGTTATAGAAGTGTTATTATTATTATTTGTTTTATAAAAAAATAAATAAAATAAAATAAAAAATTACATCTCAGATCCTATAACTACTTCCTCGAAAAGCCATTCTATTCCTTACATATATATATACATAATGCTGTACTCCGATTCACATATTTTCCTGACCCTTGGAAACTATCTATCAATATGATACACAAACACAAAAAACCACCAGAACTGTCCGATCCTCTTATCGTCCTATCTCCCTTTTACCCATCATGGGCAAAATCCTGGAAAAACTCATCCTAAAACGTCTGTATCCCATCCTGGATTCTAATCACACAATCCCAGATCACCAGTTTGGATTCTGTAGATCCCATTACACTATCCAACAATGCCATCGTATGGTGGATGTTGTATTCTCTGCATTGGAGCGTGAAATGTACTGCACGGGAATCTTTCTCGATGTAGAACAGGCTTTTGATCGAGTTTGGCACCCGGGACTGCTTTACAAACTCCATAAATTCTTACATCCTGTATACTTTCTCATTATTCATTCCTATTTAACTGATAGATACTTTAAAGTGAATCACAATAACGCTTATTCATCCATCTTTCCCAGTGGTGTTTCTCAACATAGTATCCTAGGTCCTATCCTTTACATAGTTTATAAAGCTGACATCCCAACCCATCCTAACACTGTCATTACCACTTATGCCGATGACAAATGTGTCCTATCAGTTAATAATGACCCAACAATTGCATTCCAAACTCTCCAATCACACATCACATGAAGAATGGTGTCAAAATTGGAGGATTAAAATAAATTCCAATAAATCCCGTCAAATCACCTTTACTCTTCGTCATAAACCTATGACATCTTTTCCTACAGTATCCTTTAATAATACTCTGCTTATCCCTGTTGAACAAATCCGATACCTTGGACTCCACTTGGAAAAACGTCTAACTTGGAATCCTCATATCAGACTTACAACAAGAAACCGCTCGAAATTTTCGACTACTCCAATACTTACTAGACAAATGCTTTAAGCTTTCAGTTAATTACAAAAGACACACATACATGGCTACAATAAGACCTATTTGGACTTACGGAGTTGAGATTTGAAGTTCCTTACAATCCAAAATCCTCTATAAAATCCTCAATGCTCCTTACTTTGTCACTAATAAAATCATCTATAACGACCTTGATGTTCCTTATGTTTTCGATTTGGCCCAATCCAGAAACCTATCCTTCCATAACAAACTTCAGAACCATCCGAACCCTCTTGTTTCTAATATTAATTCCTCTTTGATCCCTGATAACCCTCCGAGGCGTCTGAAAAGAAGATGGCCTCGAGATCTCCAATTGTAAATAAATTTTTATTTAAAGTGCTACCAGTGGGTAGTTTCTCAACAAGTGTTTTCATGTTATTATTTTCTGTTTTCACATTTACTGAATGTATTTTTCTTAATACAGTTGTAAATATCATAAATAAATAATAATAAAAAAAATTGTTGTTATCTGTATAAAAAAATGAAAGAAAACTTATGAAATAACACATATTAAAGTAGTTACAGTACAAAATATTACAAAGAATATTACAAAAGATCCGTAAGTTGAGGAAAATTTGTATAGAAGTGATAACAGGGGACCTAAAAAGCTACAAACGATTTTATGTAGACAATGGGCCAATTTTCAACAGAAAAGTAGGAAATCCAAGTTTTTTTTTTATAAGTAAGTCATGTTTATTATATGGTCATGTCATGGTATAGGAAGCGATAATTAAGAATTTTTTTCACTTTTATTTTTCTATCTGCATCTGTTAATTACATTTATTAACAATCAGCAGATGTGCTGGTTATATAATGAGAAGAGTTTGACATTGGTAAAACCATTCAAAGAGGACTTTTGAGTAACTAAACTAAGCTCTGTTTTTAAAAAAAAATCATAAATCATTCGTGATTTTTTTGTTATACTGCAGACACCCCGCTTTTGTAAAAACTTCCTCATTCAATAAGCTATAAGTTGATCTTAATACAGTTGGGATTTATTAGGGGAAAACTTGAGATTCAACTCAAGATGTGTAAAAAAATGATGTGATTTTTTTATTCTGTTACCTAAAAGTACCCGTGTTTTCAGCAAAAATGCATTTCTTGATGATTATTTGAAGATTAAATAATCAATTATAACATTTAAATTTTTTTTAACACACAATATTTTCAGAAATCATCCTTCATAAGATGTAAATGTTTCATTCTACTTGCCAAACATCAAAGCTACCAACATCTAACTATTAATCATAGCCTGATGTTTACAGACCCTCAAAGTGCACACACTCAAAACATTCACAGCAGATTGTGGCTTGAAGTTCTAATAGTCCAAGATTTGACAGACAAAAGAAATTAATCTTGTCAAATTTTAATTCAAAAATAAATCAGAGAAAAAATTATGCACTCATAGTTACTTTTAAGAGGTGTCGGGACAATATTTTTCAGAAAAGAATTGAGAAACTAAATTTTTTTATAATTAATCTACACGTCATATTTTCTTACCTAGCAACCAATGTTAACATGAGGAAGAGATTATTTACATCACACTACTAAAAACAAGAAACATCTATCGACTGCTGTTATGAAATTTTGATGAATTACAGTTCCGAAGCAATTTTTCCAAATAATTACAAAAAAATTATTTCATATATCACAAGCTTTCATGATGTATTACTGTATTGGATTTTCCAGCCTAAAGAAGGTTAGTTATGATCATAATAACATTGCTAAGAAGCAAAGAAACTGAGAAATATAACTCTTCAGTGAATGCTGCTTGTGCCAATTCTCATTAATATAACATTAAAACAATTATTCGGAAACTAGTTTCCAAAATATTTAAGAAACCAGCCGAAATCTTGAATGTTCTGATGTCATTCATTTACCACTACAACCCATAAAAGGTGATGTGGTTATCACTAATGCTCAACTGTCAGGTTTTTGAAGGTTGAAGATTCAGATATCAATATCAAAGAAGCTGGATGTGTCCCAGGATGGGCTTCAAAACCCAGGTTGATCCATGATTGAAAACAAAAAATGATTTTTTTGGACACAGTGGCCACAGGCCACTCTAACTTTGGTGCACGAGTTGTTTAAGGAGTCTCTAGTGGCTTACCCATGGAGTTACTCCATACCTAAAGAATATATAAAGATAAAGAATAATATAGATAAAGAATTAAGTGCATTTAAAACTATTAGTAGACATCATTTCACTAAAGGAACCTTCTCTTGATTGAATATAAAAATCATTCACAGTACTTTAATTGGTAAAATATAATATGTCATCATTTTTCGTATATTGCTTATATTATCAAAAGGCCAACCCTATTTTCT